TCCTCTCTCCTCTCCTCCTCTCCTCCTCCTCCTCCTCCTCTCTCCTCTCTCCTCCTCCTCCTCCTTCCTCCTTCCTCCTCCTCTCCTCCTCCTCCTCCTCCTCCTCCTCCTCCTCCTCCTCCTCCTCCTCCTCCTCCTCCTCCTCCTCCTCCTCCTCCTCCTCCTCCTCCTCCTCCTCCTCCTCCTCCTCCTCCTCCTCCTCCTCCTCCTCCTCCTCCTCCTCCTCCTCCTCCTCCTCCTCCTCCTCCTCCTCCTCCTCCTCCTCCTCCTCCTCCTCCTCCTCCTCCTCCTCCTCCTCTTCCTCCTCCTCTTCCTCCTCCTCTTCTTCTTCTTCTTCTGTGTGTGATGGACGCCGTCTGGTGCTTCTCTCTTTAAAAGCTCGGACCTGAATGAGCTTTTCGCTGAATAATTTACAGGTGCAGAGTGAGTTTCTCCCCAAACTTTTCACCTGCCCAAGTCCAGCCTCGCTTCTTTCTCTTTTCCAGTGATGAATTTTACATGGAGCTACAAGAGAGGAGCACTTCAGGCCGTTTCATCACCGTCTGCAGACCAGGAGGAGAGAAAGAGAGAAAGAGAAAGAGAAAGAGAAAGAGAAAGAGAAATAAGGACAACAGGCAGGTTAAGAGGACAGAACGAGCCGCAGGGGGATTTTAATAGAAATATACTCGAAGTCCTGCTCCTGTCGGCTGTAGTTCTAATCTACGCAGTGTTGGGGAGTAACAGATTACATGTACCGGAGTTAAGTAATCAGAGTACAAATTATGAGTAACTGTATTCGGTTACAGTTACTGTTTCAGTGAGTGGTAATTGGATTACAGTTACTTTGTTGAAATAAATGGATTACACAGCGGGATTTTCATGTTTTCACATTTTGGGCTAAACCAGGACTAAACCAGGATTAAACAAGGACTAAACTAGGACTAAAACCAGGTCTAAACCAGGTCTAAACCAGGACTAAAACCAGGACAAAAACCAGGTGTAAACCAAGTCTAAACCAGGACTAAACCAGGATTAAACAAGGACTAAACTAGGACTAAAACCAGGTCTAAACCAGGTCTAAACCAGGTCTAAACCAGGACTAAAACCAGGACAAAAACCAGAACTAAAACCAGGTCTAAACCAGGACTAAACCACTTCTAAACCAGGATTAAACCAGAACTAAAACCAACACTAAAACCAGGACTAAACCAGGACTAAACTATGACTAAAACCAGGACTCTAAAACCAGGACAAAACCAGGTCTAAACCAGGACTAAAACCAGAACTAAACAAGGACTAAACTAGGACTAAAACCAGGTCTAAAACCAGGACTAAACCAGGTCTAAACCAGGACTAAAACCAGAACTAAACAAGGACTAAACTAGGACTAAAACCAGGTCTAAAACCAGGACTAAACCAGGTCTAAACCAGGACTAAAACCAGAACTAAACAAGGACTAAACTAGGACTAAAACCAGGTCTAAAACCAGGACTAAACCAGGTCTAAACAATATGACACTAACAGTAGAGTGAACATAATTTAAGGCAGCAGTGTCTCATATAAAAATCATTTCTCTATCAATAATATTTTTAATACGGTTAAGGAAAGACTGGGCTTTTTTATTTTCTTTTAGCAGATAAAACAAAACATCTTATGTTCAGATTTCCTGGTCTTTGCTTCTCTACAGTAAACAACTGTCTGTTCATGGAGACTTCGGTTCAACAGACAATTTGAAGAGAACAAACATGATGTGCCGCAGTGCAGCTTTATGTCGTGAACACTTCTACCTCACTCATGGTCCGAATACGCTGCAAGAAAATGACTCCTGTAAGAACACTTTCCCGTAAAGCATTGCGGCCAAAATAATACGCCGCACCTCAAGGTATATATAGTGCGCCATCTACTGGGAAATGCAGGAAATGCAGGCGGGCCGGATTAAAAGGTTTAAAGGGCTGCATATGGCCCCCGCCCGTAGTTTGCCCACCCCTGGTTTAGAGTAAAACTGTAAAAAGTTGAGATGACTTGAATTAAGAAAATCATGATTTGAGTCAGTTTCACTTGATCTGCCAGTGGAACAAGACTTACATGTGGCTACACTTAAATAAGAAAAACAACAACTCTTCGCACTTAAAATAATAAACAAAATCCAATGTTGCTTGAATTAAGAAAAACACATTTATTCTATTGGTAGATCATTTTACTTGTGAATCGACTCACATAAAGTGAAATGTTCTAAAGATGTGTGTAAATCTCTCAGTCGTCCAGGTACAATCCATCCACAAATGTTTATTTTGTCCATTCGACCAAAACTTTAATTTAATTTCTTCTTTTGCCACGTTGGCACGTCCAGTCAGACGTGTTATCTGGGGAACAGGTCAGGACTTTATCTCTATCAGAAGTTCCTGTCCTGTTTAGTTTGTTTGCTGTTAGACAGATTAGAATATCATGTATTTGTCTTCACATGAGTCTGTGGTCTTTGTTTACTGTGGTTAGATTAGAAAACTGTGGTGCCCAGTGGGAGCTGACGTCACTGTCACATGTCAGCACCTCTTATGGATCTGCACATCACATGAGCGAGCAGAAGATTATTATTTTTTATTTACCCCGAAATACCACCTTAATAACCCCCCAAAGAACACTTGGGCACTATACACTGTAAAAACTAAAATCTAGCCAAATTAAGACGACTTGAATTAAGAAAGTTTTACTCTGCTCAGTTCTGCTTTTGACACTCACTTTATCAGCCGCGACAGTGTGCAGTGTCTAAGGCTGCGTTCAGACTGCAGGGCTTAACGCTCAATTCTGATTTTTTTGTGAAATCCGATGTTTTTGCGAGGTCGTTCACATTTCCAATTAAATGTGACTTGTATGTGACTCCAGTGTGAACATTAAACGGCCCAAAAGTGTCCCACATGTGACACTGGAGACACGATGACGTCAACCGCAGCGAGCGTCTCTGTGTTTACAGAAGTTGTCCAAACATGGACGCAGCATCGAGCACCTGGAGATTTTAAAGTTCCTCTCGTACCGGAGCCAGAACATGAACAACTTACTTGTTTTAAGGAGGAGATTGAGAAGGAGAAGGACGAGGTTTTTGGTCGTGGTGTTTTGTGGGGCAGCGGCAGCGACGTCTGTTGAAAGGAACGTGTGGATGTGGAGACGGAGCCAAGAGTGGTGAGTGGTGATGTGCTTCACTTCAGTGACACAGAGTTCATTAACAATTTTCACCTACTTCAGCGCAGAATAGTGACGTTTGTGTCTTGTTGATAACGTGTAGGTGGATGAATGCACTTTGACCGTTCAGACTGAAGTCACATGTCAAAAGATCAGATATGTATCAGTTTCAGGAGCACATGTCCAAGTGGACTCGGTCACATTTGAAAAAATCGGATCTGTGTCGTTCAGACTGTCAATAAAAGATCAGATACAGGAACATAGAGGCCAAAAAATCGGATTTGGGTCACTTCAGGCTGCAGTCAGAACGTAGCCTAATTTAGTCACAAGTTCAATATACGTTTTGTGGCAAAACACATGTTGTCATTTTCCAAATTTTTATTATTTTTTTTAATTATGAGGCCAAGTTTCAACACATTTATGCAGAGGTGTAAACGACAGAGAGAGCAGGTCCTAATCTCCTGTGATCATTGATCGTGAGCGCAGTATTTGCCCTCGTTGTGACCCGTCCACAGCTCTGTGGGCATTTCAGAGAAGTCTCAATCTTGGATTAACCACAGAGTTCGAGCGGTGACATAGTTTGGGTATTTATTTGTCCAATGCCGTCTGAGCTCTTTGGGTTTAAATATTTGCTTTTGGGTTTTTGTCCTCACTTTCGAGTTTTGTCTCTAGTTTTTTGTTTTTTAGTTTTCTAGTGTTATATTATTTTGTATTATTTAATCACTTTTGTGCCTTCTTCATTACTATTATTAGTTTGTACGACCATAAACGAAAACATAAATTCTTAAATTTTTCATTCTCATTACTGTTTATTTTGTGCAATCATAAACGATAAACTTTGTGCCTACGATAACATTATTATTAGTATGTTCGACCATAAACGAAAATATGTTTCTGTATGTATATGTTTGTTATGCATATGTGTATAAACATTTATATTGAGTATATGTACTGGATATCTATGATGCGTATAAGTGTATTTGTATGTACATATGTATGTATGTATGTATGTATGTGTGGATATGGTTTTGTATATATTTGGGTATATTTTTGTCAGGTAAGCACTCCAAAGGTGATATAAAATTTTTTTTTAAATGTGAACCACGTGATTATGTAAAACAATTGGGGTAAGACTCTGTAAGTTTTTTCAACTTCATCCTACTCCTTTTGAGCACCAGGTCCCAAATATAGTCCAATGAGGTTCATTTGGTCTTCCGATATTCTATGTTATTAGGTTCTTTTTTTCAGACCCAGAGTGTTGTTTCATACCTGACAGTTTCGACTGTTCACTAGCGTCTTCCTCAGAGTCACGTGATGTTGCTGTGACGTGTCATTCAGCTGATTTAAACAGGTTTTGTCTCTGTCTTCCTACCGGTGGAGGCAGGACGACAGCGCCACCTGCAGTCCCACTTCCTCAGGACAGTATCCCAGGTGTGTGAGAGTAAAAAAGCCCCTCGTCCCGGTTTACAGTCCTGTGGGCACGTTTCCGTATTTCTGGGTCTGAAAAAAAGAACCTAATAACATAGGTCCCAAATATGTTCATGTACATATCACTATTTTTGTTATTGTTTTTGAATTTTGTTGTACCTGGCTCAAACAAATAAATAAATGAAAAAAAAAAAATGAAAAAATGAAATTAACTCTTAACTCTCAAATAGTGATTTGCCCTAAGGTGTGGTTGGAATTATTGATGAGCTGAACATAACGGAACACGACAATGGAATGAAAAACTGGGACATTTTCTCCTTTTTCCTAGATTTTGTCAGACTTATTACCACTTGGACGTGTGTGTTGTGTTTGAGGACGAGTGTGTGTCTCACTTTTGCTCCTGTGTCTTGTGTTTGCAGGTTACGCCTTCCTGCTGTTCCAGGAGGAGAGCTCGGTTCAGGCTCTGATCGACTCGTGCATCGAAGAAGAAAACAAACTGTACCTGTGTGTGTCCAGCCCCACCATCAAAGACAAACCGGTGAGACACACGCACCGCAAAATGTGCTTAAAGCCCCACTGCGGGACATTTCAGCAAATAGAAAAGCTACACATGCACTACAGAAATGCTTGGAGCTCCACTGTGGAACATTTCAGCAAATAAAAGTTGACACATGCACTGCAAAATGTGTTTAAAGCCCCAACATGGAACATTTCAGCAAATAAAAATTACACAAACACTGCAAAACAGGTCTAAAGCTCCACTATGGGACATTTCGGCAAGTGAAATTGACAAACGCACAAAAAAATATGTTTTACGACCCACAGATCACACGAGACGTCATTTATTTTACAGACTGGCAATAATATAAGATTATACAGAAACAAATGTGCCTTGTGGGGACAACAGGGACATTTTACTGTTACTATGAGGCACACTTACACATGCTTAAAGCCCCACTGTGGAACATTTCAGCAAATAAACAAACACACGCACTGCTACATGACACTTACATTTACGCAGGGGCAATAAACAGTCAAGCTTGAGCAAAAGTGGTAGTTTCCACCTCCGGTCCCTGACCAGACTGTTACCATTACAGTGAAATAAAAATACACAGTGAATGAGCAGTTCATTCATAAAACAATGTTCTTACAGTGTCATGCTGTGTGTAAAATGTGGGTAGAATCCATGGGAAAAGGAGAAATTCAGCGTGTCAACTGGACAAACGTTTATTTAGCTCAGGGGCGTCAAACTCAATTTTACAGAGGGTCCAAAGTAAAAACTGGGACTAAGTCGTTAACCTGATTCATCAGCCGGTTTGACTTGGTTTCACTTCATGCAAACCGTCTGACCTCGCACTGTTAGGTTTAATTTGCTCGACAGTAGGCAGCACTTTTCATTTTTTTTATTTATTTATTTTTTTTATTTTTTTATTATTTATTTCATTCTTAAAGCATAAAAAGACATCGACAGTGTCACAACATCAAACACACAAGAAATGAATGAAAAGGAGCAGAAAGAAGAAAAAATCTTATGTTCTCTGCCCCCTTTCCTTTTTCAAGACAAAACATCAACACTGATCGTCACTAAACATTCCAGATCAGTTCAGGCACAATTATTGATCAATTGCAAACAGTAAATCTTCATTATTATACACAACTTAGTTTTCTTTTTCATACAGACACAGTGCATTCGATTTTATATGTTTTTTAAATGTCGTCATTGTACTTGATTCTTTTATTTCTTTGTCAAGACTTTTCCATAAGTTTAACTTCTTTCACAGCGACACTTCGCTCCATAACCTTGGTTCTGAATCTGGGTTTTTTAAACATGTAGGTTCCTTTTAAATTGTAGTGTTTTGTTCTCATCTCAAACAGTTTTTGAATATTTACAGGTAATAAATTACACTTTGCTTTATACATGACTTTGAGGAGACTTAAGTCGACAATATCCTGCATTTTCAACACTTTAAGTTGAACAAATATTGGGTTGTTTGTCTCTCTACAATGACTGTTGGTGATGATTCTCAAGGCCCTTTTTTGTAAAATAAATAAAGGTTGTAGATAAGTTTTACATGTTGAACCCCAAATTTCCACACAGTGCATCAGATCTGGTACAATTATAGAGTTAAACAAAGTTAATAATGCTGGACTATTTAGTGAGAACTTTATTTTATGCAGAACAGCAATGGCTTTGGAAATGTTTCCTTTTGTGTAATTTATATGAGACAAACTCCAGTTTAAACCTTCATCAATCATAACTCCTAAAAATTTAGTTTCATTTCCTCTTTGAATTTGTGTCCCATCTATTTCTAAAGTTATGTTAGTTAATCATTCGCTGCTATTTGGTTGTCATGTTTGTAATGATCCACTAACGGGGAGAACTGGTATAGGAAGTTTTTCCCAAATCCCGTAGGAAGAAGGACAATAACGTCTTTCCCCTTGATGAAATTCACCAAACATTCTCTTTATCCTCGATCGCTTTAAATCCTCCATCTTAGTAACTGGTAACACTGAATATATCACTTTCACTGATTGTCTGGTGCCCGAAGGTTTTTATTTAACCAATCGCTGCTATTTGGTCGTGATCGTTGCCAACACTAAATATGTGGCTCTTTTGGTTCCCGAACTTGCACTTTTTTGTGAACTGTTTATTGTATTTTGATTCCTGATCGAGTCGCTGGAGAGAAATGAAATTGAGCAGAGGCACTAGGAGACACCAGCCTGACGACTACGACCTGGGCCAAACTGAAATATTTATTGAAAAACCCGACTCGGACTTGAAGGTCAGTGACTCGGGACTCGACTCGGACTTGAAGGTCAGTGACTTGGGACTTGACTCGGACTTGAAGGTCAGTGACTCGGGACTCGACTTGGACTCGAAGGTCAGTGACTCGGGACTCGACTTGGACTTGAAGGTCAGTGACTCGGACTCGACTTGGACTTGAAGGTCAGTGACTCGGGACTTGAAGGTCAGTGACTCGGACTCGACTTGGACTCGAAGGTCAGTGACTCGGGACTCGACTCGGACTTGAAGGTCAGTGACTTGGGACTTGACTCGGACTTGAAGGTCAGTGACTCGGACTCGACTTGGACTCGAAGGTCAGTGACTCGGGACTCGACTCGGACTTGAAGGTCAGTGACTCGGGACTTGACTCGGACTTGAAGGTCAGTGACTCGGGACTCGACTTGGACTCGAAGGTCAGTGACTCGGGACTCGACTTGGACTTGAAGGTCAGTGACTCGGACTCGACTTGGACTTGAAGGTCAGTGACTCGGGACTCGACTCGACTTGGTCAGTGACTCGGACTCGACTTGGACTCGAAGGTCAGTGACTCGGGACTTGGGTCAGTGACTTGGGACTCGACTCGGACTTGAAGGTCAGTGACTCGACTCGGACTCGACTTGGACTCGAAGGTCAGTGACTCGGGACTCGACTCGGACTTGAAGGTCAGTGACTCGGGGACTCGACTTGGACTTGAAGGTCAGTGACTCGGACTTCGAAGGTCAGTGACTCGGACTCGACTTGGACTCGAAGGTCAGTGACTCGGGACTCGACTCGGACTTGAAGGTCAGTGACTCGGGACTTGACTCGGACTTGAAGGTCAGTGACTCGGGACTCGACTTGGACTTGAAGGTCAGTGACTCGGACTCGACTCGGACTCGAAGGTCAGTGACTCGGGACTCGACTCGGACTCGAAGGTCAGTGACTCGGGACTCGACTCGGACTCGAAGGTCAGTGACTCGGGACTCGACTCGGACTTGAAGGTCAGTGACTCGGGACTCGACTCGGACTCGAAGGTCAGTGACTCGGGACTCGACTCGGACTCGAAGGTCAGTGACTCGGGACTCGACTCGGACTCGAGTCCTGTGACTTGAGAATCACTTTTAAATCTGAATTCTTTCTATTCTGGCCGTAATGATTCACACTAAGATCTTGTCAAGACATTTAAAAAGGAAAAAATTAACTAAATAAATTTCTACAACTCTTATATAAATACTCATATATAAATATACTGTGATTTTTTAAGTACAATTTATCTTAAAATTCAAAAAATCTAAGACTTGAAATGAGTTGAAGCTCAAAGCAGACGACTTGGACTTGGGACTTGACTGGGACTAGTTTCAGTGTCGTTGTCTCCTCCTTTCAGACAGATATAACAAGTGTCGTCCAGCGTCTGACCAGAACTGAAGAAGCAGCTTGGATATTCTGAGCAACGTTTTCGACCAAATAAATAGGCCCAACTCTGAAACCACACACATCTTTTTAATGTAACAGTATTTTCATTTCATTTATTCATTGAACAGGACAATGCACAGTTGCATAACGCCCGAGAGCAGAGATGCCGGGGCCAGATTCTAATTTAGGAAGCTCATTTCCATCTGCTGCTAAAACTACGTCATAAAGAACCTTTTGTACTTCTGTTAGCCAAGATTTATGTTGACATTATGAATTCTTTGTCCACTAATTATCCACGGGCTACTTTCATTTAAAGTTTACAGAACTGCAAATGGATCTGACCAACTTTGAACCAAGTCTGAGGCTGCGTTCAGACTGCAGGGCTTAACGCTCAATTCGGATGTTTTTGGTGAAATCCGATGTTTTTGCGAGGTCGTTCACATTTCCAATTAAATGCAACTTGTATGTGACTCCAGTGTGAACATTAAACGGCCCAAAAGTGTCCCACATGTGACACTGGAGACACGACGACGTCAACTGCAGCGAGCGTCTCTGTGTTTACAGAAGTTGTCCAAACATGGACGCAGCATCGAGCACCTGGAGATTTTAAAGTTCCTCTCGTACCGGAGCCAGAACATGAACAACTTACTTGTTTTAAGGAGGAGATTGAGAAGGAGAAGGACGAGGTTTTTGGTCGTGGTGTTTTGTGGGACAGCGGCAGCGACGTCCGTTGAAAGGAACGTGTGGATGTGGAGACGGAGCCAAGAGTGGTGAGTGGTGATGTGCTTCGTTCATTAACAATTTTCGCCTACTTCAGCACAGAATAGTGACGTTTGTGGCTTGTTGATAACGTGTAGGTGGATGAATGCACTTTGGCCGTTCAGACTGAAGTCACATGTCAAAAGATCAGATATGTATCGGTTTTAGGACCACATATCGAAGGCTAATCCGATTTTTTGGCTTCTATGTTCCTGTATCTGATCTTTTAATGACAGTCTGAACGACACAGATCCGATTTTTTCAAATGTGACCCAGGACACTTGGATATGTGCTCCTGAAACTGATACATATCTGATCTTTTGACATGTGACTTCAGTGTGAACGGCCAAAGTGCATTCATCCACCTACACGTTATCAACAAGACACAAACGTCACTATTCTGCACTGAAGTAGGTGAAAATTGTTAATGAACTCTGTGTCACTGAAGTGAAGCACATCACCACTCACCACTCTTGGCTCCGTCTCCACATCCACACGTTCCTTTCAACGGACGTCGCTGCCGCTGCCCCACAAAACACCACGACCAAAAACCTCGTCCTTCTCCTTCTCAATCTCCTCCTTAAAACAAGTAAGTTGTTCATGTTCTGGCTCCGGTACGAGAGGAACTTTAAAATCTCCAGGTGCTCAATGCTCGCGTCCATGTTTGGACAACTTCTGTAAACACAGAGACGCTCGCTGCGGTTGACGTCGTCGTGTCTCCAGTGTCACATGTGGGACACTTTTGGGCCGTTTAATGTTCACACTGGAGTCACATACAAGTCACATTTAATTGGAAATGTGAACGACCTCGAAAAAACATCGGATTTCACAAAAACATCAGAATTGAGCGTTAAGCCCTGCAGTCTGAACGTAGCCAAAGTGTCCTGGGTCACATTTGAAAAATCAGATCTGTTTCATTCAGATTGTCATTAAAAGATCACATACAGGAACATAGGGGCTAAAAAATCAGATTTGGGTCACTTCAGGCTGCAGACTGAACGCAGCCTAAAAGTCTCAGAGAATTGAAACAGTGATGCGGCGTCAGTGTCTCTGGTGTTTTGAGCTGTGGGACGGGGGCAGATGGATCCTCTGACAGGGCCACGACTCCTGTCAAACATTAACACAGGTGCACAGGGATGGAGGGAGGAGAAGAGAGAAGAAGGAGAAGATAGAAGAGAGAGAAGAGAGGAAAGGAGGGGAGCGAGAGTGGAAAAAGAAAAGTTATAGAAGTGGAAAGAACAAGAGAGAGAGAAAGAGAAGAAAGACAGACCTCGGGTGGGGGGTGTTGGTGAAAAAAAAACACGACTATTAACTATTAAACACATGCTCTTCTTTCAAATTTTCTTTAACATTAACTTTTATTTTGTACAATGATAAACGATGAACCTTTGTGCCTTCGTTAATGTTACTATTAGTATTAGTTTGCACGACCATAAATGAAAACAAAATGTCCTTACATTTTTTGTTTAATTCTCATTGTAGTTTTTTTATACGATCATAAACAATAAACTTTTTTGCCTTCGTTAACATTATTATTAGTTTGTACGACTATAAACGGGGGAGGGAATTTATATATATATATATTAAAATTAATAATAATAAATAATTTTAAAAATATATAATAAAAATATAAAAATTTAAATAAATAATATAAAAATAAATAAATAAATAATATAAAAGTATAAAATAAAAAATAATATATATATATATATATAATATAATATATAAACTTAAAATAAATAATATCTATATAAAAAAATTATAATAAATATAAAAAATATAAAAAAATAATAAATAAATAAATAAATAAGAACGAGGAAGAAAGACATTTCTGGTAGAGATTTTGGTTCATAAAATATTCTTCAAACAGTTCAACACTGTAGAAAACCTTTTAAAAAGAGTATAATCTGTTGTGTTTTGCAAAGTGTGGAGCTCTGGAGTGGATGAATTGTGCTTTGAGTTTTGTTTGTTTAATTTGTATTTTGTCTCTTATATGTACAGTATATGTACAAAAGAAGAGAGAGGAGGGAGGAAAGGGGGGAGCGAGATTGGAAAAAGGAAAGGTATAGAAGTGGAAAGAACAAGAGAGAAAGAAAGAGAAGAAAGACAGATGGAGAGAGAGAGAGTGAGGGATGTAAGAGAGAGAGAGAGAGAGGAGAGGAACTTTCCATCCAGTGATTTTGGCCAAGCACAGAGTGTCCAGCGCTGCAGTCCTGTACACAGAGGAGCTGAAACATCATTACACAGCACAGAGCCGCAGTGGAAAAACTGAACGGCTCTACAGGGTGTGAAAGAACAGGTGAGGGGGGCCGACACGCAGATGCTCAGTAGTTTTGTTGTTCTTTGGTCGTAAACTGTTCTGGGTAAACGTGTTCTCATGATCAACAGGACTGTAAAGGCCACAGACAGGCATGTTTTTGTCAGTCTGCCTTGGCCAAAATTTAAGATACAAACACTTAAATCTATCAGAAAATAACTTAAAATCGTGAAATGATCCGTCCATGCAGCAGGATCATTTTACATGACAACTTATCTTAAAATAAACGACCTCTAAACTTGAATTAAGCCAAGAGTGTCCAGAGTTTTTTCAAATAGGGCCACATATCTAAACACAGACGAAGCAGAGGGCCGATCGAGGGCTGTAGACTGGTGCTCAGTACAGCGAATAATTGAAATACGTGCATGTTTAACACGTTAGAATGCGGCATCCGTCTTTATTCATGCTAAGATCCTCAAAACCACACACAAAATATTAAATATTTGCTTAGATTTTCAAAAAAACTTGTAGTAAAAAGCTAAATTTTAACTGATGCAAGGTCATTTGGAAGCCTGAGGGCCAAGAAAAATTTGTCTGAGGGCCGCATTTGGTCCACAGGCCATAGTTTGGACATGACTGAATGAAGCAGTCTGTGTAAGTGTTCACGGGCTGGAAATAAGTTTATGGATGCAAAGTTTTAGATAAACATACTCGAGTATCAAGCAAATCTGTATCAGATTTGGACTTGCAAATTGAACTCGAGTCAGACTTGAGTCACTATTTTTAGAACTTGAAACTCGACTTGATATAATGGACTACGACTTGGGACTCGACTTGGACTTGAAGGTCAATGACTTGAGAAGCACTTTTAAATCTGAATTCTTTCTATTCTGACCGTAATGATTCACACTAAGATCTTGTCAAGACATTTAAAAAGGAAAAAAATAACTAAATTAATATCTACAATTTTTATATACTTTATAAATATACTATGATTTTTTAAGGACAGTTTATCTTAAAATGCATTTAAATTGCAAAAATCTAAGCTCTATTTATATATTTTTTGGTTTAAAGACTTGAAATGACTTGAAACTCAAAGCAGACGACTTGGACTTGACTTGGACTTATGGGCCGGTGACTCGAGACTAAACTTGGACTTCCCTGTATTTGACTTGGGACTTGACTCGGGCTTGAGGTCAAAGACTTGAGACTTACTTGAGACTTGCAAAACAAAGACTTGGTCCCACCTCTGGTCTGTATCACTGAATCTTAAAAACAAGTTCAGTGTTTCAGGGGAAAACTTTGGTAAATGGATTGTAGCTTCTTTTAAACATTTATTGTCTAAATTTAAGATTTTCTGACGAGTTGAGTCATGGAAGAAATATATGTCACAATTTTTAAGATTATGCAACCAATTCAGAACTAGTAAGTAGATAATAAATCTGTAAACAAGATGAATAACCTGATGTAAGTTTTTAAATCTTGGCCAGTTCAGAGAAATTTGCAGTGGAATTGAATTTACCCCAGAGTGACTTAGACGCTACGTTTATATGTTGATGGTCTGAACAGAAGATGCAAAAGTGGTGTTGTGTCTTCACTTTTTATTACGCATTTAGACAAGCGTTTTTGGGTGGAAATCTGCGTGCATACAGTGACGCAAAAGTGTGTGGAATTCAAGCAGATTGGACCAGAGTTTTGCGTCTTGGGCAGTGTAGACGGAAACGCTACGGCGTTTCTGTCTATCGTCTACCGTTTAATTGATGAACTCTTTCTTTTACAAAATATTATAATATTATGAACAACCTGAAACTTTAAGAAAAATACAATTTCAACACAATGTTTTAACATGAACTTGTTTAACATGAACTTGTTTAACATGAACTTGTTTGTAAATAGGAATAAGTAAGTTTTTCTTGGAAAATTCTGCACTCGGCTCCACTTTTCTCATGTTGGACATTTTTCTGATGAGGGTGTCACGGTCAACAGTCAAAACGATCGTCCTTTAAGAGCGTTTGGAAAGAGACAAGTCTTCATTTGTGCTGCTCTGGTGGGAGGGGCCACGTACAGAGACACTGGAGACGCTGCTGTGATAAACACCACAGAAAATTAACAATATTTTAATAAAAAATAGAATTTAAAATATTTTAGTAGAAAATCAGCCAAGGGCCAGATTAAAGGTCTTGGAGGGCCGGATCTGGGCCCCCGGGCCGCATGTTTGACACCTGTGGTCTAAACAGAAGACGCAAAAGTGGCGTCGCATCTTCACTTTTTATTCAGGAGGAAATCTGCGTGCATACGGTGACGCAAAAGTGTGTGTAATTCGAGTGGGTTTGCATGCCAGGCGGCTCGGTGGTGATGATGTATGTGACGTAAACGTGTACGTGACCTGAGACCAGAGTTTTGCGTCTTGGGCAGTGTAGACGGAAACACTACGACTGAGTGTATCAACTTTTCCACTCTGGAGGCTGGTTTCAGAGTTTTGCGTTTTTAAGCCGCCAAAACGCCGTCACCGTCTAAACGAAAGGCACTTGTGATAAAATATTTTGTTGTTTTACCCGCAAGCGTTCTGGTGTAAACAGACCCTCAGGAGTGGTGATGTTATCATTGTCGTCACAACTTTATTTCAGACACTTACTCGGTCCACACAGCTGTAGTTCAGACATGCCCACAGATACAGTTTCTTTGCCTTCAGACTTTCTGGTGAATTGGCTCAAACTTCCTTTGACAGTTCTTTTACAACTAACTTTATAATATGTCCCACTGAGGATCTAAGCCTGAGTGAAAGTCCAGTGACCCAGTTTCCTCTGAGCTAACTGAGTATTTATCCTCTGCACTGACCACCAGACTAACTTCACAGGCTCTTCACAGATAAATAAGCAGAAGGACACCGCTCTGTTATGACTGTGGTAATATTCTGTACACGAGCCATTTAAACCTGTGGTGTCATTGTCCTCCAGGTCCAGATCCGCCCGTGGAACCTGAGCGACAGTGACTTTGTGATGGACGGATCTCAGCCTCTGGACCCCAGGAAAACCATCTTTGTGGGAGGAGTTCCACGGCCGCTCCGAGCAGGTCAGGACTAACGCTTTTTTTATTTTTTGTCTCCAGAGCTCATATGGGTCTAAAACAAAATCTACAACAGGCTCTATTCACGTTACGTCACAAACCAGGAAGACGTTTGGAAACATATGGGTCTGGTCAAGTAGAAGTAAACAACAAGGCCAAAAATTCAAGTTAATTCATCTGATATAAAAATGTATTGAACAGATACATATGTACTCTAGTTTATGAAACTGTTGACCTTTTTCTGCACCATTTTTGCTTCTAAAATTACATACGTTTTAAACAGACCATGTATGAAACATGGAACAAAAATTATTTCCCAAATTTCAAAGACCTGCAAATCATGTAAATAAATGGATGTATTTCATCATATCTTGTGTTATTCCATCTTTGAACTGTTGATGAAGGGACATGATTTTTCAAAAAAAAAATTATTTAAAATGATAAACATTTGCTTGGAAGGACTGACATATTTTATAGAAATAGTTTCCTTTCATTTTGAAGTAATATTAAAGTATTCAGAAGAAAAAAAAAGTTGACAAAATTATACAAAATCCTGCACCTTCTACTTGTTTGCACAATTTTCCCTCCGTTACTTTTCCCTCCGTTACCATGACCTTTCTTAATAAAAAATCTCATGACTCAAAAAGTAAGAGGTTTTTCAACCTAATCTTGTACCATATGGTAGAAAACTATATGAAGCAAATATTCAAACCAGTTTGTTAAGGATATGTAAGTGAGAACCAAGAGTTATCACTGTTTGGATTTATTGCCCAAAAAGTGCTGCATATTTCATTCCCTCTGTTACCGACATGAGTTTTAAAATTTTTTGTCAACAACTTGAAAGAATATCACAGGTTTAACTTGACCCTGTTGGAGTGTAACTCTTTCCTACATTCTGATACTTTACTTATTTCAATAGTCCCTCTAGTTTCTGAATAAGAGACATTTGAATGTCAAAAATCTGCCCTGTTTCCCTCCGTTACCACTTGACTGGACCCATGCGTTGACGACTTCCGGTGTAGTTCCCGACACTGGACTGTGATCAGACCCACTGAAGTAAATGTGATCAGTGGTAAAATGAAGACTGCAGACGTATGTGCAGTTTGGAATCATCTTCAATTTGTCACCTCGTCTCTTCTAATCGCATGAACCCAGTGCTCTCGGAGTCGTGCGTCAGAGGGGAAATGATGAAAACTGAGGTACGGTTGAAATAGTTGATTAGCCGAACAAAACGGAACACTACAACGACACGGAGATGAAGAAAACTGAGCCTGGGAAGTTGTAATCGCATCTTTCCAAACGTCTTCTTGGTTTGTGACGTGAGCGTGAACAGAGGCTATTGTTGTCCAAAAAGCATCATTATCTCAGGCATGTTCAAGGATTTCATTCACACGACTTCATGATTCTGAAGGACTTTTTCAGGAAAAGATGTTGGCGAAGTGTTGTCGTGATACTAAAATAACAAATTTGATTATGATACAAAGCAAAAAAGTGAATACCCATTTTGATACCACAATTTTAAAATGAGTTGTTAAACATAAAATAATCACACACAAAAAAAAAACTACTCAAGTTAATTTGACTTGAATTAAGAAAGTTTTATCATGATTTGAGTAAATTTCACTTGACAGGTAGAATGATCTGCCAGTGGAACAAGACTTTTTGTACTTAAAATAGGAAAACACATCTTGCTACAGTTAAAATAAGAAAAACAAATTTCTGCACTTAAAATAAGAAACAAAATCGAATGTTGCTTGAATTAAGAAAGACACACTTATTCCATTGGCAGATCATTTAACTTGTCAAGTTGAACCTACTCAAATAAAGTCAAATGTTCTTAATTTAAAGGGTCCATCTCATGCAAAATCAACTTTTCAGAGCTTTCTACCTTCTAAAAGTGATGTATATGTCGCCAAAGTGGTTTTTAGATTGATTCAACGTTTTTTTTAACAAATTGCAGAGTATTTCTGCCACCCTCCCACGAGACAACGAACTAAAGCTGCTACAACGATGACGCGGCAGATACACAGATGAGTTATTTATATTCAAGACACTATAGGCGAGTTTCATTGTTGACAAAAGCGCGCGTTGCATGCCGGGAATTATTTTGGTCGGCGGCAAGAAACACTAATTCAACATGACGGACGGAGCGAGAAAAGCACGTAAAGGGTATTGATCCCGGTTATTTATCCACTCTAACGGCAGAGGACCCAAGACCATTTGACCAGAAATTGGTCATAAACATCGACGGACGACAAATCACCCTTTTCAACCTCGACAAAAGGTGGAACAAACCAAATTTCTGGTCAGAATCGCCAACTACCTGGACAAATATTCACTTCGGCGATATCCACAATGACTTGGTGGAAACTCCTGGGCCATTCACAGCAGAAAAGATGAAAACCTCCAAGAGTCTCGATGTGTTGTTGAACTTGTTGGAGTCCACGGTTTGTTAGGATCTTCTACGTTTGCTCTGCGGATGTTTGAAAGTCATTTAATTCACCGTTAGCGGATCTTTTCACTCAGAATAAGAAAAAGACATTTTCCTTCTTCCGTGCTTCTATTTGTGCATCCGATAATGCAGCAGGAATTTACCATTATCGGGGATAAATACACGAGGTTATGCACTGTGTTTGACGCTACCGTGTTTCTTGTGTCTGACCAAAATATTTCCCAGCATGCAATGCAAGCTTTTAATAACAATGACGTCAGCTGAAACTCGCCTATACAATATTACCTACAGAATTTCCTGGCAGCAAACTTCTCTGTTTCTGTGGGCATCGACTGACAATTCCCACATGAACACCTAAACAAAAGCGATAGCATAAGCTCATTGTTCTACTCTGCAGTGAACATGATATAATAAGTTTATCTACTAATGTTTATTAATACTTTACCAATCAGTAATGTTCAGCTGATGTTGACACGGTGCTTGAGCTTCGTGCTTCTCAAAGTCCTCGTCCGATTCCGGGTCCAACACATGCGGCTGAACGCGCTGTATCTCCAAGATGAATAAAAGTTTATTCCTGCTGCTATCAGGGCGCACACCTGTCTCCCCCTCCCTCCCTGAGATGGGCGGAGGAAGGGCGGCTCACTCAGGCTGCGTTCAGACTGCAGCCTGAAGTGACCCAAATCCAATTTTTTGGCCCCTATGTTCCTGTATCTGATCTTTTAATGACAGTCTGAACGACACAGATCCGATTTTCTCAAATGTGACCCAGGACACTTGGATATGTGCTCCTGAAACTGATACATATCTGATCTTTTGACATGCAACTTCAGTGTGAACGGTCAAAGCGCATTCATTCAACCTACGCGTTATCAACAAGACACAAACGTCACTGAAGTAGGTGAAAATTGTTAATGAACTCCGTGTCACTGAAGTAAAGCACATCACCACTCACCACTCTTGGCTCCGTCTCCACATCCACACGTTCCTTTCAACGGACGTCGCTGCCGCTGCCCCACAAAACACCACGGCTAAAAACCTCGTCCTTCTCCTTCTCAATCTCCTTAAAACAAGTAAGTTGTTCATGTTCTGGCTCTGGTACGAGAGGAACTTTAAAATCTCCAGGTGCTCGATGCTGCGTCCATGTTTGGACAACTTCCATCAACACAGAGCACGCTCGCTGCGGTTGACGTCGTCGTGTCTCCAGTGTCACATGTGGGACACTTTCGGGCCGTTTAATGTTCACACTGGAGTCACATGCAAGTCGCATTTAATTGGAAATGTGAACGACCTCACAAAAACATTGGATTTCACACAAAAAATCGGAATTGAGCGTTAAGCCCTGCAGTCTGAACGTAGCCTCAGAGCCTACGTCACGTTTGGAGGGCGGAGCCTGTGCTTTCTCAGGACGGGCGGGGGGAGGGAGCAATAGTCGGACTTTCATAGTTCCTGGTCTGTGACGCCTCCAAGAAATCAGTAAAATTTCAAAACTGTTGTGTAATGGATGTTCCAAAACCCAAATTGTGCTTGTTTATGTGCAGAAGATAGAATGTGAAAAGAGCTATTTTACATGAGATGGGCCCTTTAAGTCATTTTAACTTATCTAGATATTGTTTTTTTTCCAGTATAATAGTTTCTGTAATGTTACCATGTGGTCTTCTGATAATTCTGAAAGCCTTTCTGAAATAATTACAACTCACACATGCTTGGATCTGTTAAAAGTTACTGAAATCTCTCTCTGTCTGTGTGTGTGTCAGTGGAGTTGGCGATGATCATGGACCGTCTGTACGGAGGCGTTTGTTACGCGGGCATCGACACCGACCCGGAGCTCAAGTACCCGAAGGGGGCGGGGCGAGTGGCCTTTTCAAACCAGCAGAGCTACATCGCTGCCATCAGTGCCCGCTTTGTGCAACTGCAGCACAACGACATCGACAAGAGGGTGAGAGAACACAGAATATACTCAAATATTAAACATAAAAATACTCAGTGATATTAGAGAGAGGTGGGAAGATAATAAAAACATAAATAACACTGTGAATGTTTTTGGAAAGTATTCAAAATGCAAACATATCGTACAAACTAGAAAATGCTGAAAAATCACTGATTAAAAATTTATGTTATTGCTTTTACTGGATTTTCCCCCCGTATGGCATTTATTCGATATGTTTCCATGGAGACAAGCAGATAATATTACCAAGCCAAGTTACTTATCAGATCTGTGGAGAGCAAACCCTGCATTTTTTTTTTTCCTTTTTAGCAATAAAACCCTTGTAACTGAATACATGTAAGACAGATACGTTTAACATTTCTGGCGGAGGGTGGGTCCATCACATTTGTTTCCAAGAAGATGTTATTTCTTCACTGCAAAAAATCTTGGCCAAAATTTAAGATATAAACACTTAAATCTATCAGAAAATGACTTAAAAGTAGCAGCAAGATAATGTTACTTGACAAGTTATCTTAAAATAAACAACCTCTAGACTAGAATGAAGCATCTCTGAACCAGTAACAGTCAGTAATAAATCTGAAAACAAGATGAATAACCTGAAATAAGTTTTTAAATCTTGGCCAGATCAGACAAATTTGCAGAGTTTATTTGGAATGTTCTGCAGTATGGCATTAAACTCACCCCTCTCCATGAAAACAAGCAGACAACAAACCAACAAGTCACAGGTCAGATCTGTGTCCAGGTGACCGTGTTCACAAGAATGCACTTTTTCACAGTATTTTTTGTTTTTTCAACCTTGTTTATTGATCATTTTCAACATTAACAGAGAATCAGAGTGCTTCATATTGAATAAGACTATTACAGGTAAGAGAGTAATGCAGGATATATCTGAATGTCAGTCCCCCAACAGCGCCACCCACAGGTCAAACAACCAAAAATAAGAAACAAATACATTTTAAAAAATCACTAAAAATAAATAAAATTGATAGTAGTAATAGTAGTGGTAGATAAATTACACCAATATACAATGTAAATTAATAAATAATAATAATAATTCATAAAAAATACATTAATTAATTTTAAAAAAGTAGTAAAGTAGGAAGTAGGGGATGCAAAAAGGAGGAAAAGAGCCCACAGAGATGAATGTTTACATGGGAGAGGAAGAAAGAGGGGGAGAAAGGATTATTCCTTATATTTTAGTTTTTTAGTAAGTTTTTTATTTATATCGCACTTTTCACAGACATATGTCACGAAGACGCTTTACAGAGCATTGTTCAGTCACTCCAGACGCGGTGGTGGTAAACTACTACAGTAGCCACAGTTGCCCTGGGGCAGACTGACAGAAGTGTGGCTGCGTATCTGCGCCATCGGTCCCTCTGACCGCCAACGACACTCACACACACACACCACTTTCATACTCGGCAATAATAAGGATGAAGTGTCTTGCCTAAGGACACAATGGCATTTTTTGCGACTGGCGCCCCCCTGTGGCACCTGATTTTCCCAGTGTCTCCCATCCAAGTCCTGACCAGAGCTCTGAGCTTCTGAGATCTGACGGGATCAGGGTTTGACAAACGGGTATGGACATTTTAGTAGGAAGAATTAAAGAGTCAACGTGACATAAAAACGGCTCCCAGGTAATTTAACAGAGCCTCTGAGTGAAAACTAAGGCTGGGCAACATTAAGAAGTTGACGATACGATACATTGAGCTTTTGATTCGATACAATTCGATATGATATAGGGGTGTAACGATATCCAAGTCTCACGATACAATATCGTCACGGTACGAACCTCACGATACGATATTTATTGCGATATCGTGGGAAAGCTCACAATTAGGGATGTAACAATATCCAAATCTCTCTGTACGATATTTATATTTATTGCGATATTTTGTGGAGGCAAGAACAAAACAGTGAATATGCTACTTTTTCCTCTTAAAATGCCTTGACAAGATTTAACTCAGAGAACTAAGACTTAAAGGTTGTATAGAGGATTTTTCCAAGGAACGAGAAATCCAGCGACTGTCGTTTTTCAAATGTTGCGCATGTGTGAAACCACCCCCCCCCCCCCCCTACAGCTCCTACGAAGAAACGCCTCCTCCCGCCTCCTCCTTACGCCAGAAACAGGTTTGTTTACAGCCGGTGCTGCACATGACTTGTAAACAACTAACTACAGTGTTGGTTAGACAAGACGGAGAAGTGAGGAGCAGGGAGAGCGGAGGGGAGAGAGAGTGCGCGGATCGGGCAGCGGGGAGAGGAGCAGGAAAGGGGAGCAGAGAAGGTGCGCGCGGAGATTCAGTGCGAATGAACTAGCTACAACACGCAGCAGCAAGCGGACTCTTTCTTTGCCTTGAAAATTACGTTTTCAGACATAGGATATCGCATTCGTGTCCTGAAAAACGTTTGTCTAGCTCTTGGAAATAAAGTACGTTTTCATAATAAGCAGAAGTTTCCTGTCCAGGAGTAATTTGTGGACCAGTGCGTCAGTCTTTAGACCCTGCGTCTGCTTCAGTTGCGCCATCGCTGGAATGAATCTACAAGAATCACCTTAGTTTGGCTTCGCTGCTTTTCCCCTTGTCTTCTTCTTTCAGCGACCTCAAAAACGGACTTTCTTTTGCGGCGAACTGCTCCTGGATTCTTGTCGCCATTGCAACAAACTTTGTGCGAACTGCGAGGAAGATATAGGTCAAAAAAAGCCGCTAAGAACTGTTGCGTTGGTGGAGTAAACAGCGTCTGTGCGTCTTGCGTCTGTGGACTGCGTGACAGTCGTACGTAAACCACGTACCGGCGGCGCAGGCAAGTCAGTTACACTAGAAACGTAGGGAGTTTGATTGACAGCCTGTCAGCTCACAGATAACGAGGCAGTGTCGTTATCTATTGGCAAATGTTTAGCCCCACCACGTCCAGAGTTGATGAAATTTTATTCTCTTTTTTTTGGTCATCATAATTACAAGGCTACTGCATCTATAATCTATCATTGACAACTTGAAACAAAAAAAATCCTCCATACAACCTTTAAAAGTGTTAGAACTGTTATTTCTTCTTGTAGTCTGCACTGAAATGGAGCAAAGGATCATGGTCTATGTAGTTTACTCTGTCATTTTTTAAGCTATTGCTGCACCATAACTCTTCATTTAAGCAAAGAGACTTGTAATTCGATGTATTATGATGGTCCACGATATTATTGTGAGAACTTTGACGATACGATATCACGATATTTCGGTGAAAATATGTGTCGCATAAATGAGTTTCCTTCCTCTAAACCAGGGGTCATCTAGCTTTTTTCTCTGTGGGCCACATTATCGCTCCTGACGTGATGGGCCCACGATGCAGATTATATTCTTTGAAAACCACCACACTTTTTTACATATCAGACAAACTGAACGGTTCTTACACTGTACAAAAAAATAATTGGTCGTCCACTGTTTTCATACTTTAACACTCGCCATTTTGTTGTCCTTAACTGCAGGACAGAACTCTGCGTGTGCGTTTGTCACCGTTTGATCTCGAGCTTTTCAGGTCATCATGTAATAATTTAAATATAAATATAAAAACTCCATATAAATATAATGTTTTAATAGAAAAAATAAATAAAATACAAGATGCAGACGTGTAACTATTTGCCAAAAAGTAATTTTATAAAAAAGGCCATGACAACTTTTGAGGGCCAGTTCAAGTGGTGGGGGACAAAGGGGCAACAAAAAGACGTGGAGGGCCGGAGTTGGCCCGCGGACCTTAGTTTGATGACCCCTGCTCTAAACAAGCAGCAAAATTAGAGCACTGTAACAAAATAATTTAGTAAAATGTACCAAAAAATACTCTTGGTGATATATCGATAGAGCAGCTCACGATATCGATACTGTATCAGCACATTAAACGATACGACATGTCGATATTTTGATATTTTTGCACAAACCCCGAGTGAAAACCTCAAGTTTAAGATTGTACAGCACTTCATTTTTCACTGTATTTTTTTAAGCAATAAACAGTGTTGGGGAGTAACAGATTACATGTACCAGAGTTATGTAATCAGAGTACAAATTATGAGTAACTGTATTCAGTTACAGTTACTGTTTCAGTGAGTGGTAATTGGATTACAGTTACTTTGTTGGAATAAATGGATTACATGGTGGTATTTTCCTGTTTTCACATTTTGGACTAAACCAGGACTAAACCAGGTCTAAACCAGGTCTAAACCAGGACTAAACCAGGACTAAACCAGGACTAAACCAGATCTAAACCAGGACTAAACCAGGACTAAACCAGGTCTAAACCAGGTCTTAAACCAGGACTAAACCAGGACTAAACCAGATCTTAAACCAGGACTAAACCAGATCTAAACCAGGACTAAACCAGATCTAAACCAGGTCTAAACCAGGATTAAACCAGGTCTAAACCAGTAAACCAGGACTAAACCAGTAAACCAGGAAACCAGGTCTAAACCAGGACTAAACCAGGATCTAAACCAGGAAACCAGGACTAAACCAGGACTAAACCAGGACTTAAACCAGGACTAAACCAGGACTAAACCAGGTCTAAACCAGGTTAAACCTAAACCAGGTCTAAACCAGGTCTAAACCAGGAAACCAGGTAAACCAGGTCTAAACCAGGATAAACTAAACCAGGACTAAACCAGGACTAAACCAGGACTAAACCAGGACTAAACCAGGTCTAAACCAGGACTAAACCAGGTCTAAACCAGGACTAAACCAGGACTAAACCAGGTAAACCAGGACTCTAAACCAGGACAGGTCTAAACCAGGTCTAAACCAGGACTAAACCAGGATTTAAACCAGGATTAAACCAGGACTAAACCAGGATAAACTAAACCAGGACTAAACCAGACTAAACCAGGACTTTTAAACCAGGAAAACCAGGTAAACCAGGATTTAAACCAGGACTAAACCAGGACTAAACCAGGACTAAACCAGGACTAAACCAGGACTAAACCAGGTCTAAACCAGGATTAAACCAGGACTAAACCAGGTCTAAACCAGGATTTAAACCAGGACTAAACCAGGACTAAACTAAACAGGACTAAACCAGGTCTAAAACAGGATTTAACAGGACTAAACCAGGATTTAAACAGGACTAAACCAGGACTAAACCAGGACTAAACCAGGACTAAACCAGTAAACCAGGACTAAACTAAACCAGGTCTAAAACAGGATTTAAACCAGGACTAAACTAAACCAGGTCTAAACCAGGATTTAACAGGACTAAACCAGGACTAAACCAGGATTTAACAGGACTAAACCAGGCTGTGTGGACCGTGTCTCCTCCTCTTCTATCAATAATATTTTTAATTTGGTTCAGTAAAATCTGGTCTTTTTTATTGACTTTTCAAGTAATCCAAAGTATTCAGATTACATTACTCACATTAAGTAATTTAATGGATTACGTCATAAACTACATTTTGTCTTATTATGTAATCTGTAATCTGTAGGGGAAAACATTTTAAAAGTCACCTTCCCAACTCTGGCAATAAAACACCACGGAGACGAGCAGTGACGTCTGACCCTTGTCTGGAAAAGTTACACAGTGCAGCTTTAATATTACAGAGCGACGACTACGCTGCGTTACACAATAGAACGTACAATTTGCAGTAATTCAGTCTGGCCTAAAATGCATAGTTAGTTTTTTTTCTCCGCTGCAGTGTCATCGGATATTATTGGGTTATGACTAGTATTGCCCAGTCACAACACAGACAATGACTCCTCTCTTTAATTTAGCCCCGAGTTTAGCCCCGCCCACAGCTCCGGTTTGGCCGACGCCCAGTCTCCCCGTGCGCTTGACCCGGGTTAAAATAGGCAGCTGCAGAGGACCCGGATCCTTGTGTGTGTGTGTGTATAGAACGGGGTAATTATGTCTGCCCACAGTGATTACAGGCAGACTGGGACTTCCTCACGTAGGCCCGGGCCAGACTATAATGAGACATATGACACAAGAGCAGATCAGGCCGACGCTTAACTACGACCAAGACAAAGCCGGGGCAGAGCCGGCGCAGCTGACCGCCCCTCGGATCGTGAAATTGCGGTACTTTTTTTCCCCACAGACAGATTTCATTCATTTATAAATAAATAAATAAATAACGAGCTTGAAAATTTTTCTTTTTTGTAAGATGGCATGATTTTATGAGAACTCTTGTCTAGTTTTTCTTTTTTTTTTTTTTTACATTTTGGTGAAGTGTATATAATAATTTAAGATATAAACACTTAAATCTATCAGAAAATGACTTAAAAGTAGTGAAATTATCTGTCCATGCAGCAAGATCTTTTTATTTGATAAGTTATCTTAAAATAAATGACCTCTACAGTCTCAGAACTAGTAAGTAGATAATAAATCTGAAAACAAGATTAATAAACTGATAAAAGTTTTTAAAATTTTGGCCAGATCAGAGAAATTTGCAGTGTAATTTTGCTTCCTGGTTGGACACAATATAATTCTATATTTTTACATCAATTTTCTTCCACTTATCTGGGGCCGGGTCGCGGGGGCAGCAGTCTGAGGAGGGACTCCCAGACTTCCTTCACCCCAGACACGTCCTCCAGCTCCTCCGGGGGGACCCCGAGCCAGGCCAGCCCAGAGACATGGTCCCTACAGTGTGTCCTGGGTCTTCCCCGTGGCCTCCTCCCGAGGGAGACACCCAGGAGGCATCCGGAACAGATGCCCGAGCCTCCTCAACTGCTCCTCTCGATGTGGAGGAGCAGCGGCTCTACTCCGAGCTCCTCCCATGTGACTGAGCTCCTCACTTTATCCACCACCCTGTGGAGGAAACTCTTGTATCTGCGATCTCGTCCTTTTGGTAAAGGACTGACGGTAAATCAAGAGCTTTGCCTTTCAACTCATCTCCCTCTTCACCACAGCGGTCCAATACAGCGACCGCATCACTGCTGACGCTGCACCGATCCACCTGTCAATCTCACGCTCCATCCCCCCCTCACCCCAGAACAAGACCCCGAAATTGAGGCCACATGAGGATTTTTACCTACCAAGCAGAAAGTCAGCAATGGCCAAAACATGTTAAAATTACATAATAATTATGATTAGACCAATAAAAAAGGCAGATTTAGATTCAGATTCAGAAAACGTTATTGATCCCACAGGGCAGTTCATTTGCAGCATTCTCAGAGCAGTTCTCACTTCTCACATGCACACAAACACACACAGTGTGTCAGTCCAATCCAGACCACAAGTGGAACACAATGACAACAGAAATGATCAGTGTTTCCCACAGAAAACTGGTTAGACAAGGTGGTGCTGTCTAACCAGTGGGGGGGTATGTGAAGTGGGCAGCAGGGGGGTGCGCTTGTTCATCAGACAGTTTCACTTTGTGGAAACCGTCTGACCTTTTCTTTATTTAACCAAGTTTCAGAAGACAAACTCCGCCTAAATACACAAGGTTTGTGTGTTAAATGTGTGAATGAAACAAAACACAACTCCAGGTCTGTTTTGATCAGAAAATAAACTGCAAATTTCTCTGATCTGGCCAAGATTTTAAAACTTATATCAGGTTATTCATCTTGTTTTCAGATTTATTATCGACTTACTAGTTCTGAGACTGTTTAATTCTAGTCTAGAGGTCGTTTATTATTAAGTAAAATCATGTTACTGCATGGACAGATAATTTCACTACTTCTGAGTCATTTTCTTATAGATTCAAGTGTCTATCTTTATATCTTAAATTTTGGTCAAGCTTTTTTGCATGGTAACATAATATGGGCCCTTTAAGAAATGAACTTATAGTGTTTGGGGTTTCACATCCATGCAGCATTTAATTATTACATTATAATTATTGTGAAACATGATATGGCACATAGTTTTTGTTATCAAAAACCCAATAAATATGACTTTGAAAGATTATTATTCAAACACTATTTCATTAACTTGGATTTCAATCGCATGGAAATCACACAACCCTTACATTCTCGAGGAAAACCGTCATGTGACCTCCTTAATGCTTTGGACTTAAAAAAAAAATGTTGTTCAACTTTACAAAATGGATAACTAAGCAAATTAGACTATAAGAAAGGGCTTATGCAGTGTTTTTTATGCCAGCCTCGTTTTCATGTAGTCCATTTCGTGACATGAACAGTTCTCGGCTCCAGGGTCGACTTAGGACTGGTTCCATAGCATAATATTTCTAGAAATATTAGTCCTGGGGGTGTTAGTAATGTGGCAAAATTTCATGCTTGTACCATAAAAGCGAACTATTTTGGTCCTTAACAGCTCCACTATTAGACTTAAACTTTATTGATCCACAAGGGAAATTATTTGGACTACACTACTCACTCTTTCTCTGTTTTTGTCTGTGTCGCTCTCAGGTGGAGGTGAAGCCCTATGTCCTGGACGATCAGATGTGCGACGAGTGCCAGGGCGCTCGCTGTGGGGGCAAGTTCGCTCCGTTCTTCTGCGCCAACGTCACCTGTCTCCAATACTACTGCGAAAACTGCTGGGCCTCCATCCACTCGCGGGCCGGCCGGGAGTTCCACAAGCCCCTGGTCAAAGAGGGCGGGGACCGGCCCAGACACGTGTCCTTCAGGTGGAGCTGAGGGTCCCGACGTCCTGCCCCGACACCCCCCCCTTCCCACCTGTACACTGCAAAATATAACAGCTACACAAGAGCGTTGGACTCAGAATCTTGAGTTGAGTTTATAGTTTCGACATTATTTACACTGCAACGTCAAAAAATCGAGTTAACGTGGCTTGGATTCAGAATCTTGAGTTGAGAAGTTTTGATTTAGTTGGAATAACTCAAAGATTTCATTTAGCTTTACACTGCAAAAACATGAAATCTACAAACCTAAGAGTATAAAAGCGCTGGATTTACAATCTTGAGTTGAGTTGAGTTAACTTAATAATTTTATTTACACTGCAACATAAAAAAAATCTAGTTAAAATGACTTGGATTCATATTCTTGAGTTGAGAAGTTTTGATTTATTTGGATAAACATGAAATCTATAAACCTATAAAAAACATTGGAATATTGAGTTGAGTTAACTTAAACATTTTAAAATTATTTACACTGTACAAACGTGAAGAATCTAGTTAAAATGGCTTGAATTCAGATTTGTGAGTTGAGAAGTTTTTATTAATTTTGAACTCAATCATTTCAATAATCTTTCAAAAAAAAAAATCAATTAATCTACCAGAGTGAAAATCTAATAGTGACATGAACTTTTTTGATTAATTCAATAGTTTCAAACTTATACACTGCAAAAACACAAAGATTTAGTTGGAATGGGTTGGATTCAGACTTTTGGGTTGAAAGGTTTTGATTCATTTAGAGAAACTCAGTAGTTTTTAAATAATTTACACTATGAAAATCTTGAAATCTTGTTGAAATTGTATTCCGAATTTTGGATCACACTGCAAAAAACAAAATCTAGTCAAGTTAAGATGACATGAATTAAAGTTTTATCATGATTTGAGTAAATTTCACGTGATCTGCCAGTGGAAGAAAACATCTTGCTACACTTAAAATAAGAAAAAACAACTTTTAGGACTTAAAATAAGAAACAAAATCAAATGTTGCTTGAATTAAAAAAAAAAAAAACAACAATTTATCCCTCTGGCAGATAATTTTACTTTTCAAGTTGAATCGACTGAAATAAAGTAAAACATATTAAGATATTGTAAGATATTGTTTTTTTCCAGTGTAGTTTTGATTCAGAATAACTCAATAATACTTTCAGAACTATTTAACTCAGAATCTTGAGTTGAATAGTTTTAATTCATTTAGATCAACTCAACAGTTTTCAGCATTAATTAATATTTCAATTTACACTGCAAAAACATGAAACTTTACAGAATTTTATTTATTTTATTTTTTTTTACAGAATTTTTTCATTTTGATTGACTTAAACAACTTTATTTTGATTTTATTTAGACTGCACTAAGGAAATGTCCACAATGGTTAAATTACACCCTCAGCCAGCTAAACATTTTTATTTTAGGACAAGAGTTTAGTGTCAAATCCAGCCATAACAATTGATAATAAATATAAACTAAATCAAAACAAACTTAAGATTCTGAATTCAAGCGGTTTGCAGTGTAACATCTCTTCGCTTTAACTCATGAATCCACTTATTCTCCAAAGTCTAACTCATTTAATCTGAGTCCAAGGAGCTCACGGTCTAAAACTCCCCTAAAAACAAAACAAAAAAACTAAAATTGGGAGTAAAAAGAATCTGTGTGTCATTCGTTCATTTGTTTTTCAATATAAAACCGAAAATAAGAAAATGAAAATACAACAATTTTCTTCATTATTTGTCTCCAAAACCAAAATGAAAAAACAGATAATGATTCGTTTTTTCAGTTTTCGATTTTGTGTTTAAAGGAAAAATGGAAAAAACGAATAACGGCCGTTTCCCGTTTACATGACTTCTGTGACTGTGATGCCGGACTGAACCAGGACTGATCCAGAGCGGAACCAGAGCGGAACCAGAGCAGGACCAGAGCAGGACCAGAGCAGGACCAGAGCAGGACCAGAGCAGGACCAGGGTGGACTCCAAGCTTTGACTTTGAGCCTCAGTTTCGAGCTCCGGCCCTGTGGTCTGGTCTCAGTCTGGTCTTGGTCTCAGTCCTGCTCTAGTCCCGATCGGGTCTCAGTCTCGGTCTGGTCCCAGTCTGGTCTCAGTCCCGGTCTGGTCTCGGTCTGGTACTGGTCTGGTCCCGGTCTGGTCTCGGCCTGGTCCCGGTCTGGTATCAGTCCCGGTCTGGTCCAGGCCTGGTCCTGGTCTGGTCTCGGTCTCAGTCCCGCCCTGGTCCCGGTCTGGTCTCAGTCTCAGTCTGGTCCCAGTCTGGTCCCGGTCGGTTCTCAGTCTCAGTCTGGTCTCAGTCTGGTCTCAGTTCCGGTCCGGTCTGGTCTCGGTCTGGTCTCAGTCCCGGTCTGGTCTCGGTCTGGTTTCAGTCCCGGTCTGGTCTCTGTCTGATCTCGGTCTGGTCCCAATCTGGTCCCGGTCTGGTCTCAGTCTCGGCCTGGTCCCGGTCTCAGTCCCGGTCTTGTTCCGACCATTATCCGTTTTTTCCATTCTTCATTCAAACACAAAATCAAAAACTGAAAAACAAATCATTATCTGTTTTTTCATTTTAGTTTCGGAGACAAATAATGACAGTTGTTATTTTCATTTTCTTATTTTAGTTTTTTTTTATATTGAAAAACGAACAAACGAACGACACACGGATTAAACCGGCGTAATATTTGCACACATCGCGGCCGCGCTCTGTCCCGTCGACTGGATCTCGTCCTGCTTCACTGACAGTGGGGGAAATATTTTAAAAACTATCTATTTTTATTTTCTATACTAGATTCATAATTTAAATTTTATGTAAAAAAAAAAAAAGATGCATGCACTTATTTGAGAAGCTGTAGTTGCGTCGCCGTATAGTCACACCGAAAAGGCGACGCTCAACGATGTAGCAAGGTAGAAAACAAATAACAACATAATAATCTATAACGTCGGCTAGAGTTTTTAAAATATTAATACCTCATTGTGGCAATCAAAATAGTTTGCTTTGGATTTTTAGGTCTTTATTTTTGTATTAACATTATTTTTTAGTGTTTTGTTTATGTAATGCTGCGTAATAGTTGTGCTGCTAAACCCAGTGGTATAAAGCAGATACCATACGAACTTTTTACGAGCTGCGATTCGGGCGCGGCTACGAGAAGACGCTATCGGTGAAGGGGAAGGGCGCCCCAAACAAAGATGGCTACCTTTAAAAACGTGAGGGAGGGAGGGTGGGAGGGTGCGACGGGGACGGGGGGGGAGGGAGGGAGGTACAGGGCCTGATCTGCATGTTGTATCAATCAGGTTTTGCATGACTTTTTCAGTATCACCTATAAAAAGAATCTTGCCCATGTTTTGCACACGACGCGAAAAACGGTAGACGCACGAAACGGGAAGGCGCTCGGTTGGACCAGGTTTTGGGCACGAACGGTAAACGGAGAATGGACGCGACAGTGATACGACGGTGATAAACTGTAATTACTGACCCAAAGGAGGAAAAAATCTGTGTCTAAATAAAAGAAAAGATCAGCAGAAGGTCCCAAAGTACCACAGTTTGAGAAAAACTGGTCTAAATGTTTGTACAAAAAATATTTAAGTGATTATATTGTCTTCGAAGAGCAAAACCCCTCAAATACACCACACGGACTAAACCAGGTCTAAAACCAGGTCTAAACCAGGTCTAAAACCAGGAAGGACTAAACCAGGTCGAAAACCAGGTTTAAAACCAGGACTAAACCAGGTTTAAAACCAGGTCTAAACCAGGTCTAAAACCAGGTCTAAACCAGGTCTAAAACCAGATCTAAAACCAGGTCTAAACCAGGTCTAAAACTAGGACTAAACCAGGTCTAAAACCAGGTCTAAACCAGGTCTAAACCAGGTCTAAAACCAGGTCTAAAACCAGGTCTAAAACCAGGTCTAAAACCAGGTCTAAACCAGGTCTAAAACCAGGTCTAAACCAGGTCTAAAACCAGGTCTAAAACCAGGCCTAAAGCCAGGTCTAAAACCAGGTCTAGAGCCAGGTCTAAACCAGGTCTAAACCAGGTCTAGAGCCAGGTCTAAACCAGGTCTAAACCAGGTCTAAACTCGGTCTAAAACCAGGTCTAAAACCAGGTCTAAACCAGGTTTAAACCAGGTTTAAAACAGGTCTAAAACCAGGTCTAAACCAGGTTTAAACCAGGTTTAAACCAGGTCTAAAACCAGGACCATGTTTAAAAATCGTTTAAGACCGAAAAATCCTGTCGTGTGTGACGACCTTTACTTGCAAATCCGATAATCGTAACAATACCTGTAGTTTTTTTTGGTACTTTTTATGAAGATATTTTCAAAAAGGACCTAACCTGGTGATATTATTTTAGTTAAAAGTTGTTTATTAGTTACTGGAGTCAAAAACTAGAACAATAAAGTCAAACATAATCGCTATTTTTGAGCATTTAAAAGTCCATTCTCTGCACTGTTTATGCCTTTAACCTGACAACTGGGTCTACAGAAAACAAAAATACTCACATGTAGGATTTATACAACTTCTTTATGGTTAGGTGAAGTACTTTTTTGCAGTGATTGTCGATATTATTGTGCAATTTTTGATACCGTTCGTTTCGTAGTTAGCTCTGCCTAGAACTGTGATTGGCTTTTACCTGTTGTCCTGTGAATTCTCATAACTCTAGTCTCTGCACAGTATAGCTCCATGTTCGAAAATACTTGCACCACATCAACAACGCGCACAAAACCGGCCGAGGAACGCGGAAACGTGAGACGAAACGGAGGACGCTGGCTCGGGAAAACAAATACAGATGGAGTAGGTTGTGTTCACGGGATTTTACAGCGATATAAAGTGCCCAAGTTTAAAGTTTAAAGCTGCATTGTGGAGCTTTTCCAGTAGAAGGGCCGACGTCAGATGTTTTTTCTCCATGGAGGTGTTATTACTTTGTCTGGAATGTTTCACAGTATGGCATTAAACCGTTCTATCGTCATGGAGACCAAACCAAACCAAGTTACAGGTCAGATATTGTGTTTTAATTTTTTATTTTGCCTATATATCCCCTCAAATTATAATTACTGTGTTCAGGAATTTAAATTAAAATCTGTAAAAAAAAAAAAAAAAAAAAAAATGTATAATATAAAATTGCTAAATGAATATTTTAACAAAAAATGCAATTTTAAATAATGAAATTTAAACCATAAATATTAAATTGTCATGGAGATTGAACCAGACCAAGTTACAGGCCAGATATTGTATTTTATATTTTATTTTGCCATTATATCCCCTCTAATTATAATTATTATGTTCAGGAATTTTTATTAAAACCTGTAAAAAAAAATAAAAAATTATTAATAACATAAAAACTGCTAATTGAATATAATAACAAAAAACTAAATTTTAAATAATGAAATTTAAACCAAAAATATTAAATTTTAAATATAAATATTTTATCCCCTCAAATTATAATTATTATGTTCAGGAATTTAAATTAAAACCTGTAATAGATAGAAAAAGATAAAAAATAATAAAAAAATAAAAATAAAAAAAAGATTAAATTCAAATTAATAATATAAAACTGCAAAATGAATATGAAAAAAACAAAAAAAACAAATTTTAAATAATGAAATTTAAGACAGTAATATTAAATCATCATGGAGACTGAACCAAACCAAGTTACAGGTCAGATATTGTATTTTCTGTTTTATTTTACCCCCTCAAATTATAATTATAATTTTCAGGAATTTAAATTAAAACCTGTAATAGATAGAAAATTTAAAAACGAAAAGAAAAAAAGATTAAATTCAAATAACTGCTAAATGACTATGAAAACAATGAAATGAAATTCTAAATAATGACATTTAAACCAATAATATTAAATGTGATAAATGAATATGATTTAAAAATTGCATAAAAAGAATTTTGCTTTTTAATCGTGAGCGGGGTCGCCTCTCCACAGATCTGACCTGTAACGTGGCCTTGTGGCATCACCTGCTTGTCTTAACGTACCGTAAAAAATTCCAAATAATAGCCTGGTTTCAATTAATCACCGGGTCCCCTTTAAACGCCGGGTGCAGGTGTATATTTTGATAAATAAACGCCGGTTCCAAATAAACGCCGAGTCAAATGAAGCTGCTCAAACTCCCATTTCCCGATTTCTGTGTTTTATTTAACCAAAATTTCACGACGAGTGCAGCGACACCACAGAGAGCCTGAAGTTTACAGCGACATAGACTCAGTTTGACCTCACCTTCACTAAAAAAGACGACGTTGCTGCGAAATCCCGATTTCAAAGTGACGTAAAAAAGAAAGACGGAGCAACATAGCGGCTAAACGGAAGCAGTTTTTAGGAGTTTTGGTGGTTTACTTCAGTTTGGCGATTCAAAGGAAGCAGCAGTGTGATCGTCGCTGCTGTGGCGTAAGAGAAAAGTTATTTCAAAGGGGACGAGGCGACAAGAAACGTGCCCAAACGTGCCGTCAAAGTAGTTGCCAGGCCTTCGTATAATGCCAACGCCTCCTCCGCGCCGTGCCGTTAAAACTGTACATTATAGTCATAAATTTTAAAAGAATTTGAGTACAATATTTTCCAGTTTTTCTGAGCAAAATTTTTGGCAAGAAGAACTTAATCACCTGCCCCAAATTGCCGCCTGGTCTCAAATAAAAGCCTGGTCTGGTTAAGCAATTGAAACAAAAAAATGCCCAGGCTATTATTTGGAATTTTACGGTACATACGATTTCAGGTAAAGCTTTAACATCTCCATGGAAAGTCTCGGCTCTAAAAAATCCCACAGTGCAGCTTTTATTGTCAAAATAAAATGGACCTGGCTTACGGTTAATACATCTGTAGTTAAATAATAATAAAGTTAAAGTTCAAATAAAGTTCAGTGTCGTCGTAGTCAACCAAAAAACAAAATAAGGTCGAACATATTTGGGTTTTTATTTCTTATTTCTTTTAAAAAAAACAGCCCTCCTTCTGAAAATAAAACCGCGGATTCTTAAATGTCGTGAACACAACCTCAAGTCGTCAAAAAGTCAACCAAAGACGTGCGTAGTGTTATGATGAAAAAAATACGATGAAAACAATTAAAAGTTAGAATCGAAAACGACGCTACCGACTTTACACATGCAACCGCGCAAGAAAGAAGAGGTTAGAAAATAAATAAATAAAATATGTATCCAGATTTTTTATTACCTGCAAAGCTTGAAGTAACTTGCTACCAAAACGGTGGTCGAAAAACGTTTATATTTTAATAAAGTCAGAAACAGGAAATCCAGTGTTTTAAAAGTACTGACTGCTGAAATGTTTGGGGTGACACTGGTTGATTTTATTTTTTACATTTATTTTATACTTACATCCATATTTTTATTAATGGGTACCACTTTCTTATAAACAATTAAAATATAATTCAATAATTCGTGAGCCACTAAACCAAAAACTTACTGACCCCTTGTGGTGAGATTTCTAATTTTTTGAATTTCTAGAAGCATCTTGCAATCACGCAGAATTCTAGTTCAAAAATTGAGTTGGTTTTGACTTTGAAAGTACTTAATATATTAAATAAAAGTAGCAGATTTAACATAATGGTGTCACATCAACTTAAATTACAGGTTAAATTGAAGTTATGTCAAAATTTTAAGTAGACCCAACTTAAAATGCTAAAATAAGTAAATATATTTTGGTGTCCTAGTTCAAAAACTGAGTTGGTTTTGACTTTGAAACTACTCACTATACTAAAAAAAAAGCCAAAAATGAGTGCTGACTTAACAACATGGTGTCATGTTCATTTAAATTATTGGTTAAAACAAAGTTAAGTTAAAATTTTAAACAGGCTCAACTTAAAATACCAAAAGAAGTAAATACATTTTGGAGTTCTAGTTCAAAAACTGAATTGATTTTGACTTTGAAACTACTCACTAAGTTAAAAATAAATACATAAATGCTGAGTTAATATGTGTTAAGTCAACTTAAATTATTGGTCAAAACAAAGTTAAGTTCAAATTTTAAGCAGACCCAATTTAAAATATCAAAATAGGTACATGCATTTTGATGTTCTACTTCAAAAATTGAGTTGGTTTTGACTTTGAAACTACTCGATATACTACAAAAACGAAAATGAGTGCTGACTTAACATAATGGTGTTACGTCAACTTAAATTATAGGTTAAAATGAAGTTAAGTTAAAATTTTAAGTAGCTCCAACCTAAAATACCAAAATAAGTAAATACATATTTCATGTTCTAGTTCAAAAACTGAGTTGGTTTTGACTTTGAAACTACTCGCTATGTTAAAAAAGAACAAAAATAAATGCTGACTTAACATAATGGTGTTACGTCAACTTAAATTATAGGTTAAAATGAGGTTAAGTAAAAATTTTAAGCAGACCCAACTTAAAATACCAATATAAATCAATTCATTTAGGTGTTCTAGTTCAAAAATTTAGTTGATTTTAACTTTAAAACTACTCGCTATGTTAAAAAAAATATAAAATGAGTGCTGACTTAACATAATGGTGTTAAGTCAACTTAAATTATAGGTTAAATTGAAGTTAAGTCAAAATTTTAAGTAAACCAAACTCATCAAAATAAGTAAATACATTTTGGTGTTTTAGTTCAAAAACTGAGTTGATTGTGGCTTTGAAAGTACTTGCTATACAACAAAAACTAAAATAAATGTTCACTTAATAGAATGGTGTTACGTCAACTTAAATTATAAATTAAAATGAAGTTAATTTTAAGTTTTAAGTAGACCCAACTTAAAATACCAAAATAAGTAAATACCATGAAAGATTCTTGAGCTTAACTCGAAAACGCAATTAAAAATACAGCAAAAAATATCCAAAATCAGAATATTGAGTTTTATTTGAAAGTGGCACCCACCCCGCCCCATTTTCAACTGTGTGTCTATGCTGTGTTGTTTAATATTTTATCCAAAACGAACTAGAAAATCGCTGGGTTTCGGGACTTGAACCCAGACTTGTGTTGATTTGTCCTGCACTACTCTTTATATCTCAACGGTTTCACAAATCGCGTTCTTGTGAAAATCTCTTTTGCATTACCTCAAAGTATATTAGGAGAGAACGTTTATTCAAATTACGAAAATATATTAATTTAAGTTTTGGAGAGACATGATTTAACAGATGGATTTATTTTTTATCACGTTTTTATTTTGAAAATGCAGTTTTTAAAAACTGAAGGATAGAGCTTTATAACTAATATATTGTATTGTACTTTAAACAGATGATTTCGATGTGAGGCCCCGATGTTAAAACAATTATGGAGGCCCAGAAAGGAGATTTCCTGCAACTGTAGCTTTTCAAATAAATAAATATAAATATTAACCCTACTCATGTCCATAGGTGAGGAGGGGAACTTAGATTGACCGGTAAACTGAGAGCTTTGCCTTTCGACTCAGCTCCCTCTGATTGATTAATTGATCATGGAGACAAGCGGCCGAAATGAGTTTCCTCCGCAGGCTGGCTCGGCGTTCCATTAGAGATAAGGTGAGGAGCTCAGTCACATGGGAGGAGCTCAGAGTAGAGTCGCTGCTCCTCCACGTCGAGAGGTGCAGCTGAGGGGAGGGCATCTGTTTCGAACACCTCCTGAACGCTTTCTTCAGGAGGGGTTCCGGGCTCGTCCCACCAGGAGGACGGCCCCAGAAAGACCCAGGACACACTGGAGGGACTATGGCTGCGTTCAGACTGCAGCCTGAAGTGACCCAAATCTGATTTTTTGGCCCCTATGTGACCTGTATCTGATCTTTTAATGAACGACACAGATCCTATTTTTTCAAATGTGACCCAGGACACTTGGATATGTGCTCCTAAAACCGATACATATCTGATCTTTTGACATGCGACTTCGGTCTGAACGGTCAGGTCACATTCATCCCACCTACACGTTATCAACAAGCCACGAACGTCACTATTCTGCGCTGAAGTAGGTGAAAATTGTTAATGAACTCATGTCACTGAAGCGAAACACATCACCACTCACGGCTACGACTCCACATCCACACGTTCCTTTCAACGGACTGACCCACAAAACACCACGGCCAAAAACCTCGTCCTTCTCCTTCTCAATCTCCTCCTTAAAACAAGTAAGTTGTTCATGTTCTGGCTCCGGTACGAGAGGAACTTTAAAATCTCCAGGTGCTCGATGCTCGCGTCCATGTTTGGTCAACTTCTGTAAACACAGAGACGCTCGCTGCGGTTGACGTCGTCGTGTCTCCAGTGTCACATGTGGGACACTTTCGGGCCGTTTAATGTTCACACTGGAGTCACATACAAGTCGCGTTTAATTGGAAATGTGAACGACCTCGCAAAAACATCGGATTTCACCAAAAAAAAATCCGAATTGAGCGTTAAGCCCTGCAGTCTGAACGTAGCCTTTGTCTCTGGGCTGGCCTGGGAACGCCTCAGGGTCTCTCCTGGAGGTAGAGGAAGTGTCCGGGGTGAAGGAAGTCTAGGAATTCCTGCACCCCCACGACCCAGCCCCAGATAAACTGAAGAAAATGGCTGGATTAAACACACTTTTATCCATTCAGCCGCTCCCTTATTTGTCAGGAGTTTCCACACTGAACCTATCACGTGTTTATAGGGCTTGATATTTAAGCCAGATGCCCTTCCATCGCAACACTAAGACTAGAGAGGAGCAAGCAGTGGGAGTCCTGAACTGGCCACTTACCTGAGAAAATAATGGTGGTTTAATCGTCAAAATTCGCAAAAACATGACATTATTGTGCCTTTGCATTGTTGGATGAAAAACTGTCATAACTAATTTTTTTTTTATAATTTTTTGCACATTTGGAGTAAAATAAAGCAAAAATAATGCCATGAAACGACCTCCAAATACATCAGATATTCACAATTGGGCTTCTATTAGGAATTATAAACACGTTGCAGATTTTTGACCTTCCTGGGCCTCCATAAAAAAAACTTCTTCGCGCTCGAACATAAAATTCACACTATTTCCCCTTTTTGATACGTGTATTTATACCAGTCCTTACGCTGACCAGAGTGGATCTTCTGTTGAATTATTTTTATACACATTTTTTTATTTACATTATTTGTACTTTTGCTTTTCCAAATAACCCTTTTATGGTTTGAAATCACTGACACTGTTGGGAGAAAGAGGAGTTAATATTAATTTAAGTACAAAAAAAAAAAAAACTTGAGGTGCATCGTACGGACGACTGGTGGCCTTGTAAACTCACACAAGACTTGAATTTGCCCCATTTTTTAAGGCTAAAGATTCTCAATTCTTTGTCGTAATGTGCAATAGCATTTGTACCGTTTGTAGAAAATATAAATAAAAAAATTTAATAAAAAAAGTGTTTAAATTATATTGCGGATTTATTTTCATTGCAAGCATTGTGATTCACTAAATAATTTTCTACTATGTATATTCTACCTGCTAGTACCTTCCAGTAGTGATGTAGCCTTTGTACTGAGGAATTTTCATTATTTTTTGCTATAAAAAACAAACAAAATTTACACATTTTGCATTATTTTTTCACCCATTAATACTTATTTTTGAATGTTTTCATATCTGGTCTGTGTCACGATATTATTTTGTATTTTTAAGTGGAATAAATTAATTTTTGAGATAACACTAATTATTTTAACGGTTATTTTTTGTTTATTTTTTGACGTTTGGAAAAAAGTTTGTATTGTTACTAAAGTGAAAATTGCTACGCTTTCTGTGTTAATCGCTTACATTAGTGTGAAAAAGACGGTGAAAATGAAAAAACGCAGCAGGTGGTTGGTGATGTTTTAAGTGATTTGCAATGTAAACTAATGAATGGGCAATAAAATAAAGGCAGAATGGAGCATTACCTCGTGTTTTTGTGAGTGACTTTTGGGGACGGGGACATGTTTTGCGACTAAAACATTAAAATTTAAATAGATAATTCAACATTAGACATCACAATTTGCATTTTCTGAAACCTTCTGGTGTTACGAAGTGGTAGTTCTCAAGTTAACATCAATATTTTTAACGTTTAGTTCACTGGAGGTCGGCGATTCCAAGGCCGAAATGATCCAAATGATTCTACTGAAGGTAATCTAATGGAGCACTTCCTGTATTACCACATGACATCACAAGGTGGAACAGCGCTTTGTGTTTGAGAGAAGAACTCATCTTAAAAATGAGTGAATGAAACAAAACACAACTCCAGGTCTGTTTGTGATGCAGAAACATTATTCAGGTTCAGGGTTCCCACGGTCAGGGAAATCCTGGAAAAATCATGGAAACTGAAAATGTCATTTTCCAGGCCTGGAAAAGTCATGGAATTTTGTAAATTCAATGAAAACTTTGCAAGAGTTTTCCAAAGATGTGATGTCATGAAGTGGTAGTTTTCAAGTTAATATCTACTTCTTTTTTACGTTTAGTTCAGTGGAGGTCGGCAATTCCAGGGCTGAAATGATCCAAATGATTCTACTGAAGGTAATCTAATGGAGCACTTCCTGTATCACCACATGACATCACAAGGTGGAACAGTGTTTTGTGTTTGAGAGAAGAACTCATCTTAAAAATGAGTGAATGAATCAAAACACAACTCCAGGTCTGTTTGTGATGCAGAAACATTATTCAAGGTTCCCACGGTCATGGAAATCCTGGAAAAGTCATGAAAACTGAAAATGTAATTTTTCAGACCTGGAAAAGTCATGGAATTTTGTAAATTCAGTGATAATTTTGGAAAACTCTTTCACACAACTACAGTGCTGACTTAATTATTTAGCCCTACTTTTTCAAAATCTGCCATATTTTTATTGTAATGCTTATTTAAATAATGTAACCAGTTAAATAAATGTAAACTTTTCTGATAATTTCATTTAATATACATTTAAAATTTTATATTAATTACTTTCATATTAAAGAAATAAGTGCTAACCTACAGTAAAGAAGATTTTAAGTAGACTCAACTTAAAATATTAAAAAATTATGCTGACTTAACATAATGATGTTATGTCAACTTAAATTATAGGTTAAAATGAAGTTAAGCTAACATTTTAAGTAGATCCAACTTAAAATACTAATATAAGTAAATTTTTTGGCGTTTCTTTTTTGGTGTTCTAGTTCAAAAATTGAGCTGATGTTGACTTTGAAACTACTCGCTATATTATGTTTTGTAAATTCAATGAAATTTTTGAATCTCTTTCACGCAACTACAGCGTTGACTTAATTACCCAGCTCTACATTTTCAAAATCTGCAATATTTATTAAGCTGAATAAAGTATCTTTATCTAAATTAACATAACCATTTGTTCTAAATTCAGACTCTTCTAATATATTCATTTAATATACATTTTCAATTTTATATTCATCACTATTTCAGTATGTATTAATTTCATTTTAAAGAAATAAATAATAAATGCTAAACAACAGAAGAGAAGAAGTTAAAATTTTAAGTAGATTCAACTTAAAATACCAAAATAAGTAAATACATTTTGGTGTTCTAGTTCAAAAACTGAGCAGATTTTTACTTTAAAACTACTTACCATATAAAAAAAAAAAAAAAAAGTAATGCTGACTTAAGATAATGCGCTGGTGTTACGTCAATTTAAATTATAGGTTAAAATCAAGTTAAATTTTTAAGTAGATCCAACTTAAAATACTTAATATCTTAAAATCTAGCACTACATTTTCAAAATCTGCAATATTTATTAAGCTGAGAAAAGTATGTTTATTTAAATTAACATAACCATTTGTTCTAAATTCAGACTCTTCCAATATTTTCATTTAATATACATTTTCAATTTTATATTCATTAATATTTCAGCATGTACTTATTTCATTTTAAATAAATAAATAATAAATGCTAAACAACAGAAGAGAAGAAGTTAAAATTGAAATAGACTCAACTTAAAATATCAAAATAAGTGAATAGATTGTGGTGTTCTAGTTCAAAAACTGAGTTGAGTTTGACTTTGAAACTTACTCGCTATGTTAAATAAAAAAAAATAAAAAATTAAAAAAATCAACGCTGACTTAACATAATGGTGTTATGTCAACTTAAATTCTAGGTTAAAAGCAAGTTAAGTTAAAATTTTAAGAAGATCCAACTTAAAATACCAAAATAAGTAAATACAGTTTGGTGTTGTAGTTCAAAAAGTAAATAGATTTTGACTTTGAAACTATGTTATGTTTTGTAAATTTAATGAAAATTTCAGAAAAGTCGTGGAATTTTAGAATCAGTTTTCAATTTTATATTCATTACCACTTCAGTATGTATTTATTTCAGTTTAAATAAATAAAAAATAATAAATAACTAACCAACAGAAGAGAACTACACCCAACTCCGCCCTCTACTGGCCACCGCTGAAAACACAACACACACAAGTTTATATAGTTCAAAGTTGAGCAGAATTTATTACAATTCCACAATCTTAAACAAAAGCAGCAGCTACAGAAATATGTACAATTCGTCTAATTTTTTTTCCTTTTTCTTTTTTAAAACACTTTTCCGGGTTTCAGTCCGCGCCGCCGCTTCAAGTGCAGATCTCCAACGTTAAACTCCTCCGGCTTCACGAGAAATTCCTATTAAAAGAGAGGCTTTTGGAACACTGGGGCCTCCGGGTCAGAGCGCCCCCCGGAGTCCCGTCGGTGCCAAATCACAGCTTGACGACGTACGCGTTTGTTCTATAAAGTCCGCGATTTCCCTTTTGAGAGAGCGAGAACGAGGAAAGGCATTCGTTAAGACTTTAAAGATCGAGGGAAGGGAAGGGAAGGGAAGGGAAGGATTTAGGGTTAGGGATTTAACACTGTTTGGTGAAGATTTTAGATTATATAGGTGTGAAATATAAGATTATTTAGACAGTAATGAGCCTTAAGTTAGCGTGTCCTTTTATGTATTGCTTGAGCACACATATTACTAATAGGAAATAGAGTAAAAAGTAGCAGCAGTAGTTGTTGTTGTTGTTGTTTACAGGTTTTGACCAGGTCCGGCTTGGTCCATGATGAGGATTTGGAGGAGGAGGAGGAGTTAGGGGCAGGTGGACAGGTGAGGACAGGTGAGGACAGGTGCAGACAGGTGAGGGAGGGGGGGGGGGGGGGTGTTATTGTAAAGAGTGCATGAAGCTATCCAGGTTATATTCAGTGTCGTATTGCTGCTGGTCCCAAAGTTCGCCCAAACCGTCCAAAACCGTTTTCATGGAGGACTTCCCTGAGGTCGAAGGGCAGGGCTCGGTCTTTTCGCCTTTTTCGTCCTAAAAAACAAAACAAAAATGTCTACACGGTTAATAATGTTTGTGGAAAGGATGGTGAAGATTATTAAAAATTGAAAAAAAAAAACACCAATAAAATGTATTTCCTTTCAGACATTCACGTCATTTCTATTCGTCGTTGATCAAATTTCATCTTTTACAAGGTCTAGGAGTGTCGGTCGCTGTTCGTAAAAGCAGCGGTTTGGAGTTGGTTAAAGAAATGACTGACTGTGTCTTTCTCCTGTAAAGTGTTTTAAAAGCTTTGTACAAATTTTGCTCAACAGAATAAGGTTTTATTGTTCAAAATTGACTCTTGTGAGATGTAAGAAAAGTTAATGCTGTTGGTACCTCGTCAAAAACAGACCTGGAGTTGTGTTTTGTTTCATTCACACATCTGAGTAAAGCTGCATTATTAGTCTGTCTACATAGTGTCTAAATCAGACTTGGTGAGACTCGTCTACGTGTTTGTCTCCAGTAGGTTAGATACTGTAATGTCCTGCTCACTGTCCTCTCCAAACGAGCTGTGAGACGCTGTATTACATCCAGAACACTGCAGCTCGGCTCTTCTGAATCAGTTTTCCGAGGACGTTGCCTAGCGACATGCGTGACACGCCTCTTTTCCTGGGACGGCGTGACTCGGACCTCAGTGGCGGAAAAAGTCGAGTGAGCAAGAATTCTGAGTCAGAATCCAAGACGACTACGCAAACTGTGACGAGTAAATATGAAGTGTTTTCATTGTGTTTGGGCACTTTGGTGGTTTAAATGACAATGAAATGGTGTGGAGAGGCTACACGTTACTCTCTGAGTCTGACAAGCGAAACATAATAATATGATTCAAGCTCGGACGTGACGCCAAATCAGAGATTGAGTCAGAAGATAATCGAACGCAGGGTAAACACGGGGAATCAGAGTTTCAGATTCATGCAGCTAAAACCTGGAACAGTCTGAACATGAGACACAGACTCGACTTTGACTCTGTTTAAATCCAGAACAGTTCTGTTTAGCTGCGTCTGACTCTGCACTCTTCTTTCCAATTTAATGTCTTTCTCTTTTTAATATTATGATGATTATTTATGTTATAATTTGTTTGTATTGTGATTTTAATGTATCCTGATTCTGTAAAGCTTTGAAATACTTTGTGGACAAATTGTGCTGCATAAATAAACTTGCCTTGACTTTTACCTTTTGGTTCAGCAGAAATTGACAGTTCCATGGCTGATATCACCCACATGATTCTAGTGAAGGTGTATGGAGTTTAAAACACAGTGTACGACCACATCAGGAGGTGGATGGGAGCCTAAATGTGCAGGATTTGTGTGTTAAACATGTGTGAATGGAACAAAACACAACTCCGGGTCTGTGTTTGATGAGGAAACAACTTTTGAAACCTGGTGACCCTCCCTCCTCCCTCCCTCCTCCCTCCTCCCTCCCTCCTCCCTCCTCCCTCCCTTTAGCCCGTCCGTCTCTGACCTTGTCCAGAGTGAAGAGGTTGAGCAGCTGGTCTGTGCCCATGCTCTGCAGACTGGCGTTGTCCTGACTGATCACCGTGTTGGCGATGCTCATTTTGAACTTCTGCAGGCCCATGATCTTCTCCTCCAGAGTCCCGCGAGTGATGAGGCGGTACACGTTCACCACGCGTTTCTGAAAGACAGACGGCGGAAAATGTTACAAATCAGTACAATGCAAAAGAAAACTGAACGCACATGTGGGTCTGGAAACATTTTCTGTCTCTGTAGCTTCTTGGGTTCTGTTTAAAGACAATTCAGTAAAGTGTAGGGATGTAACAATATCCAAATCTCTTGGTACGATATTTATTGCGATATTTTGGAGAGGCTTATATAATTGTAGATAGGACACGTTTCTGCTTTTAACTCTTTCCCCCATGAAGACGACATTTGACGACCCCCCTGTTTCCTTAATGACGACTTTTGACACCTCCGCTGTATCACTAAAGACGTGATTTGACGACCTTTAGAAACGGCTCGGTTTTTCACATTTAAACAGAGACTGTGATCGGTCGGGGCCACTACAACCCACACTAGACTGACCAATAGGATTCAAGGATATGTTTTCGCAGATTTTTTCCGAAGTTAATCGAAGTAGTGACGATGGTAGCTTCCGGAAAAAACACAACACGAAACACGAGCAATGGAAAGATCGCGGAGCTGCGGCGCACAGTTTTAGAAATAATGAGGAGCGGACGTATTTTATGGATAAGTTTAGAGAAAGTGACTTTTATAGATTTCAAAGTGATGATGAGGGTGATTATAAAGTGGAAAACAGCGATAGCGACGGACTTACAGAGAGTGAAACTTATGAAGATGAGAATGCCGCTGATGCGTCTGTGTGGAGTTCTGCGATATCCAAACAAACTATCCGGGCTTTATACTCGAGTATGAACCAGAATTGCCCTGAAATCACTCGTGGAAGTCTGTTTTCTTTTATGCAATTATGCTCTATGGGTAGAACTAGTAACATATGTATGGGTTGTTCCTAGTAGGCGTCCAGGGGGGAAAGAATTAAACTACTATGACAAGATTATGGTGTGAATTATTTCCGTCATAATCCCAAGAATTCAAGTAAAAACATTTCTCTTCACGTTGTCTGCGGTGAAATGAATCATGGGATATGTAGTTTCCGATGTTTATTGGCTGTTGCTACTGTAAAACCATGTATTTAAATAAAGGAACTTGTGATTCGATATATTGTGTTGGCCCACGATATTATTGTGAGACTTGTCGATACGATATCACGATATTTCGGTTCTTGTTACATCCCTAATAAAGTGTATTTTTAATGACAGCAACGAGCAGCAGAAATAAATACACTTTACTGTACTGTCTTGAAAAAGAATCCAAGAAGTTAAAGCGCATAAGACTACAAAACTGAGTAAGAATAAATAAATAAATAGTAATAAAAATTTTACAAATGAACATCTTTGGTTCATTTTCTGCCTCTCTGATTTCATACGAATGTGATTGACAGGAGGATTAACCAATCAGCGAAAGGCAAAGGTCGACAAAATAAACACAGATGTAAAAAAAAACAAATTAAATAATACAGAAAAGAGCACAGATTTTCGCAGAAACAAAAAACAAAGCACCAAACTCTTCTTTATTGTGGGAAAAATATATCACCGTAAGTTCCGGACTATTGAGCGCACCTGAATTTAAGTGGCCTCTACTAAATTGTAAAAGAAATAAAAGTACATATATATAGGCCGCACTTGTCTATAAGCTGCAGGTGTCCACATTTGTAACTTGTAATTTGTTAAAAGTGTCAGAAATAAGTAGCAGCTTATTGTCCGGAAATTACGGTAACCAATCAGAGAAAAACAAAGGTTGTCAAAATAAACACGACAGCTTACAAGCGCATAAAACTGTAATTAAACAATACAAAAAAAAAAAGAGCGCAGCGCCTTCTCTTCTCCTTTCAGCGAACTCAAAAACGGACTTTCTTTCGCGGCGAACTGGTCGTGGATTCTCGTCTGACATCGCGACAAACTTTGTGCGAACTGAGAGGAAGCTACAGTTCGAAAAAGCCTCTAAGAACCGCTGCGTTGGTCGAGTAAACGGCGTCTTTTGTACGTGGACACGCGTGAGAGGCGAACATAAACCATGTAATCCCAGTGCGCCGGCGACTCAGTTACACTAGAAACGTAGAGAGTTTGATTGATTAACCAAGTCCAGTTGATGGATTTTCATTCCCTTTTTTTGGTCATCATAATTAGAAGGCTGCTGCATCCTTTTAACACCATTTTGAACTTTCATTGACAATTTAAAACTTAAATAAATCCTCCATACAACCTTCAAGTCGACTAATTGAAACACGGGGTAACTCTCTGGACAATCAAGAATTTATTTCGTAAACTACAGCCCCGATAATAAACGCTGCAGCTTCTGGAAGGGGGTAAATAAAACTAAAAGTGCACCTGTCCGATCCGGTGAGCTCGGTCCATGGCCTGCAGGTCCCTCATCGGGTTCCAGTCGTGCTCCACAAACACCACCGTGTCGGCTCCGGTCAGATTCAGACCCAGACCTCCAACGTGAGTGGTGAGGAGAAGAACGTCTATGGAAGGGTCGTTATTAAACCTGAGGGGGAAAAACACACCAGCAAAGAGAAAAAGAGAGAGAGAAAGTTAATAATAATAATGATCATAATAATAATAATAATAATGATGCTCTGTAAATCGCCTTTGAGTGTCCAGAGGAGCGTTATATAAAACTGACGAAAGTGCAGTTTAAGTAATCATTTGAAATACAAAAATCTGTTTATTTGACGGGATAATATCTGTGAACATATTTATAGTTTTAGTCAGTCAATTGAATTAATGAAAAAAAAAAAAAAAAAAAAAAAACATGTTGAAAATTACAGGAGGTGTTACAGAAAGTCGGGCAGAGTTAAAAAAAAAAAAAAAAAAAAAAGAAGTAATCTCTTAACCACATGACAATAATAGATCGTATTTTATCTACAATGAAGGAACCATTTATGCTACGTTACATTTATGTTATGTATGTATTGTTATATATTATTATTATGCATTTCTGATTACCTACTGTGCTTGTGTCTGCTATAAATATTCTTTTGTCAATGTTTATAGTTATAATTTGCACATAAAATTGCAATATTAATCTAAAACAGACCTGGGCATTGTACAGCTCCGGAATCACATAAAGCCTTTGTTTGACTCTGACCGGCCCGTTTAAGATAATTTGGAATTATAAAATAAACATTTTATAATTTTACCCCATGTGTGGACTTGCTTTTAATTTAGAAGTGTTTTTTAATGTCATTTTTGTAAGGCAGCCTCACTTTTTCATCGCTGAGTCATAACAAACTCTTACCAGTTTCACCAGCTTTTTTTAAAGAAATAACATCGATATTATTCAAATTTTATACAGAGTTAAGCATTTTGGTCCTCCACAATATTTTCTGTGGCCCCATGGAAAAAATAATTGCCCCAGCCCTGATCTAAAATAATTTAAAGAAGGAAGTTCGCTGGCTTCAGTTGATCTTAGGGAAAATTAGATATGATTTTTGTTTGTTGAGTTCTACATTTCAGCGTAAAAACATACAATTATAATTTATATTGATACTTTGCAGTGACAAGATGCTGGGGGTGTTCAACATGCATCTCTGTTGGAGGAATGTTCAGCAGTTACCATGGTGACGCAACGCACAAATGAGCAAACACAGAAAAAAAGTGGAAGATTTTCTGAAAACGCAAGAAAAATCGACATTTTTCAGGAGCTTGTGATGAGTTTAGGGGTCTGATTTTCAGCAAGTGACAGTAAAAAACTAAACTATCTTGCGTCTGTAATTTTATTTCTGAGAGACTTGTTTAACAGCACGAATCATCTCATCTGTTGCTTAATCTGAGTAACAGCACGTCATAACAGAGCGTCATAACAGAGGATCATTTGTCTGTTTTATAAAGCGCTCGTCTTGGTACCTGGAGACGATGGAGTGTCTGAGGCCGGCGGGGACACTCCCGTCCAGTCTGAGGTACGTGACCGTGGGCAGTTTGGGCTTCAGCAGGTCGTGTTCTACGATGTCCAACATGCTCTTGAGCTGACAGAAGATCAGGACTCTGTGCTGGGCCACGACAGACTCTGTGCCGCCCTCAGACGAGCCGCCCCCACCCAGACCACAGTCCAGTAACAACTGCAGAAGGAGAAACGAGAGGAGCAGAGGTGAGAAAAGAAGAGAACTGAACATATAGGTTAGGTTAGGTTAGGTTAGGTTGCTTTATTCGTACCCGTAGGTAAATTTGCTTTGCAGATTTAAGAGACAGGTTCCACATTTCACATTTCATTCATCCACAAAACACACATAAAAACACAATAAAATGTTACAGTAAAGTGTTACAGATGCTCCAGTGCAGAATGGTTTGTTCCATAAACAACCAATTAAAATCATCCAACACACTTGTCTAAAATCACAATAAATAAATCTTAAATATGTTAAAAACACACAATCTTAAATAAATAGATTACAGTTTATTCATAAGTATGATAGCAGCCGGAACGAAGCTCCTTTTAAAACGATTTGTTCTAGATCTTGGGACTAAAAACCTCTGACCAGAGGGAAGCAGCTGAAACTCTGAGTTTAGTGGATGTTGCACGTCTCCCAAAATACTCTGGGACGTCCTCTGTAAGTGTCTCGAGTACAGAGAGTCCAGCGGCTCTGAGGATGAACAATCACCTACTCGCCCATTTAACCAACTGATTCAGGGAGTTCTTGTTTTTAGCAGAAATGCTCCCAAACCACGAGACCAATGAAAATGTTAAAACTGATTCCATATGAAGCTGATATTTTACACTCAAAATCCTGCTTTTTGAGAACATTATTAGACTTAAACAAACTTTATTGATCCATAAGGGAAATTATTTGGACACAGTAGCTCAAACATCACAATAAATATAATAACAGAGTAAAAAAATATATATAAATGGTAATAATAAATTCTAAATAAGTAGTAAAAAGGTAGCAAGAGACAAGTGTTATTATATTATAAACAATAAAATATATGCATAGTGTGTAATTTATTGAGTTATATGTAAATATTTGTAAAGTTTTGTGATCAATGTACATAAGTAAGCACATAATTTTTGAAACTGTGTAATAAATAGGGGTGGATTCATTAAGTTTTTCCATTTTCCCACTCTTTTTCGAGAAATGTGCTTTTCTGTTGTTTATGATTATTGTTTTTCTTTTGGCACAAACTCAAAATAAAAACAAAATCAATCGATCAAAACTTAAAAGTATATCTGAAAAGTGACTAAATATATTTACTTTTAGATTTATATCAAGTCTGTATGCTTTATTTCTGATTTTACCTACTACTCAATTGTGTTTTGTTTCAGTAATTCTTCTCTGTTCCAACTTATGATGTCAAACAGGAAGTGCTCCACTGTGTTTTTAAACTCCAAACACCTTCACTAGAATCATTTGTATAATTTCAGACCTGGAATTGCCAAACTCTAGTGAATAAAGAGTAAAGGGGAAGCTGTAAAACTTGAAAACTACGATTTCATGGAACAGAGCACGCTGAACTTTGGAGATGTAGACAGACTAATGATAAAGTTGCTCAAACAAACAAACAAACAAACAAACGTGTGAATGAAACAAAACACAACTCCAGGTCTGTTTTGGATGAGGCAACATTATAAACACGCCTCAAAGCTCACAAGAGTCAGTATCGCGTAATTTAGGACTTTTAACAAATATTTAATTAAATAAAGTAGATTTCAAACTCAATTTTTTTCCCTGCTTCTCTGAGACCCAAGACTGAAATTTGGAAAACACTGCCTTAGCATTAAGACACGGGTCCAAGTATATCCGGTAAAGTTATCCTTTTAAAAATGTAATTATATCTTGTGTAGGAGTGTGCAAAAATCTTGAAATATCCATATATCGTATCGTTTAATGTGCTGATACAGTATCGATATCGTGGGCTGCTGTATCGATATATCGGCGAGTATTTTTTGGTATATTTTTACAAATTATTTTACTACAGAGCTACAGTTTTGTTGCTTGTTCAGTGAAAGGAAACTCATTTATGCGACACATTTGACATTTTCACTGTTTTGATGATTAAAATGGGTGTTTCATATTAACTTTGAGTGTAAGAAAAAAAAATTAAATCCATTCAGTGATATCACGATACTACAAATCATATTTTTCACAAAAATTTCAGGGTTACATTTACTGTTCTCATGATTTAAAAATAAATTAATGTAATTCAATTTTGTGCTTGTGAAGGTGAACATGACTATATTATTAGACGTAATTATTGATAAATTGCAATATATTGTCCTTTGGTGATACAATACGATACGATATATCCCAGTATATCCCAATACTAAAACAGACCTCTGGCAATGCACCCCTGAAGTGGTTCAAGAAAGATTTTCAGTATCACAGCCATGATTTAGCCTTTACATTTTACTGAACTGTATCGAATCAATTTGAAATATATCGTATTGAATAGAAAGGGCACTGTATCGAGATATGTATCGTATCGGAAACTTCTGAATGAGCCCTAATCTTGTGTAAAACTGATCACAGACTGAAGAGACAAACCTGTTTAAGTGCGGATAGTTTAGGTGCGTGTTGAATGTCTCGTAGGTTCGAGTTCTGCGAGGCCAGCAGCTCCGTGATGCGTTTAAACTCGGGGTGTTGAGCCGTGAGCACCAGGCTGGGGTGGTTGCACAGCTTCCTCAGATACTGCAGAGCCTGGGGGAGAGGGCGAGAGACAAGAGGTTTAAAATGTTTATAGATGAATTCTGTGGATAATAAAGACCAGAAGAAGAGGTAAGATCCAAGCAAACTACCTCTATTTGTTTATTTCATACCTTGACACTACTACATCTGCCCAATTTATCTCATTAAATGTATTTTGGGCCATCGTTTTTGCATTTATGGCAGAGTGGGAGGACTAAACTTTGCTCTGGTCTGTGAAAGTTGTGAAACGCGCTCATACATTTATCAAGATGACTAATTAGGACAGGGGTGTCAAACTCATTTTGGTCCGGGGGCCGTATCCAACTGACTTTGATCCCAAAGTGTCTGGATCAGAAAACTCATGTCATATAAACCCCAAAAATAACAATAAGTTCAAATATTTGTGCAGAGAAACACAAATCTATTACAGAAATCTTTTTTAATTGATGAACTCTTTCTTTTACAAAATATTATAATATTATGAACAACCTGAAACTTTAAGAAAAATGCAATTTCAACACAACATTTTAAAAATAACTTGGATGTAAATAGGAATAAGTCAGTTTTTCTTGGAAAATTCTGCACTTGGCTCCACTTTTCTCATGTTGGACATTTTTCTGATGAGGGTGTCACGGTCAACAGACAAAACGATCGTCCTTTAAGAGCGTTTGGAAAGAGACAAGTCTTCATTTGTGCTGCTCTGGTGGGAGGGGCCACGTACAGAGACGCTGGAGACGCTGCTGTGATAAACACCACAGAAAATTAACAAGATTTTAATAGAAAATATAATTAAAATATTTTAGTAAAAAATCAGCCGAGGGCCAGATTAAAGGTCTTGGAGGACCAGATCTGGCCCCCGGGCCGTATGTTTGACACCTGTGAATTAGGATGTTCAGAACACACAAGGCAAGTGAGTAATAACTTTGGACTATGGAGGCACTGAATATTTGGCAACAGAATATATTCGGCCAAATATTGCAAAAAAAAAAAAAAAAAAAAAAGAAGCCACATTTGGTTTTCGGTGGCGTGCGTTAAAAGTAAGGCCGGATAGTGGCGTGTGAGACAATGACGCGTTAATCTGGCGCCTTCATTAAAACGTCGGAAGTGTGGAAATATAAAGGCGCACTCTCATTAGGACCCTTTTTTAAATTTTAATCTTTATCATTATTCATGTTTTGATTTGTTTTTATTATGATTTTAAAAGCGCTTTGAATTACTTTGTGTACGAACTGTGCTGTACAAATAAACTTTCCTTTAGAACCGTGCCGTGCTCAAGGACGATTGTGTAAAATTCTATGTTCCGCACTCACACCTGCACATCCAAACCGAACTATGTCCCGTTGACGTCATCACACGGCGCCGTTTGTTCACATGTTGCACAGTAGAGCTTTTAGCGGAGAAAATAAGTCCAGCGGCATTAAATATCTATTAAACAGTGAGACAGATGTGCGTCCTCTTATGATACGTGCTCCTCTGTGAGTTTATGGAGATAAAAACAGCGCAGAGCAGTGATGACAGCCGCAGATCAACTTCTGTCTGTCCCAGTCCTCACTGAAGGTCGGCATGGATTCAGTGTGTGTTTTAGAGCGGACTTTATTCACAGTTTTCCTCGTACGAGTAACATCAGCGCACATACGGGGCTCGTATAGTGAAGTCGTGCGTGCGTGTGGGTGTATATGAGTAATTGTGCCGTGCTTTGGTCCACCTCCTCCAACCGGACCAAAGTCCAACAGACTCCTGGGCACGGTCCGACTGCGCTCACACTGGACAAACACCACGCTTTAGGTGGAATCAGTGCACAGTTCTGAAGTCCTAGTTTGAGTGCACTGTTAAAGTGTCTGAGAGCAAGAAAAGACCTTCAGTTTACAATGAATGTTACATGAAAATGTCTAGAGGTTGTACGTGGTCTCTGCCAAGACATTTAGCACTACTAGTTTAATGAGTCATTTAAAAACCAGTACATGGCTTTAGATGATCAACCGTTATCATCTTTTTATTTTCAAGCTGAAGTACCTGTTATTATCTGCTCTGGCCAGAAAATGACTTAAAAGTAGTGAAATTATCTGTCCGTGCAGCAAGATAAATCTACTTGACATTACTTGATTTTAAAATAATCTACCTCAGACTCAGAACTAATAAATAAATAATAAATCTGAAAATAAGTTGAATAATCTGATATAAGTTTTAAAATCTTGGCCAGCTCAGAAAAATTTGCAGTGTTACAATAAGATGTGAGCTGTAGACTGTTGAAAGAGTGATTTTTATGGCTAATTATTTGTTCATTCTGATATTTATTTGTTGCTGCTCATGTCTTTTAATGATGATGTCCAATTAAAAACGTGATTATTGTGACTTTTTTTAAATTATTGTGTCAGGAGTTTCAATATTATCGTTTATCGTTCTTCATAGTCAGTGTTGTGGAGTAACAGATTACATGTACCAGAGTTACGTAATCAGAGTACAAATTATGAGTAACTGTATTCAGTTACAGTTACTGTTTCAGTGAGTGGTAATTGGATTACAGTTACTTTGTTGAAATAATTGGATTACACAGCGGTATTTTCCCGTTTTCACATTTTGGGCTATTCCCTTTTTTTTTTTTAAATCGGTAATTCCACTCATTGCCGGACACTAAACCAGGTCTAAACCCAGTCTAAACCAGGACTAAAACTAGGTCCAAACCAGGACTAAACCAGGACTAAAACCAGGTGTAAAACCAGGTCTAAACTAGGTCTAAACGAGGACAAAACCAGGATTAAACCAGGTCTAAACCAGAACTAAACCAAGACTAAACCAGGTCTAAACCAGGTCTAAACCAGGTCTAAACCAGGTCCAAACCAGGTCTAAACCCAGGTCCAAACCAATTCTAAACCTGGTCTAAAACCAAGTCTAAACCAGGTCTAAACTAGGACTAAACCAGGACTAAAACCAGGTCCAAACCAGGTCCAAACCAGGTCTAAACCAGGTCTAAACCAGGTCTAAACCAGGTCTAAACGAGGACAAAACCAAGACTAAACCAAGACTAAACCGGGTCTAAACCAGGTCTAAACCAGGTCTAAACAGGATTTAACAGGACTAAATCCTGCTGCGTATACGTGTCTCCTCCTCTTCTATCAATAATATTTTTAATTTGGTTCAGTAAAGTCTGAGCTTTTCATTTTATTTTATTAGACAAAACATTTTATGTGAATATTTCCTCGTCTTTGCTTCTCTACAGCAAATCAAGTAATCCAAAGTATTCAGATTACATTACTCACTTTAAGTAATTTAATGGATTACGTTACAAACTACATTTTGGGGTGTGTAATCTGTAATCTGTAGGGGATTACATTTTAAAAGTCACCTTCCCAACACTGTTCATAGCAATGTATCCTGCTTCAAAATGTTTTATCGTGACAGCCGTTTAATGACTTATAATACCAAAAAAAAGTCAAGAAATCAGACTAAACGTTGTACCTGGAACACGTGTCCTGTGGCCTTGAGTTTGGGCTTGTCCTCCTCTTCCGCCGCAGACACAGAAATGCTGTCGTCCACACTGGCTTTGGCTCGAGATTTAGCAAAGTCCTCGTACAGCTGAACCTGAGGGAAAAAAAACAAACAAAAAAAAACTCTTTTACAAACGCAGAGCTGCAGTCATTATCCGCCTGGCTGATTTTATTAAGGCCTGAGGCGAGAACCAGGTTAACAACACATTTATAATCAGCTACATGGAAAAGGCCCTATGGAGAACTGTGACTTTTTGTATTCTAATGTTTGACACGTAACTTTTACATGAGTTTCTTCAACTTTTCTTACACAACATTTGCCCAAACATGTTTTTCTAAAGGAGCGGTATAACTTTTCTAGTAGAGGGAATGCCACCTGATTGTCTTTTTGCGATTTTGATGCAATGCTCCACAGTATTACCCAGGCTGGTGCCACCTAATGCCTCCGCTCAATTTAATTTCTCTCCAGCGACTAAATCAGGAATCAGAATACACTAGACCAGGGGTGTCAAACTCATTTTGGTCCGGGGGCCGTATCCAACCTACTTTGATCCCAAAGGGGCTGGATCAGAAAACTCATGTCATATAAACCCCAAAAATAACAATAAGTTCAAATATTTGTGCAGAGAAACACAAATCTATTACAGAAATCTTTTTAAATTGATGAACTCTTTCTTTTACAAAATATTATGAACAACCTGAAACTTTAAGAAAAATGCAATTTCAACACAATATTTTAACATGAACTTGTATGTAAATAAGAATACGTCAATTTTTCTTGTAAAATCCTGCACTCAGCTCCACTTTTCTCATTTTGGACATTTTTCTGATGAGGGTGTCACGGTCAACAGACAAAACGATCGTCCTTTAAAGAGCGTTTGGAAAGAGACAAGTCTTCACTTTGTGCTGCTCTGGTGGGAGGGGCCACGTACAGAGACACTGGAGACACTGATATGCTCAGCACCGCAGAAAATTACCAATATTTTAATAGAAAATATAATAAAAATATTTTAGTAGAAAATCAGCCGAGGGCCAGATTAAAGGTCTTGGAGGGCCAGATCTGGCCCCCGGGCCGTATGTTTGACACCTGTGCACTAGACGATTTATAAGAACCCCGGGAGTTGTAGACAGCGCACTGGCCAATCAGAGAAGAGCTCTGAAGCCATGACGTCAAACTCAAGCGTCTGTCTGGGTCCCTTTTGTGGAACAGCACAACAGTAAACAAAGCGTTGATGACGACAAACATTCTGTGTTGGTAACGATTCCCAAGATCGAGGATTTAAAGCCGGAACAAAGAGAATGTTTGGTGAATTTTATCAAGGGGAAAGACGTTATTGCCCTTCTTCCTACGGAATTTGGTGCATTACATATGTCTTGTCCAAATAGCAGCGATTGGTTAAATAAAAAAGTATCCGCCTACTGTCAAGCGAACGAATCCTAATGCTGTGAGTTCAGACAGTTTCCAAGTGAAACCGGCTGATGAATCAGGCTACCACAGTATAAAATTCAAGGAGACCAGCCAAACGTCTCAAGCCAGTGTTAATAGTTTTTTTTTTTTTTCCAAACTCCTCCCTTTTGGGACTGAAATTTTAAAAATCAACTACACTCAATAATTTCAAAGTGGGGAGTGGATATCGCAGATGTGGGCGGGAGCGGGAATAAAAATGAAATCTGAAATCTGCTGAAATCCTCCAAGACACTGACATGATACAGACATGACAGAGACTCTTTCTGCAGGAGACATGTGCAGTAGAGCGAAGGGGAGAGACGGAGTTGATGCGCCGAGGAAGATTCTAGTTTGATTGTGTTTTGAACAGTTATTTTACGCTTCATACACACAGCCTCCTCATGGTAAACACACAAAGAAATACAGATGACGCAGCTTTTAAGTTAAAGGCGACTGATGCGGCTGTCGAAAAAGGAAACAGAGCTGCAGAGTCGATGGGGAGACGTTGACAACGGCGGCGTGACGAAGTGACTCAAAAAGACGAATAAAACTTTCAGAGGTGATAAAAGTAGACGACGAGAACTTGAAAACGTTCTCGAAGACGTGGACACTAGTGTTATAACTTTTTTACAACCACTATATCCTGTATCATATTTTGATGAACTTTTACTAGTAATGAAAGGAACTGACCTTCAGTTGGTCATATTTTTGAAAAAAGTCCCCACGGACTCAAAATGAAGTTTTCGTAAAGTCGACCAACAACATGAATAAAACTGTTAGAAGGTTAATATCTGTTCAATCATAAAATAACCAAATAACACAAGAACAAAACACATAATCAGGGTAAAGATCATATAAAATAGGCCATTAAAAGTAAAAAAATGCTGATTGTCAGTGTTGGTTGAGCAACGATGAATCGAATGGTTTATAAAGTGAAAGCAAGAATAGAAACTGAAACTGCAGTATATTATGATGGCAGTACAACTTATTATTGATCCATTTTCAGTCAAATTGACTTGTAACGGCCCTTGTGAGAATTTAGCACGGTTTCACATTTCATATCATTGGCTGTAATGTGGATTTAATATTGTTTTGTTTCGGGGGGATTTTTTAAAAAGAGTGTTGAAAATGGAGTTTGGTTTCTTCAATTTTACCAAAAAGTTCATCCAATCATGATGCAGGACTTTGATTTTGGAAAAAAAGTTCAAAAAGTTATAACCCTAGTGGACACCTGCGGCCTATATATGTACAAAGTTTTTTTTCTTTTAAAATTTTGTTGATGCTGCTTATATTCAGGTGAGCTCAATAGTCCGGAAATTACGGTAATTCTGTACACAAATGCCGCATAAGCCGTTCTCGATTGCCTGAAGTGCCTAGAGCAGCTTTTGTACCTGCAGTGGGCTGAGGTTGCAGTAATAGTCCTGGATAATTTTGGGAGGCAGGTCTTGAAGCACGTCCTCCTTCATCCTTCTCAAAAGGAACGGTAAAACCTGTCTGTGAAGAGCCTCCATCGCCAAAACGCCTGCAACATCCACACAAGAGTTTAGAAAAATAGTCACATAAAATTTAAAAACTCTAAATTTGAGCGATAAATGAAAAAAAAAAACTGTTACTTGATGTTTTTAAATCTAGAAGCAAATACTAGATTTCTTTAATACTACAATGTTTTCTTATAGTTTAATCTAAAAACTGTAAAATCCTGGAAGGTCAAAGCATTTTCCAGTGTCAATAATTTATTTTTATACATTTTAATATTAATTTCTATTCCCACAAGCCTAGTTTCAGTCTCCTCTTTGGTGTTTTTGTTCTTAAATGTTAAACGCTCGTTACGTACCGGCCTCCTGCTCTCGGGATGAACTCTTCGCGTCCCGACTGGCGAGAATCGGTTTTCCGTAACGTGCCGCAAACTGGCGCTCGGTGCCAAGGAACCCGGGCATTAGGAAGTCAAACAACGACCACAACTCCAGCACATTATTCTGAGGAGAAATAAGAAAATATGTAAGTAACAGAAGCAAGCGAGGACGGAGGGAAGGAAGCAAGTGAGGTAGAAAGGAATTGATTTAGGAAGGGAGCAAGAGAGGAAGGAGGCAACCGGAATTAAGCAAGAAAGGAAGCAGGAAAGGAAGGAAGAAGGCAAGGTAGGAAGGAAGGAAGAAAACAAGGAAGCAAGCAAGGAATGAAGGAGGGACGGGAGGAAGGAAGCAAGCAGGCAGGCAAGTATGGATGAAGGGAAGGAAGCAAGCAAGCTAGAAAGGAAGGAAGCAGGAAACAGGAATTAAGCAAGGAACGAAACAGGAAAAGTAGGGAGGAAGAAAGAAAGGAAGAAAGCAAGGTAGGAAGGAATGAAGCAAGAAAGGTGTGAAGCAAGGAAGCAAGCAAGGAATGAAGGAGGGATAGGAGGAAGGAAGGACGTAAAGAAGGAAGGTAATAAGCAAGGAATGAAGAATGGAGGGAAGAAAGGAAGGAATAAAACAAAGTGGTAAGGAAGGAGGGAAGGAAGGAAGCAAGGGAGGGAAGCAAGGTAGGAAGGAATGAAGCAAGAAAGGAGGGATGGAAGAAAACAACAAGGAAGCAAGCAAGGAATGAAAGAGGGATGGATGGGACGAAGGAAGAAAACAAATAAGGAAGGAAATAAGCAAGGAATGAAGGAAGGAGGGAAGGAATCAAGCAAAGAAGGAAGGAAGAGATAAAGCAAAGTGGTAAGGAAAGAAGGAAGGAAGGAAGGAAGGAAGAAAAAGAAAGAAAGGAATAAAGCAAGGAGGAAGTAATGAAAGAGGGAGGGGAGGAAGCAAGGAAGTGAGCAAGCAAGGAAGGAATAAAGCAAGGGAGGAAGGAATGAAGCAAGGAAGGAAGGAGAGGAGGAAGCAGGGAAGGAAGAAGGGGAGGAAGCAAAGAAGGAAGGAATAAAGCAAAGTGGTAAAGAAGGAGGGAAAGAAGGAATAAAGCAAGGAGGAAGGAATGAAGGAGGGAGGGGAGGGAGGAAGAAAGTAAAGAAGGAAGGAAATAAGCAAGGAATAAAGGAAGGAGGGGAAGAAAGCATGGAAGGAAGCAAGGAAGGAAGGAAGGAAGAGAAATGAAGGAAGGAAGGAAGCAAATAAATGTAAATAAACGTCTACATACCTGGATTGGCGTCCCAGACAAAATGAGCCTGAAGTTTGCTGCCAACTGCTTAATCGCTTTGGAGAGTTTTGTTTTCCCGTTTTTAATGACATGACCCTCGTCAAGGATACAGTAATTAAACTTTATATTCCTGCAAAATAACATTTAAAATATCATATATAATAAAAAAAATAATATATATACACAAAACTACAAAGACTGACTCTAAAGGCCGCCACACTACACGATTTTTTGGTCTTAAAGGTTGTATAGAGGATTTTTTTAAGGGAAAAGAAATACAGCGACAGTCCTTCTGCGCATTCAGAATTACTGTTGAAGTTTCCTGTCTAGAAGTAATTCAGTGACGACGCGTCAGTTTTTAGATCCTTCGTCTGCTTCGGTCGCGCCATCGCTGGACGAGATCTCCAAGAATCACCTCAGTTTGCTTTGCTCCTTTTCCTCTTCTCTTCTTCTTTCAGCGACCTCAAAAACGACTTTCTTTTGCGGCGAACCGGTCGTGGATTCTCGTCCGCCGTCGCGACAAACTTTGTGCGAAATGCGAGGAAGCGACAGTTCGAAAATGCCTCTAAGAACCGCTGCGTAAACCACGTAATCCCCGCGCTCCGAGTCAGTTACACTAGGGAGTTTGATTGACAACCTAACAGCCAATAGAAAATGAGGGAGCCTCGTTTTCTATTGGCTGATGTTTATCTGGCCTCAACATGTCCACAGATGATAGATTTTCGTTCTTTTTTTTTTTTGGTCATCATAATTACAAAGCTGCTGCGTCTCTGTAATGGTATTTTAATCTTTCACTGACAGTTTGAAACTAAAAAAAAATCCTCCATACAACCTTTAAGGGTCGTTCACACCAAAGCGTCAAAAAACGCCTTGCCTCTGTTCCTTTGCAAAGACGCCCGACGCTCGTCTTTGACGCCGTGGACGAACGGGACAAAAATACTTGACGCGCGTCCGTTGCCCTGGAAACAAGAGCCCGGTCCCTGGTCTTTTCCCGAAACAATGTCAGACCAGACTGAGAGAGACTTTAGTGTTTTTATGACATAAAACATCAGCGGAGGAGATCGGGTCGACGACTGGGGCGTATATATATTTATACTCCACTAATGACACTGGATCAGTCCCGGTCTAGTCCCGGTCTAATATCGTCAAGTCTAATCACGGTCTAGTCCTGGTCTAGTCGTGGTTTAATCTCGGCCTATTCAGGGTCTAGTCCTTGTTTAGTCTCGGTCTAGTCCCGGTCTAGTCCTGGTCTACTCCCGGTCTAGTCTCGGTCTAGTCCCGGTCCAGTTCTGGTGTATTCCTCGCGATCGGCTCGGTGATTGTGGCGTATATATTTATGCTCCGCTGATGTTTGTGGTTCTCGGGTTTTTCTTCCTGATAATAACGTCGCTGCGTCACTGGATACTCGTCCCTGATTGGTCGACGCGGCGAGTCTGACGCGAAAAGTTCAGCATTTTCAACTTCTTGACGCTGATGCCTTGGACGCGCGTCTAGACCGCTGACGCCAAAACGCTCAAGACGCGCCCCGTCGACACCAGATTCGCGCCGCAAAACGCTGCAAAAACGCAGGACGCTCTAGTCGCGCGTCCACATAGACTTTACATAGAAACTGGACGCTTTGACGCCTTGGTGTGAACGGCCCTTTAAACGTGCGACAAAAATCACACACCACAGACACGAGGAGAATATTGTGAGACTTTAAATCTCCGATCGCAAAGACTGCAGCGGGATACGATTTGAGGATAATTTCTATGGATAATATGACTGAAAATGCTGCGGTTTAACTTCAGTACTCTCCACAGCTGTAAAGTCGGCTCATTATTTTCGTTATTTCCCGAGCTTGTATGTTGCGCCTCTGTGTGTGGCGACCTTAAGGTTACACAGTAAAACTTATTTCACTCCCACTTACTTGAAGAAGTCAATGTCGTTTCGTACCACGTCGTAAGAGGCAACTACGAGGTTGTGTTTTTTCACCAAATGCTGCAATCTGAAGAAATAAAACAAAGAATTAGATTAGTTAGAACTGATTAAGACTCTTGTACATGTTCAGTCAATTCAATCAAACTGTATATTTAGAATTTGTATGTATTTAGAATTTGTATGTCAGGTATGTCAGCATACATTTTATTTACCATATTTTTCAGACCTTAAAAGACGCTGTTAAAATGATTTAATTTTCTCAAAAATTTACAGTGTGCCTTATAATCCAGTGCACATTATGTATTACCGTATTTTTCAGACTATAAGTTGCACCTTTTTTCATGGTTTGGGTGGTCCTGGGACTTATATATTAAAATTTTCAGACTGAAAGCCACGAGAGGCTCTAGACTTGTGTGTCAGTATCTAGTACAACTGTTACTCCTGTACCGCTGTCACTTCACACTCTACTGCGCATGTCTCCTGTAGAAAGAGCCGCTGTCTTGCTACAAATAGTGAAATATGCAGCTGAAAACTGTAATAAAAAGTAATAAAAAGTATGGAGTGAGCAAGAAACCTGTGAGGGACTGGCGGAAAATGGGGATAGAGAGAACACAGCTTCACAGTAACCGGGCGGGATTCAGAAAAGGCCAGAATAATTCTAACTGATGCTGATTCTGACGACAGCGACACAGAAGAGGAAGCGGCGCTCTGTTTACCTCATGGATCTACGGTTTATCTCCGAAGGTTGCGCAGAAGTGACACAGAGGATGAAGAATTCAGTGAATTTAGTGATTTGGAGTGAGATCGTGAGTTTGGTAAACTTATGTTCTATTGTTTATGCTGTAATTATCTGAATAACTTAATATGTTAGGTTAACATATTAACGCCTATTCAGCCTGTTATTCTCTGTTCTGTTGTTATTACTAGAACTTGACTTTCAAAATGAAATGCCAGTTCCTGCTCTCTGATTTTATAAAAAACATTTCCCCAAAAAGTGTGACTTACAACCAGAAATACCGTATTTTCTGGACTATGTTTACTGACCTCGAACTGATTTCATGTGGTACACGGCGCTCAAAATCTGTCAAAATGTTTTAGTACAACTTTGGTAAGATACAAAGTAGGTCTGCGCAGGACAGAGTTTTCAGTCCCGCTCCTGTCCACATCTGCGATATTTTGTCCCGCTCCCACTTGCAAATCCCGCAAGATGGGGACGTCCGCTTTCTTAAGCTCCATCAAACACGCAGAAGCAGAAAGGAATTGTCTCAAATGTGTGCAAGATCAAACCACATCCGCAAGTTTAGGCTGCTTGAATTGTTTTTATTAATGCCAAATAAAATATCCAGCACAGATGATAGGCATACATGAATCATTTGAATATTTTACTTTACACTCAAATTTAGTTTGCTCTCGTCTGCGCACGCAATGAGCTTTCAAAACGTGTCAGGCGCTGCTCTGTTTTGCGTCGGGTCCCACAGCTCCCTCCCCGTCTTAAGGGCCGTTCACACCAAGGCGTCAAAGCGTCCAGTTTCTATGTAAAGTCTATGTGGACGCGCGACTAGAGCGTCCTGCGTTTTTGCAGCTCGTTTTCGGCGTCAGCGCGGCGCAAATCTGGTGTCGACGGGGCGCGTCTTGAGCGTTTTGGCGTCAGCGGTCTAGACGCGCGTCCAAGGCGTCAGCGTCAAGAAGTTGAAAATGCTGAACTTTTCGCGTCAGACTCGCCGCGTCGACCAATCAGGGACGAGTATCCAGTGACGCAGCGACGTTATTATCAGGAAGAAAAACCCGAGAACCAGAACGAGAACCACAAACATGAAATATAATTATATACACGACAATCACTGAGCCGATCACGAGGAATACACCAGGACCGGACCAGGACTAAACCAGGACCAGACCGGGACTAAACAAGGACTAGACCGAGGACTAGAACCGGGACTAGACCGACTAGACCAGACTTAGACCGGGACTAAACCACGACTAGACCAGGACTAGACCGTGATTAGACCAGGGACTAGACCGGTGATTAGACCAGACTAGACTAGACCGTGATTAGACCAGGACTAGACCGTGATTAGACCAGGACTAGACCGTGATTAGACCAGGACTAGACCGTGATTAGACCAGGACTAGACCGTGATTAGACCAGGACTAGACCGGTATTAGACCAGGACTAGACCGTGATTAGACCAGGACTAGACCGTGATTAGACCAGGACTAGACCGGTATTAGACCAGGACTAGACCGGTATTAGACCAGGACTAGACCGGGACTAGACCGGGACTGATCCAGTGTCATTGTTTTTTGACGCTTTGGTGTGAACCGCCCTTTATAATTCGATGCGCCTTGTGTATGAAAATAGATGAGAGAATTCAACATTATTGACACTGCGCCTTATAATCCGAAAAATACGGTACGTACAGGTAAATACATGCCCTTATTTTTATTAAATTATAGTTTGCATCATAATTATTTGTTTAGTTTTGTTCACTGACAATGGCAATAAAACAAATTCTGATTCCACTGATTATTTATGAGAAAAAAAAGAAATAAAAATCAAAAACTATGAGCGAACAAAATAGAAAAGAGTGAAATGAAACCGGCTTCGGCACTTTCGCTCTTACCTCATGCGTTCCGTGGGCGGCCCGGTGTAGTGCAGGGGATTGAGGAACTCTTTGGAGCAGAACTTTCCCACCTCATCGACCCAGTGTCCCGTGAGCGTCGGGGGGCACACCACGATGGAGGGCAGGGGGCTGCAGTCGGCCGCTTTGTTCTTGGAGTACTCCTGCGCCCTGGAAATGAGAAAAAGGCCGTGAGAGGATGGGTTTGCAAGAATGAAAAGACAAAAAAAAAAAAAAAAGAGCCAGGGTTATAATAGAAACTGCTCGTTCAGGGAGTCCACACTTGGCACCGACTTGGAGATGTCGCCGTATATTTTTTTTGTGAACATTCATGAACTTACTGAAATTACTGGAGCAACGCCGAAGCAGATTTTTGAAGCTTTACAGTCCTGGTTTAGTCCTGGTTTAGTCCTGGTTTAGTCCTGGTTTAGTCCTGGTTCAGTCCTGGTTCAGTCCTGGTTCAGTCCTGGTTCAGTCCTGGTTTAGACCTGGTTTAGACCTGGTTTAGTCCTGTTTAGTCCTGTTTAGTCCTGGTTTAGTCCTGGTTTAGTCCTGGTTTAGTCCTGGTTTAAGTCCTGGTTTAGTCCTGGTTTAGTCCTGGTTTAGTCCTGGTTTAGACCTGGTTTAGACCTGGTTTAGACCTGGTTTAGTCCTGGTTTAGTCCTTTGTTTAGTCCTGGTTCAGTCCTGGTTTAGACCTGGTTCAGTCCTGGTTTAGTCCTGGTTTAGTCCTGGTTTAGTCCTGGTTTAGTCCTGGTTTAGACCTGGTTTAGACCTGGTTTAGTCCTGGTTTAGTCCTGGTTTAGTCCTGGTTTAGTCCTGGTTCACCTGTTTAGACCTGGTTTAGACCTGGTTTAGTCCTGGTTTAGTCCTGGTTTAGTCCTGGTTTAGTCCTGGTTTAGTCCTTTGTTTAGTCCTTTGTTTAGTCCTTTGTTTAGTCCTTTGTTTAGTCCTGGTTCAGTCTGGTTTAGTTCTGGTTTAGTCCTGGTTTAGACCTGGTTCCTGGTTTAGTCCTGGTTTAGTCCTGGTTCAGTCCTGGTTCTGGTTCAGTCCTGGTTTAGTCCTGGTTTAGTCCTGGTTTAGACCTGGTTTAGACCTGGTTCAGTCCTGGTTCAGTCCTGGTTCAGTCCTGGTTCAGTCCTGGTTTAGTCCTGGTTTAGTCCTGGTTTAGTCCTGGTTTAGTCCTGGTTTAGACCTGGTTTAGACCTGGTTCAGTCCTGGTTTATTTATTGGAATTTAAATGACGTGAAAGCAGCTAATTCTGAAACGACCACGATCAGAAAGAAACCAGACAATTTAACGGTTTATATTTTAGTGAAATTATAACTCTGATAATCTGGTACCAGTGCCTGATCTTTATTCAGTTCATGTAACCAAAGCCGATGTTGAATAAATCAGGGTTCAAACTCTTTCACTGACAAAATGCCAAAACTTTTCCATGACTTTCATGACCTAAAGTGAATTTTTCATGACTTTACGGCACCTACATGTGTAGAATTGATCAGACTTTTAGAGCTAAATATGAAATGTGAACTCTTTCCACTCACCTTATGGTTTGGGATTATAGTTTTTTAACATTCAAAATCCTGTCAGTGCATTTATTGTCGTCTCTTTTAAACAAAAGGCGCAAACGTTCAGAAATAATCATAATAGTCTAATGAAAACTTAACAGAACGCTGTAGTTGCGTGAAAAAGATACTAAATTTCCATGACTTTTCCAGGATTTCCATGATCATTGAAACCCTGATAGATAGTTTCTTCTCTTCTATCAATAATATTTTTAAAATTTGGTTCAGTAAAGTCTGGGCTTTTTATTTTCTTTTAACAGACAAAACAACATGTTACGATTTCCTCGTCTTTGCTTCTCTACAGCAAATCAAGTAATCCAAAGTATTCAGATTACATTACTCACTTTAAGTAATTTAACAGATTCCGCTACAAACTACATTTTGGTTTATGTAATCTGTAATCTGTAATCTGTAGGGGATTACATTTTAAAAGTCACCTTCCCGACACTGACCTGAGGTAGTGGTCTCCTGCCAGGATACAGATGGACTGCAGGGTTTTGCCGAGGCCCATGTCGTCACACAGGATCCCGTGGAGTTTGTATTTGTTCAGGAAGGAAAGCCAGTTCACTCCATCCTGAAGGAAAAAAAAAACAAAAACATATCTGCTCATTAAGTTAATCGTTTCACCGCTCGAAAAAAGGGCAATAAACGAAGCGGCGCGGTAAAAGTCGGGCCGTCGCCGCGCTTCCACGGAAAGACTTACCTGTCATTTTTTTTATTTTTTTGCAAGAGGACGATCAGAAACCCGCACAACGTAACATTTCAATCTAACATTTACATTGCGAGATTACCCGGTGAGCTCCGCAAATGCCAGAGATATTTGACATTTCCAGAATATACGTTTTAAATATAATACACTCCCCCTACAGCTACTCCTCCTGAAACTGCCTGTTAAGACTTTTTCAAAAACTTCTCAAACACGGAAACTTTATTATCCGAAAAGTGGTTTTGACAAAGCGTCTGGAGAAGTGGGGTTTAATTTGTCGACATTTTAACGTCTCGAGGAGGTGTTAGTCTGAAGCCGGTGGAGCCTACAGCCCGACGTTAAAGAAGGAGCAGAGACAATTTCAAGACGAGCGTTATCTAAAAAGCACCGTCGGGCAAGTGACTTTAAAACTAATGAGTTATTTATGATTTGTTTCTGTCGTTTCAAAGTAAATTCGTTACTGTACAATATTACTGTGTTTAAAATGTAAAATATGACACGAATATTACAGCGGTTTTAATTTACTCTCATCAGAATAACTGCAAAGATGATGAACCTTTGTGCCGTATATGGACTGGACCAGGACTGGACTAGGACTAAACCAGAGCTGAACCAGGGCTGAACCAGGGCTGAACCAGGGCTGAACCAGGACTGAACCAGGACTGAACCAGGACTGAAACCAGGACTAAACCAGGACTAAACCAGGTCTAAACCAGGACTAAACCAGGACTAAACCAGGACTAAACCAGGACTAAAACCAGGACTAAACCAAGGACTAAACCAGGACTAAACCAGGACTAAAACCAGGACTAAACCAGGACTAAACCAGGACTAAACCAGGTCTAAACCAGGACTAAACCAGTTCTAAACCAAGACTAAACCAGGTCTAAACCAAGACTAAACCAGGACTAAACCAGGTCTAAACCAGGACTAAACCAGTTCTAAACCAAGACTAAACCAGGTCTAAACCAAGACTAAACCAGGACTAAACCAGGTCTAAACCAGGAATAAACCAGGTCTAAAGAAGGACTAAAAAAGGACTAAACCAGAGCTGAATCAGGACTAAACCAGGACTAAACTAGGACTAAACCAGGACTGAACCAGAGCTGAACCAGGTCTAAACTAGATCTGAACCAGGACTGAACCAGGACAAAACCAGGACTAAACCAAGACTAACCTAGGACTAACCCAGACCTGAACCAGGAGCAAACCAGGTCTAAACCAGGACTAATCTAGAACTTGGAATCTAGGACGTCCCCTGAGAGAACTCCTGAGCGCGATCAGGCGTCAGCTGTGTTTAGCTCCGTGGAGCGTGGAGTTCTGCGTCGGTCCTTTCGCTCGTGATCACAGTCTACACAGGCGTCTCCGGCGTTTCACCGCTGCTGATATCAAGATGATTTTAGCAAAACAGTATGAAGAAAAACGAAAAACCCACCACTTCAATCCAGGTTAATAAATCACTGTGACGCACTTTACTCACATTTGTACCAAGTAAAATATTACTTTTTTCCCATGTAATTCCACATTACTGCGTTACAGCAAAAAGCAACACATTACAGTAATTTGTTACTTTTATAAAACGTTACTCCCAACACAGTTAAAAAAGACAGACGCCGTTTCTTAACTTCTGATTTGCAAGTACGAAACACTTCAGGTTCCATTTTCCGTTAATAGTTTAGAAAGTTAAAGTTAAAAGAAAGTTGTTGAAGTTTGGAAAGCATCAGGAAGCCATCTGTCTGAGCCTGTTCCGTCTTCTGTTTATGACCGTTTATTCACTGACAAAGGCAATAAAAGCTATTGTGACTCTGATAAACGACAAATTAAAAAGTGAACAAAATTCACAAACTGGGAACTCGCTTTTGGGATTATGGTGCAACATAAAAAACAATGATTAATAATATAAACTATGATAAAATAAAGATAAGAGCGCGTTGTTGTGATTGGAGAAAATGTCACTCTGGCCACGTTTACATGATGTTTTTTAATTCCGAATTAATTGTTCTAGAATTAAATAGTTCTGAATTAAACAAGGATGTAACAATAACCGAAATATCGTCAAAACTCTCATAATATTATCGTGGGCTGTCACAGTATATCGAATTACAAGTTCCTTCGCTTAAATACATGGTTTTATAGTAGCAGCATCTTATAAACAAACATCGGGAACTACATATCCCATGATTCATTTCAGCGCAGACGACATGAAAAGATATGGTTTTTACTGTTAATTCTTGGGATTATGATGGTAATAATTCACACCAAAACATTTTAAAAGCAGAAACGTGTCCCATCTAGATAAATATCGCAATAAATATCGTACTGAAAGATTTGGATATCATTACATCCCTAGAATTAAATTATTCTCCTTCAAGTTTACATGGAAAACATGTTAAATTGCTTTTATTTAATTCTGCTCAACGTCTGGCGGTGGGGAAGGGTTCTGATTGGACAGAGACACGAACGTATTTACGTCGACCGGAAGAAAACACACACTTCAGCTGCTACCGGCTTTTCTGTCGTTACACCACGGACACAAACATGATCTAAACTTTTTTCGCAGTCGTTTCGATAATCGAGAATTCTCTCATCACGCTTTACGTCTGTCTGAGGAGGAGAAGGGAAGAGTGTCGGAGAAGGAGGAAGAAGACAAAGTGAGTGTGAGGCTGCTCTACCTCAGCCCACTCCCACATCCCGCTCACAAATCCAAAGAGACGCGGATGAAAGTCCGAAGCTTTCGATCCAATGAGCATGTGCTGAACGACTGCAATTATTTTTAAGAAGAATAAATGTTTACATGATCGAGGAATAAATTAATTCAGCTTTAAAATCACAATAAACCTAAGTGGACAGAATATGTAAAGCCAGTGAGATCAGACTTCATATAAAACTACCTCATAGTTGCAATATTCTGTTAAATTGTGAAAGAGGTTCCCTGGCTCCCCAACCTGTTCTGAGTTTGAATACGTTTTCAAAAAATTGTAAGAGCAGGAACGTATGATTTAATTTTACACATTGCAAAATATAATCTGCTTTTTCAATAAAACTTCAGAATTAAGTTTAATTCTGACTAATCATTTTCATTAGGAATAAAGTGTTTACATGGTATTTTTTTAAAGCGGAGTTCATTTTTATTTAGAATTAGAGCTGCTTGATTATGGAAAAAAAATCATTATCAGGATTATTTTGGTCAATACTGAAATCACAATTATTCAAACAATTATTTTCTTAGTTACACGACGCATTTATTCAGCATTTGTGTCTCAAAAAAACCCACTTTGTTATGGATAATTTACACAAAACTTTCAAACTGAAAATAGATTTAGGCTACAAATATGAACCTTCGAGCAGTTTTGCGATGTATAAAACATAAAATGAATAAAATATACTTTGAACATGAAATAAAAAGGTATAAAACAACATAAATGTATCAAAAATAAACTATATATCCAGCTGTTCTACAATCTCTATATTTAAAAATTAAAATAAATATAGTTGTTTATATAAAAAATATTCAAAAATAAACTTTGTTAAGCTTTTGTTTCAACTCAATTATATGAGTTTGGAGATCGTTTGACACACAAATCAAAATCGTGATTAAAATTCAATTAATTATTTTTATTCGGAATTAAATCTGTCATGTAAACGTGGCGACTGTCAAATGTCTCCGTTTCAGTGAGAAGATTAAAGGTGCACTTTGTAATTTTCCTTGGGGAGGTTTCATCAAGTGTTTGTCTCCATGGAGATGTTGTTGATTTGCCTAGAATGTCCCACAGTATGACAGAAAAACACATGTAATTAAATAAACGCTGGATAGATGAGCTTAAAGCCAAACCGTGGAACATTGCTGGCAAAGTTGTAATAGAAAACACTGAACTGAAATGGCTTCTAAACTTGTAACTTTCCCTGAATAATGCCCAAATCAACACACACGCTGACAGACCTGTTGGTACTTGCGTAGCTCGGCCTTGATGGGAACCGGAATCTTTGTAGTTTTCCAGTTTTCTGCCGTCGAGAAGCTGCTCCAGGAAGTGCCTCTCTCGGGCTTTCTGTTGGATCAGGTCGGCCGACATGGCGGGAGGGTCTGGGATACCGGCCTAAAAAAAAACAACCAAGACGGTCGGTTAACGGTTTACAAATCTAAAATGTAGAGTTTTTCATTTGTAAAGAACTGTTGCGTAAAAAAAGGTTCACTAAGTAACTTCTCCTGAGAAGATTTTGCCGCCTGCTGTTATTGTGTTGCCCAACATGTTCCACAGTATGATAAACGGTAAATGGTCACATTTTTCTATAGCGCTTTTCCACCTTCAAGACACTCAAAGCGCTTTACAACAAGGAACCACTCACACATTCACGCACCAGTGTACTCAGACACTGTGGGCAAGGTGGGTTAAGTGTCTTGCCCAAGGACACAACGACAGCATTCATCTGTGGGAGCTGGAATCACACCACCCAACCTGTGGGTGAGTGGATCTGACCACTCAACCTGTGATGTTTATGTAGAGAGCTGGAATCAAACCGCCAACCTTCAGATCAGTGGGCGAATGCTCCACCAACTGAGCTACTGCCGCCCCACAGTATGACATTAAACATCAAGGAGATTCACAAAGGCAAGTCAGAGGTAGGGCATGATTAATCGATAATCGATAATTGATCATTAAGAATTTCATCGATTACGTTAATTTTAATCGACAAACCGAATGTAGGTTGCTGTGTGTAGTGTGACCAAACAGGTGTGTACATGTGTCTCTGCATCAGAAGGAGCGAGACACAAACAGTGGGTCAGTCTGTAACGTACTGAAGCACAAATGTGTATTTAACGATGATTTGTACAAGAAATTCCACGCTCTCCGTTGCGTTGGGGACAAGTGTGAGGTCATGCGTGCAGTGTACAAAGCAGCACATATGTTAGGGCTGGGTATCATTAAGAAGTTGCCGATACGATACATATCTCGATACACAGGCCACGATACGATACATATCTCGATACAGCGCACTTCCCATTCAATATGATATATTTCAAATCAATTTGATACGGTTCAATAAAAAATAAAGGCTAAATCGTGGCTCTGATACTAAAAGTCTTTGTTAAATCAGTTCTTGTGCAAAAGTTCATATGAAACACAAACATTTTAATCACCAAAACAGTAAAAATGTCAAATGTGTCGCATAAATGAGTTTCCTTTCACTCCACAAGCAACAAAACTGTAGCTCTGTAACAAAATAATTTAGTAAAACACACCTAAAAATACTCTTGGTGAAATATTGATACAGTAGCCCACGATATCGATACTGTATCATCACATTAAACGATACGATATATCGATATTCCGATATTTTTGCACACCCCTAACATATGTTTCGGTGTCTAGTGGGAAAAAGTTTTACCAGGTGAGAGTCGCTCAATGTGGATGACGAGTCCCCACCTCCCTCCCCCCGTACGGTGTCCTGGTTTTGACAAACACAAATCTGGTCACTAACCTGTATTCACCTGAGTCATGTCTTTTAATCCGACAGAAGTTGAACCACATCAGCGACACAAGAGCTGTAGTTTTATCTTTGCTTAGTTTATGCAAATTAGCGATGCGGTTTTAAGTTTTGTTTCTGTGAGAGTTGCACAAAATTGAATTAAACACATTATAATGTCAAACGGGCTGATGTGGCTCTAAAGTCGTTACGGTTTAGATGTCGTAAAGTTGAATTTATTTATGCAGATTAGTAGTGCAGATAGTAATAATAATGATGATCATTTTAATATAAAAACGTTAATGATTAAAGGTTGCATGGAGGATTTTTTTTTTTTTTCAGTTTCAAACTGTCAATGAAAGTTTAAAATACCATTACAGAGATGCAGCAGCTTTGTAATTATGGTGACCAAAAAAAAAAAAAGAATGAAAATCTATCAACTGTGGACTTATTGAGGCCAGATAAACATCAGCCAATAGAAAACAAGGTTGCCTCATTTTCTATTGGCTGTTAGGCTGTCAATCAAACTCCCTACGTTTCTAGGGTAACTATGCAGCGGTTCTAATTGTAGCTCCCTCGCAGTTCACACAAACTTTGTTGCGATGTCGGACAAGAATCCATGACCAGTTCGCCGCAAAAGAAAGTCAGTTTTTGATGTCGCTGAAAGAAGAAAAGAAGGAGAAAAGGAGCGAAGACTAAACCGAGGTGATTCTTGGAGATTCCTTTCAGCGATTGTGCGACTGAAGCAGACGAAGGATCTAAAAACTGAAGAGTCGGTCTCCAAATTATTTCTAGAGGAACATTTGAAAAAAGGACTGTTGCTGTATTTCTCTTTCCTTAAAAAATCCTCTATACAACCTTTAATCGATAATTGATCGTTAATTCTTCCGATGATCAATTAAGAAAATTTCATCGAATGCCCATCCCTAGTCAGAGGACAGATTTATAGAGATGAGAAGCTGCTCACAGTAATAAATCATGTTTTCAAGGTATTTCTGACCATTAAAACGCTTGTAATTGTAATAATACATTCAAGATACATTTAATGCCATGGTGCGGGTTCGTTTTTGGAGACTCGCACCCGGACCCGTTAATATTCCACCCGTTACCTGCTCGTGCCCGAGATAAACACACACAAATCATTCTAACTGAAGCGTCCATCAGAATACGAATTGAAAAGTTGCGACTTGAATACGAATACGAATTCACAGACGCGACTCGACTGACAAAAATACATCATCACTCCACAGGTTTTATTTACTGAGCAGAAGAAACACTGAGATGCAGGACTAAACCAGGACTGAACCAGGACTGAACCAGGACTGAACCAGGACTGAACCAGGACTGAACCAGAGCTGAACCAGAGCTGAACCAGGACTAAACCAGGACTAACCAGGACTAAAACCAGGACTAAACCAGAGCTAAACCAGAGCTAAACCAGGACTGAACCAGGACTGAACCAGGACTGAACCAGGACTAAACCAGGACTAAACCAGGACTGAACCAGGACTAACCAGGACTAAACCAGGACTAAACCAGAGCTAAACCAGAGCTAACCAGGACTGAACCAGGACTGAAACACAACTAACCTAGGACTAACCCAGGATTAACCCACTACTGATTCTAGGACAGAACCAGGAGGACTAAACCAGGACTAAACCAGGACTAAACCAGGACCGACCCAGGACCGACCCAGGACCGACCCAGGACTAAACCAGGACTAAACCAGGACTAAACCAGGACTGATTCTAGGACAGAACCAGGAGGACTAAACCAGGACTAAACCAGGACTGACCCAGGACCAAACCAGGACTAAACCAGGACTAAACCAGGACTAACCCACGACTGATTCTAGGACAGAACCAGGAGGACTAAACCAGGACTAAACCAGGACCGACCCAGGACTGACCCAGGACTAACCCAGGACCGACCCAGGACCGACCCAGGACGACCCAGGACCGACCCAGGACCGACCCACGACTGATTCTAGGACAGAACCAGGAGGACTAAACCAGGACTAAACCAGGACTACCCAGGACTAACCCAGGACCGACCCAGGACCAACCAGGACCGACCAGGACCGACCCAGGACCGACCCAGGACCGACCCAGGACCGACCCAGGACCGACCCTAACCGACCCAGGACTAAACCAGGACTGATTCTAGGACAGAACCAGGACTCACTGTTAGGACTGGCTCAGACGTGTGCCCACGTAGATCGTCGGGTGACCGCAGGCAAAAGGACCACAACAGATCTCCACGCGCACGGACGGTAAGTGCAGCTGTAGCCCAATTGCGCTTTCTCTCTCGCTCTCTCTTAAGTCCAAGATTAGTCCTGGTGTAGTCCTGGTTTAGTCCTGACCTGCCCGCATACCCACCCGTAAAATTCCAGAACATTAAAACCCTCCCGTTTCAGCAACTATCTGAAAACTGAGCTTTCAGGACAGCGTAGTCAATAAAAACTTTATATTTTTTTTCTCTCCTGTAGGATTAGGACGACTGGGAGATCAAGATTTATTTCTATATTTATTTTTACCTCCAGGGGGAGCAGTCGTATGAGGGTGGCGAAGCACTGCGTGGCCATGAATCGGATGCTGTCTGTGGGATCGCTCATTCGGCCGAGCACCGGGACGACCAGGAGCACGATGTACGGAACGATGTCCACGTCCAGCTGCTCCATCACGCCTGAGGGACTGGAGTCACGGAAAACGGTCCACGGAGCAGAGAAATAAAACAGTGTACAGACCATTAAAGCGGTTTAGAACATTTCAACACCTCTGTCTGTCTGAGTTAAATTATAACACAGACAGTGAAGACTTCAGTACAGCTACTTTGAATGAATAATGGAAGAATCAGACTGGGCTTACTGTGTTAACTTAATAAAATCTAATAATAGAATGTTTGCTTGATTGTTCCTTTGGGGAAGTTCGTGAATAAAGCAACACTGCGTAACTTTCTGGAGCTGGTACATCACCTGCATGATTCCAAGGAAATAGAAAGTAAATACCATAAAACCTGTAGCTCTCCACTCCCTTTCAAGTCACGAAGGCATTTCTGAATTATAATTAAATGCCTATTACCATTGTACAAGTATAATTTTTATGCCTAACTTTGTACACTTCTAAATGTATAATGGTTTATGTTTTATCTGTCTATCTTAGGGTGACCAGATGTTTCTATTTACCCGGGATAGTCCCAGTTTTGAGTCCTGTGTCCCCTGTCCCAGCAGTTTCATCCAAAACCAGTGATTTGTCCCCGTTTTATACAAGAAATATCTACAAATGTTCCTATTTTTGACCAGTCTGACTCCTGTCAACAGTAAAAAGACACATACATTGTCATCTGTTTAGGTAAAATACAGAAAAGCTGCTTAAAAATGACCAAAACACAAAGAAAATGTGACTATACTGAATGTTTGTTTTTTTTTTATTATTATTGTGATTTTTCATATTTTATTACTTCTCTTTCTATTTTTATTTTTACTTGTACATTTACATTTATATAATTATGTCTTATTTGACACTTATCTCTTGCTCATTTTTACTACTTATTTAGAATTTATTATAACCATTTATATTTTTGCTCTTTGCTATTATTTATATTATATTGTGATGTGTGAGCTACTCTGTCTAAATACTTTCTCTTGTGGATCAATAATGTTTGTCCAAGTCTGTCCAAGTCTCACATCAGTGCCGAGTGCAGAACAGTTTTCCTTAATTACACACTCGTTTCACAATTTTATTATTACCAAATAACCCAAACCAGGAATGTCCCAGGTTTTTATTTTGAAAATCTGGTCACTCTAATCTATCTGTAACTCATCTAAGACTCGAAGTGACTCTTATATATACTCAGTTTCCTGTGACTGCTAAAATGAGTAACTCTCTGGCATTTTTGTAAAGGAGCTCACTGGAGGAAAAAAGTTTGGAGACCCCTGGCATAGTCAAATGAACATCTCCATGGAAACAAGCAGGTGGAGACCGTCCTTCAGGCCTATTAAGAATCAGGTTTGTGGAGATGCAAGCCCGCTCACAGACAGACTTGTGTTTTTCAGTAAAATAAAATCATCCAAATTGCTGAAACATTTTTTATTTGTGCCTTTTTTTTGGGACTAAAAGCTTACAAGGTGGGGCTTTTGAAGTCCAACTCAAATGACCAATAATGTACTTTAAAAATACTTTATTCTTTGTGGGAGTTTACCCAATTACTTTCTGCTGTAGTTTAATCTAAAAACACGCTACATACACTTCTCTAAGAAGAATAGTTGACATCTAAAGGAGGTTAATTAAATACAATCAATCAATTAAAATACTGTCCCACTTTAACTGTATGATGTAGTATTTAACTTGTTTATGTTGTTTATGTTGAGACGACCTTGAGATTCCAGAAAGGCACCTAATAAATAAAATGTATTATTATTACTACTACAATAACAATAGCAATAACAATAACAATTATTATTATTATTATTATTATTACTATTATTATTACTACTATTACTATTATTATTATTATTTTTTTACTACACTACAGTTCATCAGTATCTACTCAGTCTATTAATTAATATCTATTATTATTATGTATATTATTATTTATATTATTATTATTATTTCGATTATTATTATTATTTATATCATTATTATTTCTATTATTATTATTATTTATATCATTATTATTATTATGATTTTATTTTTATTTTTTTAACTACACTACAGTTCATCAGTATCTACTTAGTCTATTAATTAATAACTTATTATTATTTCAATTATTATTTCTATTATTATTTATTATTTCTATTATTATTATTTTATATTAGTATTATTATTATTAGCTGTATTATTTATATTATTATTTATATTATCATTATTATTATTTTATTTATTTATTTATTTTTTTAACTACACCACAGTTCATCAGTATCTACTCAGTCTATTAAAAGGATACAGGCCAGAGCCTCGATAGCGCCCTCTTGCTTTGTGCAGTCGTCGATGGCTGCGAGCCAGGGCAGGACTCTCTCCAGGAAACTGTTCATGGTTTCTAACATGGAGATTTTACAGAGGACGCCCACACAGCGCGCCGCCATGTGCCTCACTGCTGTGTACGGGTGCTGCAGGCAGGTGAACAGGTGCGACAGCTGCTCCAGGAGCTGAAGGGGGGAAAAACAGAAATTATGAATCCAACTGTGGAGCTATAAACCACATATGACCACCAGAGGGCACATGCACAAGGAAACATTCAGGGCTTAAAGAGCAGATGATGAGTTAGACTAAACAAAGAACTTATTTATCTAGTTTGACAGTCTCAGTGAGGTTATAAATTTACTTCCCGGTTGCACACGAGCAGCAGATGTGAAAAACGCAGAGGTAATTACATGATTGTTAACTAGAAACCACGATAACAAATCCAAAAGTCTGTCTAATTTACACACTTGTTATTTGACGGCACATTTTTAAATCTAATAAATGTTGAAACTGAAAATCATTATCCAGCATTGTTCTGTTTCTGCACTTGGGATGGCATTTTCTGTGTTGATTCTGTGTTATTCTATGTATTTTTTTTGTTTTCTTGACTTTTTTTTTCCACAAACTGACACTTCTTTGATATAAAACCATAAGAAATATTTACCACATGTACAATTAAACTAAACCAAGTAATTAGAAAAACATGAAAACCTGTCAAATGCATTTTACAAGTTGAAAGTTTTAGATTACTGTATTTTTTGGGCTATAAGTCATACTTTTTTCATTGTTTGGGTGTTTCCTGTGACTTATATATTAAAATTTTCAGACTGACAGCCACCAGAGGGCGCTCTAGTCTTGTGTGTCAGTATCTGCTGCTCCTGTTACTCCTGTATCACTGTCACTTGGCTCTACTGCGCAAGTCTTCTGCAGAAAGAGCCCCTGTCCTGTCTGTCATGTCAGTTGATCGCACCGTTACTTCTGCACCACTGAAAATTTAACATTTAAACAAATTTATGAAAGACGACTGAGAAGATTGAACACAAATGCCCCCAAAAAGAAAATCATATTCTGCAGATTACAAGCTTCAAGTCATGAAATCTGCAGCTGAAAACGATAATCGAGCAGCAGAAAGAAAGTTTGGAGTGAGAGAGAAACTTGTGACACCGGAAGGATGCACCATGAAACTTTCCTGAAGATGGACAAAGTCTGGACACCGAAACCATCCTGTCGGGATTCAGAAAGGCCGGAATAATTCTAACTGGAACTGATGCTGAGTCTGACGACAGCGACACAGAAGAGGAAGCGGCGCTCTGTTTACCTCCAGGAGGTCGTGCAGAAGTGACACCGAGGATGAAGAATTGAATGGATTTAGTGATTTGGAGTGAGATGGAGAGTTTGGTAAACTTGTTCTGTTCTGTTGTTTATGTTATAGTTTATCTGAAGAACGGTTCATATGTGACGTTAACAGTTTGTTCTCTCTTCTATTGTTATTACTAGAAGTGTGAAGAATCCCTCAGTCGTCCAGGTAGAATCCACGGCGAGGAGAAAATTCTGTTTATCGACTCAACAAAAGTTAGTTTGGGTGAAGATGTTTCGCAGCTCATCCAAGTTGCTTCTTCAGTTCTGGACTGAAGAAGAACTTGGATGCAGCTTGGATGTAGGGCTGGGTATCATTAAGGAGTTGCTGATACGATACATACCTCGATACACAGGCCACGATACGATACATACCTCGATACACAGGCCACGATACGATACATATCTCGATACAGCGCACTTTCCATTCAATATGATATATTTCAAATCGATTCGATACAGTTCAATAAAAAATAAAGGCTAAATCGTGGCTGTGATACTAAAAGTCTTTGTTAAATCACTTCTTGTGCAAAGTTCATATGAAACACAAACATTTTAATCATCAAAACAGTAAAAATGTCAAATGTGTCGCATAAATTAGTTTCCTTTCACTCCACGAAGCAACAAAACTGTAGCTCTGTAACAAAATAATTTAGTAAAACACACCTAAAAATACTCTTGGTGAAATATCGATACAGTAGCCCAAGATATCGATACTGTATCATCACATTAAACGATACAATATATCGATATTCCGATATTTTTGCACACCCCTGCTTGGATGAGCTGCGAAACGTCTTCAACCAAACTAACCTTTGTCCAGTCGGCAAATTGAATTTTCTCCTCGCCACAGTTATTACTAGAACTTGACTTTCAACATGAAAAGTCGGTTCCTGGTCTCTGATTTAAAAAAATAAATTTCCAACAAAAAGTGCGACTTATATGTGCTTTTTCTTCTTCATTATGTATTGTTTGGCTGGTGCGACTTATACTCTGGAGTGATTTATAGTCCAAAAATACATTATGTACAATATATGAAGCAACACAATTTAACATCTATAGCGTTTACCAGAGGTTTGAGTTCAGTGGACATCGCTGGAGCCATAACTTCCAACACTTGAAGAGAGTTGATCAGCTCTTGGGCAGCAGCGTCTCCTCTTTCCAACTGCACATTTCTGTCTGGAAAAGATCAGAAAAACAAATTAGATCCATTTGGCAATTTGAATTCCTAAACTGTTCAATAAAATATCATGCACTGACATTTTTAAACCAATAGATGTCACAATAAGTAAAGCCATGAGTAAATAATCCACATACTGATCTGTTGTTTGTCACTGACGACGGTCCTCAGCGGCCCCACCGTGTTCTCCCACAGATACGGCAGAGACTTGGTCAGATCAGCGCCGAAGTGTTTTGAGATGGTCGTCAGGGAAAACTCTGCTCCTCTCCTCTGAATCAGAAAGGGTTTCCTGCTCTAAAATGATAAAGATGAATTGTTTTAAGGTCAGAGGATTAAGATAAATGAAATCTACACTCCAAATCTCCAAATTAAAACCTGTAACTAAATCACAGTTTGAATCATACAGGATAAAAATGAATAAATAAAAGTAGACACATTTTACAGGAATCGTTGTCTATGAGTCTGCAACTTTCTGGAGGTGGCATTTCACCCGCATGATTCCAATAAAACAGAAAGTTAAAACCATACTTTGGAACATTTTCCGTTGAGATAGAGGAGTTTTATGGCACACTGCATAAGATTATAGCCAAGGAAACAACAAAGCCACGGAAAATGGCAGGCGGAGGCGCTCTCCCAGATAAGAGACGGGTTTTTCAGTGCAATAAACAAAACCAAAATGAAAAATCCTGCTTTTATTTTAGCCCATTTTTGGCTAAAAGTTACATACTGTGGCTTTAAATGACAACACAAGTAAAAGATGATGAAAGGAAATGATGATGGTGAAAATAATATTAGTTAAGTGTAGTGATTAAAAGTGTTTATTAAAAAATGGGTAAAATAAATAAGTTAAAAATAATAAAAAATAAAAATATATATAATAAAAATAAAAATAAATTAAAAGTAATAAAAAATATATAAATAAATTTAAAAATATAAAATACAGTAAAATAAAAACTAATAAAAATAAAATAACAATAATAAAAAATAATAATAATAAATAATAATAATAAATTTAAAAAGAGAGAAAGTGAAATAAAATTATTATTTGCCCAAAATATAAATATAAGCTGGTATAAAAGTGTGGTTATGCTGCGCTGCCACATTACTTTTGTTTTATTTAATTAAATTTGTATATATATGTTTGGGGGAAGGGGTGAGGAGTTTTGTTGTTTTATATTTGTTGTAGGTATGTTATAGGTATTGTTTTATGCTTATGTTTATTATTGTATCTGGTTAAATGTTCTATTCTATTGTCTTCAGAAAAAAAAAAAAGACAACACATCACATTTCATATAAACACGCATGAATAAAAATAAGAGTTTGTACCTCGTCGTTGTCTGTGTTGATGGTGCTTCCTGGAGGGAGCTCGGTGCTTTGGGGTTTCGGGGCCTTGGGGACTGGGCCTCGTTTACTGGTGATGGCGAACGCGGCTTTTTGGTGTCGGTACAAAGTGATGATGCCTCGAGTTTTGTTCACCATGTGATTCATGCCGTCCTTTTCTAAACAATTACCTGTGATAAGGGAAAGAAAAGGAAACAAACGATAAAAAAAAATACAAGAACAAAAGTCCGCTTGTTCAAATGACATCTAGATTTAACAAAAAAATGACTTGAAAATAATACAATGCAACAATAACGTAATACTTCATATATTTGGGCAAGTCAAAAATTTGATTTGAAAAAAATAAAATAATAAAAAATAAACACGACACAAGCTATATATATTTTTAAAGCAACTTTTAAAACTAAAAGCTCTTAAATTACTTTGAATGAAATGTTTTATTTTGAAGGGTCACATAATACAGTTAAAACAAAACCAAAACACCATATTTCACATTACATCACCGTAGCTTAGGTGTCTCCAACCTGTACCTCTCCACCCCCTTCCAAGTAGCTCGCCAAGAGATTTCTGGATCATACGTATTGTGCCGAATAACTAAAATTTGATTTGATTAAATGCCTATTATCATTGCAAATGTACAATTTTGATGCCTCTTTGTGAATTAATACATGGATAATAATTGTGTAAATGTTTTCTTGGCATCACACTGTATCCCATCTATGCTGCATTGACCAGGCCCAGCTCCGCCACCTACAGGGTCCAGAGTGCAGCAGCAGCTCGCCTTATAACTGGAACGAAGCGGTGGGACCACATCACTCCTATCCTTAAATCCCTGCTTTGGCTCCCTGTACATTTTAGAATCCAGTTTTATATTTTAATGATTGTTTTTAAGAGTCTTAATGGCACGACACTTTTTTATTCATCCAGAGGTCTGTGCCAGCACTAGGGATGGGCATGATTAGTCGATTAACCGATAATTGATCATTAAGAATTTCATCGATTACGTTCATTTTCATCGACGAACCGAATGTAGGTTGCTGTGCGTAGCCTGACCAAACAGGTGTCCGTACATGTGTCTCTCTGCACTCAGAAGGAGCGAGACACAAACAGTCGGTCAGTCTGCAACTTACTGAAGTGCAAATGCGAACGATGTGCAACGATGACTTGTACAAGAAAGTCCACGCTTTCCGGTCGGGACAAGTGTGAGTCCATGTGCACAGTGAACAAAGCAGCACATATGTGTCAGTGTCCAGTGGAAAAAAGTTTTACCAGGTGAGAGTCGCTCAATGTCGATGACGAGTCCCCACCTCCCTCCCCCCGTACGGTGTCCTGGTTTTGACAAACGCAAATATGGTCACACTAACCTGTATTCATGTCATGTCATGTCATGTCTTTTAATCCAACAGAAGTTGACCCCATCAGTGACACAAGAGCTGTAGTTTTATCTTTGCTTAGTTTATGCAAATTAGTGATGTGGTTTTAAGTTTTGTTTCTGTGAGAGTTGCACAAAACTGAATTAAACACATTATAATGTCAAACGGGCTGATGTGGCTCTAGAGTCGTTACGGTTTATATGTCGTAAAGTTGAATTTATTTATGCAGATTAGTAGTGCAGATAGTAATAATAATGATGATCATTTTAATATAAAAACGTTAATGATTAATCGATAATCGATCGTTAATTCTTCCGACGATCGATTAAGAAAATTTCACCAAATGCCCGTCCCTAGCCAGCACCTCCTGTTTGTTCCCAGGACCAGGCTGAGGACTTCTCTGCGGTCGGTTCACGACTGTGGAACGTTTTGCCTTTTCACATTAGAACTGGCACAAACACTGGAGCAGTTTAAATCCTCGCTCAAAATGCACCTTTTCTCCTTTTGCTTCTTAACTCTGGCACTTGCCCAGAGTTAGGAAGAGTTAGGAGTTGGCAGCTTACGGTTATTATTTTTTTTCTTATTACAGTATTATAATTCTGCTTGATTTGCTTATTGTATGTTTTATTTCACTGTAAATGTTCAGCACTTTGGCAAGCTTTGGCCGTTTTAAATGTGCTACACAAATAAATTTGATTTGATTTGATTTAAAACCTCTTATATTTACTCTTATCATTTATTTCTTGCGACCGCTAAAATGAGCAGCTCTCTGGCATTTCCATTTTGTAAGGGTAGAGTAGCTCACCAGAAGGAAACGATTGGAGACACCTGCTGAAGGTATTAACAGGCAATTACTTAAAAAAAGAACAAATTATGACCATGAAAAAAATAAATAAATAAAAAAGTGCTTATGTTGCGTCTTACCCTTGGCAGTGTCTTGAACGGGAGGCACAGGACAGGCGGACGACGGCGTGGAGAGGCTGTCCACGCAGACGGAGGTGCAGAGGTTTTTAATGATTTTGGAGTTGGGGCAGGGGGAGCGACCAGCGCACTGTTGGAGTAGTTTGGCTATAAAAGAAGCAGCGTATCCTTGGATGAGCGTGTTCTCCTCGCGTTTTATCGTCTCCATTAGGGGGCGCACTAGAGGGTTGAGTTTGTCCGGCAGCACTTGCAGGTTGATGACGGCACAGGCGGTGAACATGTGGACTCGAAGGTGGAGCTGTTGCCATTCGCTGTTGGTTTCTATTACGGTGGACTGGGCCTGTTGCCTCTTACTGTCCAAACACTGCCACTGCTTCGACTTCGAGCTCAGCGTCGACGTGCACTCGCTGAAAATCGAAGTAACCTGGAGACAAGGGGAAAAGGTGAAGTAAGAAATAACTATGGTGCTACTAATCAACAAGATGATCTGCACGTTTAACTATTAGGGTTGAACGATTTGGGAAAAATATCTATTTGCAATTTTTCAGACAAGCATCGCGGTTAGTTTTAATAATAGGGTTAGTACCGTATTTTTCGGACTATAAGTCGCACTTTTTTTCATGGTTTGGGTGTTTCCTGCGACTTAAACTCCGGTGCGACTTATAAATTAAAATTTTCACACTGACAGACGTGAGAGGCTCTAGGCTCGTGTGTCAGTATGTATTACTACTTTTACTCCTGTACCACTGTCACTTCACTCTACTGCGCATGTCTCCTGTAGAAAAAGCTGCTGTCTTATTACAAAAATTCAGCCGAAAAATGGTAACCGAGCAGCAGAAACAAAGTTTGGAGTGAGCGAGAAACATGTGAGGGACTGGAGGAAAGCGGGGATGGAGAGTACAGACTTCACGACAACCGGGCGGATGCACCATGAAACTTTCTTGGAAGTCACTGGATGAATCGACAAAGCCTGGACTTCAATGGAAACCGAAACCATCCTGTCGGGATTCAGAAAGGCCGGAATAATTCTAACTGGAACTGATGCCGAGTCTGACGACAGCGACACAGAAGAGGAAACTGTTTACATCATGGATCTACGGTTTATCTCTGGAGGTCATGCAGAAGTGACACCGAGGACACAGAATTCAATGGATTTAGTGATCTGGAGTGAGATCATGAGTTTGGTAAATTTACGCTCTGTTGTTTATGCTATAATTATCTGAAGAACTGTTAATATGTTAGGTTAACATATTAACGCCTATTCAGCCTGTTATCTATTCTGTTGTTATTACTAGAGCTTGCCTTTCAAGATGAAATGTCGGTTGTTGGTCTCTGATTTTATAAAATACATTTCCCCAAAAAGTGAGACTTATATGTTTTTTTCTTCTTCATTGCGCATTTTTTGGCTGGTGCGACTTATAGTCCGGAAAATACGGTACTAGAATTGCATTTCAGAACATGCTTGTACAGATCTATACTACAAAATTGGACACTTTTATGCAGAATAAGACAAGAAATTTGTTGTTTGTGAAGGAAATGATGTTATCGCTACACAATTTATCACAATTTCAATTAAATTACAATCTTGCGGCTCTAATAATTATATGTTTAGTTTAGTCTGCTCTATAGAAAGAAAGAAAGAAAAGAAAAAGAAAAACACGCTGACTGTTAAACTGAGAAAAAATGGCTTTAAAGTTTTGATTCAGTCCCTCTTGTGTATGTCAGCGGTACACGAATGATTGTGTATTTATCTGTTACTTCATGATGTGTTCATATTTACCAATCACAACTATCACCACCGATTTTACATTTGACCTCTGAGTGTACAGTTAAAGTACAGAAAATGAGGTGGTCTGAGAAAACATATTTGGGGGGAGACCTTTTATGCTTAGTAACATTCAGTATTCCAAAAAACATGATGCAATATCTGTGAGTCAGGCGAAACTCTCCAGTAAAACAGAAAAGAGCAGTATGTGTGTTTGAATATGTCAGAGCATTTGTTGTTGTAGTTACTGCACTTTTCCTTTTAACAAGACAGAGCTGAGTCATAAAACTTCATCACCAAATAAAACAAGTGTTATGAAGGTGTTACTCAATCTGGACAAAATCCACGGTTACTGAGTTTTTACTTTGTAGGGCAGTATTATACAGAGCACATTTTTCAGTTCCGATATCTCTTCCATTACTATAGCTTTAAGCATCTTCTGATACCCGATATTAACTGATACCTATAGGCGAGTTTCAGCTGACGTCATTGTTATTAAAAGCCCGCGTTTGCATGCTGGGAAATATTTTGGTCGGAGGCAAGAAACACGGTAGCGGTCAAACACAGTGCGTAACCTCGTGTATTTATCCCCAATAATGGTAAATTCCTGCTGCATTATCGGATGCACAAATAGAAGCACGGAAGAAGGAAAATGTCTTTTCCGTATTCCGAGTGAAAAGAACAGCTAACAGTGAATTAAATGGCTTTCAAACATTCGCAGAGCAAACGTGGAAGATCCTAACAAACCGTGGACTCCAACAAGTTCAACAACACATCGAGACTCTTGGAGGTTTTCATCTTTTCTGCTGTGAATGGCCCAGGAGTTTCCACCAAGTCATTGTGGATATCGCCCAAGTGAATATTTGTCCAGGTAGTTGGCGATTCTGACCATAAATTTGGTTTGTTCCACCTTTTGTCGGGGTTGAAAAGGGTGATTTGGCTCCGTCGATGCTTATGACCAATTTCTGGTCAAATGGTCTTGGGTCCTCTGCCGTTAGACTGGATAAATAACCGGGATCAATACCCTTTACGTGCTTTCTCGCTCCGTCCGTCATGATGAATTAGTGTTTCTTGCCGCCGAACAAAATAATTCCCAGCATGCAACACGCGCTTTTGTCAACAATGAAACTCGCCTATAGTATAATATAGTATTTGATTACTATAGCTTTAAACATCTTCTGATACCCGATATTAACTGATACCAATACTAATTCCTAAAAATGAAATAAAACAGAGCTGATGAATGTGTTATGCAGCTGTTATTTATCTCAAGTAACTACAGATCAACTTTGTACTAATACAAATTCAAAACACTGACACTTTTTGGGCCGACTACGACCAGATAATAGTCTTATTATACATAGATTGTATAGGTCCAGTCAGATTAACGGCTGAACTGGGTAACACTTTATAATAACTACACCTTATTCAGCCTTAATAAAGCATGAACAAAGGCTTAATTAATAATGAACAAAGATGTAATTAAGAATGATTCACGCTTAGTAACTACTTAATTACTACCTTAATTAGCACTTGTACTTAATCTGCCTGTGCTGTAAATAGTTACTCATAATCATTTCATACTTAATTACTCATGAACTAACCATTTGAGCATTTATTAATGATTAGTAAGCCATGAGAGAATGATATACTAATAATGAAATGCAATGATAATTCAGGCAGCTGTTATCTGTTAGTTAAGTCTTTTTGAGAGATTTTCTAAAGTGAAGACAAATTATGCTTTATTAAGCATTTACTAAGCGTGAATCATTATTAATTAAGTCTTTGTTCATGCTTTATTAAGGCTAAGTAAGGTGTAGTTATTATAAAGTGTTACCCTGAACAAATATTTGGAGGCGGATATCTGATTCTGCAGATCTGTCAATATTGAATGGGTTCATCTCTAGGTATAACTGCTCCTAAAACTACCGTATTTTCCGGGCTATTAGTCACTCTGGATTATAAGGCGCACTGTTAATAAATGGTCTATCTTCGAATTTTTTTCACAAATAAACCGCCTCGGACTTTAAACGAAACACAACAGTGTGATGGGTGAGTGGTTTTGTTTGTTTGTTCGTTCACGGTGACTCTGGGCTTTGTTCAGTTGTGGCGTGTAGGGAGGGTGTGTCTGGGACCAACGGATTGTCGGCGTGTTCGCAGTGACTCAGTTGTTCAGTTGTGGCTTTTTCGGTTCGTTCCTCCGTTCTGTTCCTCGTCGGCGTGGAGTGATGAGTGTGGCTGCGGGTGTTTGTCGCTGTGCGGTCGCTGTCTGCTCTGTGTGTGTTTGCGTGCGCTGCTGGTGGTGCGGCTTTGTAGTTTACTGAAGTCGTGCTGGGACACCCGAGTGGATTCGTGTATAGTGTGCTGTGGATTGCGGGGGGCAGAGGCTTAAGAGCGCGTCTAATAGCCCGGAAAATACGGTACTCTTGAGTAAGTAACTACTAGTAAAGCATCAAGATAGTTTATGATATATACATTCTGATATTTTGTCATTAAATTCTATTAAAAAAAATTTAAACATGTTCTTGTATGGGCATTATGGCATAAGGATGGGCATTATGGCAAAAAAATTGAACCAAAAAAGAAGAATTTGCGGACATATAATCCCAGCCCCGTGTACTTGAACATACCAGATCATTGGCCTGGTCAATAGTAAAGACACTACAGTTAAGGCGGTCCTTGACGTCGATCTGTGCGTCGGCGAGCAGTCCCGATGAGCTGTTTACACTCGTTTTGCATCCGAGTGAAGGGGATGGCGATCTCGTCATAATACAACTGCTCTGAGAGAATGGCCAAGAGACGAGGCTGCACCAGGGACGACACCAGCTGACAGTCCTGCAGGGAAATACAGAAGCACTCAGAGATACGGTTCACAAACAGTTTGGGACTTTAAACAGGCGAGTTTCAGCTGACGTCATTGTTATTAAAAGCCCGCGTTGCATGCTGGGAAATATTTTGGTCGGAGGCGAGAAACACGGTAGCGGTGAAACACAGTACGTAACCTCGCGTATTTATCCCCGATAATGGTAAATTCCTGCTGCATTATCGGATGCACAAATAGAAGCACGGAAGAAGGAAAATGTCTTTTTCGTATTCTGAGTGAAAAGAACCGCTAACGGTGAATTAAACGGCTTTCAAACATCCGCAGAGCAAACGTAGAAGATCCTAACAAACCGTGGACTTCAACAAGTTCAACAACACATCGAGACTCTTGGAGGTTTTCATCTTTTCTGCTGTGAATGGCCCAGGAGTTTCCACCAAGTCATTGTGGATATCGCCCAAGTGAATATTTGTCCAGGTAGTTGGCGATTCTGACCAGAAATTTGGTTTGGTCCACCTTTTGTCGGGGTTGAAAAGGGTGATTTGGCTCCATCGATGCTTATGACCAATTTCTGGTCAAATGGTCTTGGGTCCTCTGCCGTTAGAGTGGATAAATAACCGGGATCAATACCCTTTACGTGCTTTCTCGCTTCCGTCTGTCATGTTGAATTAGCGTTTCTTGCCGCCGACCAAAATAATTCCCAGCATGCAACGCGCGCTTTTGTCAACAATGAAACTCGCCTATAGCACAGGGGAACAGGAATGGAGTCAGTTTCAATCTCACAAGTGAAGAACTATTAAAAAGTTATAAATTAAGTTCACATATTTCACCTTCTGCAGGGCGGCCCACTCGCACAGCACCAGGGCCACGGCGATGCGCTGGAGGGCAGACTTCGAGTTCAGGTGGAAGAGCAGCAGCTGCCCCAGAGACTCAGCTGGACGCATCTCCTGAGACGAGGAGTTCAGCTGAGGGTCACAGATGCAGCGGCACAGGGCTCCAAGCAATCTGCACACAGTGAGTACACACACATACAGTTACATTTAACAAAGAGCAGAGAGAATAGGAGGGTTTCAGTCACGTGATCACGATGATGGTGGAGGACAGGAAGTGAAAACACGACAAACACGGCTCTGGAGGACACAGATATGGAGAAGAGTTCTTATTGTAAGGATTTAGAGCCGTTAGTCGACAAATATATTGGGCGTGACCCCGATCTTATTGAAAATGAGAGAATTTTCAACCGAAGTAAAAGATTTGCCGACAATCGAGGCAGAGGAGATCACGAACTATTTAGCTCTTCAGACATCGTTCTACACCAGACAACAGATGAAGGCAAAGTACAAAAGTTTGGAGGCATAGAACTTTTTTTGTCAGTGGATGGACCCTCAACCTTGGTGCAAAACGCCTAAATGATGATTATCGTTTGGTCTTCGCCGGGGTGAGTGTTTCTCTTATTTTATGTGTATAGACTAGGAATGGGCATGATTAATCGATTAATCGATAATTGATCATTAAGAATTTCATCGATTACGTTAATTTTAATAGACAAACCAAATGTAGGTTGCTGTGTGTAGCGTGACCGAACAGGGGTCTGTACACGTGTCTCTGCACCCAGAAGGAGCGAGCAAACAAACATTCGGTCAGTCTACAACACAAATGCGTATTTAACGATGACTTGAACAAGAAATTCCAAGCTTTCCGTTGCGTTCGGGACAAGTGGAAGGTGATGTGCACAGTGTACAAAGCAGGTACATATGTTTCAGTGTTAGGTGGGAAAAAGTTTTACCAGGTGAGAGTCGCACAATGTCGATGACGAGTCCCCACCCCCCTCCCCCCGTACGCTGTCCTGGTTTTGACAAACGAAAATCTGGTCACACTAACCTGTATTCCACTGAGTCATGTCTTTTAATCCAGCAGAAATTGAACCACATCAGCGACACAAGAGCTGGAGTTTTATCTTTGCTTAGTTTATGCAAATTAGCGATGCAGTTTTAAGTTTTGTTTCTGTGAAAGTTGCGCAAAACTGAATTAAACACATTATAATGTCAAACGAGCTGATGTGGCTCTAGAGTCGTTACGGTTTATATGTCGTAAAGTTGAATTTATTTATGCAGATTAGTAGTGCAGATAGTAATAATAATGATGATCATTTTAATATAAAAACGTTAATGATTAATCGATAATCGATCGTTAATTCTTCTGACGATCGATTAAGAAAATTTCATCAAATGCCCGTCCCTAGTATAGACTGTTATGGGAAAAACTGCAGTGTATGGGCAGTGACCTCTATCTGAACTATTTAATGTCAACAAACGTCGTTAGCCGTTAGTCGTTAATGATTCGTTTATGTTTAGGTAAACCACAAAAAACAATTTATCTTTGTAACAAACCTTTGACGAAGTGTTCACTGCAGACACGAGCATTAGCGAATTCTGCTCCTCCCGACCGCAAACAGGTTTGTAATCCACTTTTTACGGCGTTGTTCTGTCGGCTTTTCCCATTTCTGACCTTTGTGGACGACTATATTCGGTACTCTAAAAAAAAAAATCGCTTTTCCTTCTCTCGGTTAGAACAATTGGCACAGCCGTAAACTACACAACACATCGGCATTTTCCTCCAGTCAGTTCACTTCCTGCCCTCCATCTGATTTTGCGCGCTGACAAACGTAGCCTCGTGACGTCACGTGAAACCCAGCTATTGTCTGAGTCAGATCCACACACACTCACTTTGCCGCCATGAGCCGCGCCCGCACCACCACGTAGTCCCTGGTGACCGAGTCGTCCGTGACCGTCTCTGCTCCGGCGATGTACTCCTGCACCGTCTCCTTCACCGGGCCTCCCCCCTGACGAGCCTTAGCACCGCACTTGTCCTGTTGAAAAAAAAACACGCAGCAAGTGTTGCAACCTCCCGTGAAGCGAATCGTCCAGAGCTTTAAATCCCCGCCCTCTGGTTCGGGGCACATCGTTCTGACCTTGGAGCGCGACTTGACCTCCAGCAGCATGTTCAGGTCGATGGGGATGTGTGAGGCCTGCATCATGAGGCAGAGCCAGGCACCCATCCACGGACAGCTGGCAGCAACAACAAACTGCTGAGGGGCCTGGGATAACAGCTCCATCCACACCTGAGCACAACACGAAGTTCCAGACAAGACGATTTAACATGATAGAAAGATTTGTGTACAGGATTTTCAGTTCTATTTCTGCCTACTCCAGTTTCCCAGAACAATAACACATTTACAAGAGTCTCACTTCTTGAATCAAAACCCCCCCTATAAAAATATTCTCAATCTCAGAGAGTTTCCTAGTTAAAAAAAGGTAAACATCTGCAGAGAACATTACGTCTTCAAACATAATTGCAGCGTTCGCTATAGTTCAGACTGAGATGAGTTATTCAGTCACATTAGCATTCCCAAACCTTTTGAACGAGCTCCAGGATTTCCTCGTTGCTCTCCAGGATGCAGCACTGGAAGATGTGGCGCAGCATGTCCTGAAGGATGGGGTTTATCCACATGGAACAGTTCTGGAGAAGAAAATTTATGACAGTTGATTTTACACAAATGTATTAAAGTTACATTAAAAATGTCTAATTCAGGGTTCCCATGATTTGCTTGAAATAATTTTCCAGGACTTTTGCAGAACATTCTTAGTTATATTTTCTACTCTAACCATATTGCCCATGTTTATACAGTTTTTCTAATGAAGATGTAGTCACCGGTTACTCTAAATCCACAAAAACTTAATTACCATATTTTTCTAACTAGAAGTCGCAGTTTTTTTTCATAGTTTGGGCGTTTCCTGCTACTTATACTCCAGTGCGACTTACATGTTAAAATTTTCACACTAACAGCACTGAGAGGTTCTAGTCTTGTGTGTGAGTATCTGCTGCTCCTGTTCCTCCTGCACCACTGTCACTTGGCTCTACTGCGCATGTCTCCTGCAGAAAGAGCCTTTGCTGCAAGTTGTGAAATCTGCAGCTGAAAATGGTAATCGAGCAGCAAAAAGAAAGCTTGAAGTGAGTGAGAAACTTGTGAGGAACTGGCAGAAAGCTGGGATGGAAAACACAGCTTCACGGCGACCGGGAGAGTGCACTACGCAACTTTCCTGGAAGTCATTGGATGGATGGACAAAGCCTGGACATCAGTGACACCGAAATCATCCTGTTTAGATTCAGAAAAAACGGAATAATTCTAACTGGAACTGATGCTGAGTCTGACCACAGCGACACAGAAGAAGAAGCGGCGCTCTGTTTACCTCTGGAGTTGCTCAGAAGTGACACTGAGGAAGAAGAATTCAATGGATTTAGTGATTTGGAGTGAGATGGAGAGTTTGGTCAACTTGTTCTGTTCTGTTGTTTATGCAGAAGAACTGTTCATATGTGACGTTAACAGTCTGTTGTTCTCTGTTGTACTGTTTTTTGCTTTCCAAGATGAAATATCTGTTCCTGGTCTCTGATATTATAAAATAAATTTCCCCCAAAAAGTATAAATGTTTTTTTCTTCTTCATTGTGCATTTTTTGGCTGCTGCGATTTATAATCCAGAGTGACTTATAGTCTGAAAAATACGGTACACAATTCGTTCAAAATGTCCTGGATTTTGGTGGGTGTTAAAGGTTTTTCATAAACCTGTGCTGCTCTTTTTACTTTGATCCTGGCAGTAACAGCCTATACTAATCTGGCATCCAATAATCCCCCAAATCAAAGAGTGGAGAAATCTGCCCTCCCTCGTTTTCTATCATTATTTTCCATTATTCCATTATTTACCACATAAAAGCTTGAACAATTTATACAAGAGAAAGAGACTGAGATCAAACATCACCAAGCTTGTATGCTCTAAAACAACAAATATGATTCACGTAACATTACATTTTCTCTGGTGTGTTTTTACCTGGTCGGCTTTGGATAACAAGGTAAAGAGGGTCTCCAGCGCGGCTCTTCTCACTGAGGAGATGGTGTGTCTCAAGAAAGGCCAGACTCGAGGGACCAGGACTGTTAACGACTGCTGCATGCTAAACGTACAGAAACACAAACAGCCGAGTTAATTTCCCCGTGGATCCGATCTAAAAACAGAGTCAACTTCATCACGAAACCAACTTAATCAGAATTGTAGTGTAAATGTAGCTTCAAAATGGCTTTAATCTACACTAATACAGATAATATTAAAGAAATTATATAAAAATATGCTTCCTGAAAATGTCCATTGTCAGGAAAAATAATAGAATGTATTTTTCTCTGCCGTGGCTGACCTGCTTTGTCTGACTTGAGGGTACGTGAGTAACAGTGAGAGCAGAGTCATGATGCTGTTTGTGGAGGCAGTCAGGTCATCCAGGTCCAGAAGAGCGTCCCATAAAGTGTTCACGATGAAGGGCACCTGAAGGAGAAAGAGGGAACTGTAAAACCAGAGCAGCCGCATGAGCCGGAGAGGGAAGTTTGTACAGTACATTTTGTAAACAAGAGAAAGTACAACCAATACAAAGCTTGAGGCGCTTTTCCATTTCAGTAAGGATGTTGAAGGGTGAATCAAGTCTCTTTTTGTTTGTATTTCAACCATTTTGTCCAGTGTTTGATTCAGAAATGTCCTTTGAGTCGCAGAAAAAAAGTCACTCCTTCCATGGAATATATTTCTTTTACAGTATAACGTCGAGCCACTGATTCACTGACGGTGGTTCCTTTTTAAGCCACTTTCTTGTTATTGCTTTTTTGACGCCACTGCCAGAATCTTAAAAAGGTATCTGTCCACTTTTTCGATCACCTCTCCAGCAGAAGGCCTAATAAAAACATCTTCGGGTCGTTGGGGACAACATACCGTATTTTACGGGCTGTTAGGTGCTCTGGATTATAAGACACACTGTCATTAAATGGTCTATTTTCGAACTTTTTTCACAAATAAACCGCCCTGGACTTTAAACGAAACACAACAGCTGGATGGGTCAGTGGGACTTTGTTTGTGGCGTTCACGGTGACTCTGGGCTTTGTTCAGTTGTGGCGTGTAGGGAGGGTGCTGTCTGGGACCAACGGATTGGTCGCAATGACTCAGTTTGGCTCATTGCACTCGTTTTTTCGGTTCGTTCGTCCGTTCCGTTCCTCGTCGGCGTGGAGTGATGAGTGTGTCTGTGGGTGTGTTTCGCTGTGCGGTCGCTGTCTGCTCCGTGTGTGTTTGTGTGTTCTGTGGGTGGTGCGGGTTTGTAGTTTACTGAAGTCGTGCTGGGACACCCGAGTGGATTCGTGTATGGGGCGCTCTGGATTGCGGGGCGCTTTTTTGAAGCGGTTGGAGCGTTAAGAGCGCGTCTAATGGCCCGGAAAATACGGTAAGTCAAGATCCCATCTGTTTTTCCAAATACATTGTCTCATACTGATTTTAATTTTGTACATGTTTACAGCCTGAGTGGAGTTTAGTCGTCACAGTAATACCAACTAACCACTTTATTGATTCCTTGTAAGGGAAATTCACTCTTGGCATTTGGCTCATCTTAAAACAAAGCTACTGGGTTAGACTTTGAGACCCGACAGCTCCAGATTTTGAGCTAGTCTTGGTCAGGACGTCTTAGCTGGAGGATTTTACCAAACCCTATAAGCTGATTTTACAATATATTTTATGTTTTATGAGTCAGTGACATGACGTAGGCATCTTTGTTTCCAGAAGCCACAACTTTTCTAGCTATTAATGTATAAATATAAAGGTTTAAATGGTTTAAATGTATTTGTTTAATATCACTTTAGTTGTACCAATACACATTTGGCAGAAGAAACCAAATCTGAAGTAATATTATCGGTTTAAATAGAGCTGGGTATCATTAATAAGTTGCCGATGTCATACATACCTCATTTTTTTTCAAATTGATTCGATATGGTTCAATAAAAAATAAAGTCTAAATCATGGTTGTGATACTAAAAGTTTTTGTTAAACCACTTCTTGTGCAAAGTTCATATGAAACACACACCCATTTTAGTCATCAAAACAGTAAAAATGTCAAATTAATGAGTTTCCTTCTTCTAAACAAGCAACAAAACTAAAATACTACTACTACTACTTTACTAAAATAGTTGAGTAAAATATACCAAAAAATACACTTGGTGATAAATTGATACAGCAGCCCACGATATCAATACTGTATCATCACATTAAACGATACGATATATATTGATATTTAGATATTTTTGCACAAAGGGGTAACAGATAGAATCATTAATAACATTTGCTTACAAAAATTATAAAAACTTTTCTCTCTGGCATAATTTTAGAAGCCTTGGCATGAACATTTAAAAACAGTTTCAAAATTAACACAAAAAGAACTACTTTTGATGTCAATTTTTACACGGTAACATGAAGTTAATGGGCATTTTTTTTCTCCACTATTAACACATTAAATTATCTTGACACTTCCAAATTTACATCTTGCACAAATACAAAATAATAATGTTAATTCAAAACAAAAAACATGTAAGGTTGTAGTGTTTTAGTTGTTTATTGTAAATTGTTTGATAGGGTTTTAGACGATAAAAATGTGTAATAGTTGACAGATAATTTTCTTTAGTTTATATGGGTTTAAATGGGACACGAGCAGAAAGGAGGAGTTAGTGAGTTCATGGACGATTAAACTCACAATTTACAAGTTTAATCTTTCTTTATACAAATGCAGCGCTTCCTTTTTTGCATGAATAGTTATTTTGCATCATCTCCTGAGCAGGTGTAGTTTTATGACTGCAGTTTGGGTCAGAGACACAGACGCACGAAATCATTTTGAGAGCTTTTGCCACGCCCATTTTTTAGTTACCTAATCGATTGCTCAAGAAATGATTGGTCGACGAAAGACATGCCGGCCAAACTACAGCTCTTGATACATGACAGATACTTATTTGAACAAATTTCGATACTAAAAAAAGTCACATTTACAGGACATGAACCTGAAATGAACCTTTCCTGAATAACTTTAGAATAATTTTGAGCTGTATCAGAACAAGAGCCTGTATAAGAGCACACGGGACTATAGGCGAGTTTCAGCTGACGTCATTGTTATTAAAAGCCCGCGTTGCATGCTGGGAAATATTTCGGTCGGAGGCAAGAAACAGGATAGCGGTCAAACACAGTGCGTAACCTCGCGTATTTATCCCCGATAATGGTAAATTCCTGCTGCATTATCGGATGCACAAATAGAAGCACGGAAGAAGGAAAATGTCTTTTTCGTATTCCGAGTGAAAAGAACTGCTAACGGTGAATTAAACGGCTTTCAAACATCCGCAGAGCAAACGTAGAAGATCCTAACAAACCGTGGACTCCAACAAGTTCAACAACACATCGAGACTCTTGGAGGTTTTCATCTTTTCTGCTGTGAATGGCCCAGGAGTTTCCACCAAGTCATTGTGGATATCGAAGTGAGTAAGTGAATATTTGTCCAGGTAGTTGGCGATTCTGACCAGAAATTTGGTTTGGTCCACCTTTTGTCGGGGTTGAAAAGGGTGATTTGGCTCCGTCGATGCTTATGACCAATTTCTGGTCAAATGGTCTTGGGTCCTCTGCCGTTAGACTGGATAAATAACCGGGATCAATACCCTTTACGTGCTTTCTCGCTCCGTCCGTCATGTTAAATTAGTGTTTCTTGCTGCCGACCAAAATAATTCCCAGAATACAACGCGCGCTTTTGTCAACAGTGAAACTCGCCTATAAAAGAAAGTAGTACGATTTAATGTTGAAAATCCATAGACTGTATATATAAATGGACAGATCTAAACACACTAGCCGACGAGTTCCAAATAGGAAGTTCGCAAGCGGCTTTTCCGGCTCCTTCTGACCCTGGCTCCCATTGACTTACACTGGAATATTGTCACCTCTCTCTCTGTAATAACTGCTGCTGTGAGCCTCGTCATTTCGATCTTAAATTGTTCGTTTAACCTGCTCCACAGATGAATGCTGTTGTTGTGTCCTTGGGCAAGATATTCAACCCTAGTGTCTGTGCACTCTATGTGAAAATAACATTCTATTGTCTAAATAAAGAGTGTTATTACAGGGGACCCCCAGGTTTGACTACCCCAAATTTATGACTTTTCAAAGACCTTTTCAAGACCACTTACATGAAAATTAAGACCAAGATCGCACCCATTATGCTGGCCAAAAACACCAGATCCAATTCTAATAATGACCAACCAACTACCGACTACTACGACATCTAGAATCTAAGGCTACGTTCAGACTGCAGGGCTTAACGCTCAATTCCGATTTTTTGTGAAATCCGATGTTTTTGCGAGGTCGTTCACATTTCCAATTAAATGCGACTTGTATGTGACTCCAGTGTGAACATTAAACGGCCTCGAAAGTGTCCCACATGTGACACTGGAAACACGATGACGTCAACCGCAGTGAGCGTCTCTGTGTTTACGGAAGTTGTCCAAACATGGACGCGAGCATCGAGCACCTGGAGATTTTAAAGTTCCTCTCGTACCGGAGCCAGAACATGAACAACTTACTTGTTTTAAGGAGGAGATTGAGAAGGAGAAGGACGAGGTTTTTGGTCGTGGTGTTTTGTGGGACAGCGACAGCGACGTCCGTTGAAAGGAACGTGTGGATGTGGAGACGGAGCCAAGAGTGGTGAGTGGTGATGTGCTTCGCTTCAGTGACACGGAGTTCATTAACAATTTTCACCTACTTCAGTGCAGAATAGTGACGTTTGTGTCTTGTTGATAACGTGTAGGTGGATGAATGCACTTTGGCCGTTCACACTGAAGTCGCATGTCAAAAGATCAGATATGTATCGGTTTCAGGAGCACATATCCAAGTGTCCTGGGTCGCAATTGAAAAAAATCAGATCTGTGTGGTTCAGACTGTCATTAAAAGATCAGATACAGGTCACATAGAGGCCAAAAAATCGGATTTGGGTCACTTCAGGCTGCAGTCTGAACGCAGCCTAAGACACACTGTGGATTAAACCAACACTTACCCATGATCCCCATGAGTTTTTTAATATTGTGACAACACTACAGCCTGTTTAATTTTTGTCTACCGCAGATTAAACCCGTGCATGTCTTACTTTAGCAGGCAGCAGTTGTACGAGTCCGTCCACCACGGGGATGAGCGCCGACGCCGCCACCGCCCTGACGTCGTCGTCCAAGTCCTGCAGACCCACTGTGACGGCCGGCAGCACCCGAGGGAGCAGCGACGAGATCAGGTCCTGAACAACAAGCAAAAGACACAGAGGGGTCGCGATCAAAACTGGAGCTATTGACACTTTGTTGGGGGTGTTCCACATGTATCTCTAACCTGGAGTGTTCAGCAGTTACCATGGTGACACAATGCACACATTAACAAACACAGACAAAAAGGTTTTAAGTCTGAAAACGCAAGAAAAAAAATACAAACTGGATTTAAACAAAGCATTTTCAGGAGTCTGTGATCAGTGGTAGTTTTCATGGTCTGGTATCAATTAGGGATGTAAGATTAATTGCGTATTTAATAATTATAAAGAACTGAAATGATCAATCTGGATAATTTAACTACCCCTATTCCCAATGCCTTGTAGTCTCTGTGTACCGTATTTTCGGACTATAAGTCACACTTTTTTTCATGGTTAGGGTGGTTCTGTGACATCCAATCCAATTTAATATACAAGTCCAATACTCCGGTGCGATTTATATATTAAAATGTTCACACTGAAGCCACGAGAGGCTCTAGTCTTGTGTGTCAGTATCTGCTGCTCCTGTTCCTCCTGTACCACTGTCACTTTACTCTACTGCGCATGTCTCTCTGCAGAAAGAGCCTCTGTCCTGCTGCAAGTTGTGAAATATTCAGACGAAAACGGTAATCGAGCGGCAGAAAGAAAGGGACTTGTGAGGGTCTGGCAGAAAGCGGGGACGGAGACCACAGCTTCATGGGAACCGGGAGGGTGTGTCATGCAACTTTCCTGGAAGTCACTGGATGAATCGACAAAGCCTGGACTTCAGTAACAGCCAAAACCATCCTGTCGTGATTCAGAAAGTCCGGGATAATTCTAACTGGAACTGATGCTGAGTCCGACGACAGTAACACAGAAGAGGAAGCGGAAGTGTGACACCGAGGATGAAGAATTGAATGGATTTAGTGATTTGGAGTGAGATGGAGAGTTTGTTAAACTTGTTCTGTTGTTTATGTTATAGTTTATCTGACGAACTGTTCATATGTGACGTTAACAATCTGTTGTTCTCTGTTCTGTTGTTATTACTAGAACTTGCCTTTCAAGAGGAAATGTCGGTTCCTGGTCTCTGATTTTATAAAATACATTTCCCCTAAAAAGTGCGACTTCTGTTTTTTTCTTCTTCATTACACATTTTTTGGCTGGTGCGACTTATAGTCCGAAAAATACGGTATATTGTTTATCTGTTTTTTTGTATGTATGTTTATAATAATTTCGATATAAATGAATATATGCAATACATTTGATGAAAAAAATAAATAAATAAAAAAGTAAGATTAATCACAGTGAAACCAAAATAGAAATCTGAACGGATGCAATTAAATCTGCCATTTTTAAAGTCGGATATTTTGTTGCTTGTGGAGATAATTATCTTGTCTTATTCTGCATAAAACCTGCTAACCCTGTAGTTTAGATCTGTACAAACACGTTCTGAAATGTGATTCTTGTATCAGTCTGCCAGTTTACAGAAATGGCACGGAGCACCCGAGGGAACAGGGACGAGATCAGGTCCTGAACGAGCAGAAGACACAAAAAGATCAGGGATGTAACATGATGAAAACTGTAGCTATGAAGGCTGTAAGATTAATCACAGTCTGAATGTACGCACTCAGAAAATCACAAACGCTGCAGTTTCTGAAGTATAATAATTTCCTCCACAAGCCACAAAATATCAGGTCTTATTCTGCATGAAAATGGCCAACGCTGTAGTTTACACCCGAACAACCATGAGCTGAAATATGATTCTTGTGTCGATTCTTCTGAATGTGTTTAAACTGTGAACTTTGAACAAAACCTCGTTATTAAAAACAAAAGCATTGCAATTCTGTTTAGATGTGTCCAAAAGAAATCTGAATTATACAGTTTTCCAAAATCGTTTGTGCACACATGTTCATGATTTTTTATTTTTTATTTTTTTTGCTTTTTCTCTACTTGTCAAGATTTGGCTTGGGGAAAAAAAAAAAAAGGTTTAGTACTGATGAATAGGACCTCTTAGACTTTGAGTTTATTGATCCACAAAAGAAAATGATTTCGCTTAATCTTAAGGTGTAGGTCAGACATGTTAAATTTGGCCCACGATATAATTATATTTGGCCTGCGAGATCAAATTAAAGATGTATTAGAGCTGCCCACCAGGCTATAGAGACATTATTTATTAAAAATGTTGTTATATTTTACATTATACTTGTTCTGGAATCAATGTTTAAGCAAATCAAAACAAAATTAAACATTTATTTTAATAAAAAAAGGTTTAACATTACATATCTCGAAAGAAGAGAAAACATGCAGATGTTGTTGAAATTTTTCAATTAATATTTGGTTTGGCCCATGACTTAGTCCCAGTTTTTAATTTTGGCCTCTATGAATTTGAGTTCCACACCCCTGATGCAACAAAAACAAAAATAATACAACAAATTCGCTCAAATTAAAAGCTAAAACTTAAACGCACAATTTGTATAAATAAAAATCTCATTCCCTGGACCCAGTTTTTTTGTCTCATCTTGAGGGAATTGTGTCAGATCCTTTTCCAATACTCTATATAAACACAGACATGTATTTACTACTGTGCAGTGGTGGAGCTGAAGGTGCAGAAAAGATATTTATTTGAAGACCAATCAGTGACATTGGACACATGTATTCATGAAGGCGGTCCATATGAGTAGAATACTGTTTAACTCACACTGGTTTACTTCACCATTTGGGAAATATACAGTAGTTGCATTTTTTTTCTGACAAGTATTTTGATCAAGATTTGCAATTAATATTTTAAGGACAAGAATCTTAACAAACAAAACATTACACAAGCCTGAATATGACTGAACTGTTTTGAACCCTAGGTGAGTGCCAAGTACAGTATTTAATGAATTCATGTAGAACACAAATCAGCATGCAAACAAGTACTTCCAGTAATAGTATGTTTGCAGAGTACATTGGGCGTGTGACAGAAGGCAAATTGACCTACATATTGCACTGCACCATTATTCACCTTTAAATTTAACTAGTATTTGCTTTAAAAACAAGACGCACGTGACTTAGGGTCGCCGGGTTTAAGAAATCAAACCAAACCAGTCAAACTTTATTGTTAAGGATACAATGTTCTGCAGTACACCTAAAAACATTGTTGTAAGTCTAGTAACAATTTTATAGACAAATTATACTATTTATAGTCGCTGCTGAGAGTGGAGGGGCACACAAAGTTTCCTCCTTCCTAGAGGGGGGTGTATTTTCCGGGCTATTAGGTGCTCTGGATTATAAGACTCACTGTCATTAAATGGTGTATTTTCAAACTTTTTTCACAAATAAACCGCGTGGGACTTTGCCGAACTTTTGCACCGCGTACGGAGTGAACCAGGACTGATCCAGGTCCGAGACCAGACCGAGACCATGACAAGACTGAGACCAGATCGGAGGCTCAGAGCCCACGGCAGGGCCGGAGCTCGAAGCTGAGGCTCGGACCCCGTGGAGGCTCAGAGTCAAAGCTTGGAGTCCGCCCTGGTCCCGCTCTAGTCCCAGTCTGGTCTCGGACCTGGATCAGTCCGTACCCGGTGCATAAGTTCGGCATCGCAGTCACGGAAGTCACGTAAACGGGAAACGGTCGTTATCCGTTTTTTCCATTCTTCATTTAAACACAAAATCGAAAACTGAAAAAACGAATCGTTATCCGTTTTTTCATTTTGGTTTTGGAGACAAATAGCGAAGAAAACTGTTGTTTTTTCGTTTTCTTATTTTTGGTTTTATATTGAAAAACGAATGAACGAATGATACACGGATTTAAAGGAAACTGTTGGATGGGTGAGTGGTTTTGTTTGTTTGTTCGTTCGCAGTGACTCAGTTGTTCAGTCGTGTCTAGAAGTGACTAAAACTAAATTTATGATATTTGCAAAACGAAAAGTACAAAATCGTGTACAAATTATGCTCAATAATTAGTGTTATGTAATCAGAGTACAAATTATGAGTAACTGTATTCAGTTACAGTTACTGTTTCAGTGAGTGGTAATTAGATTACAGTTACTTTGTTGAAATAAATGGATTACAGGGCGGTATTTTCCTGTTTTCACATTTTGGCTATATTCCCCCTTTTTTTTTTTTTTTTTCCTTTTTTTTTCGGTAATTCCACTCATTGCCGGAAACTAAAACAGGTCTAAGCTAGATCTAAACCAGGTCTGAACCAGGTCTAAATCAGGACTCAAACCAGGATTAAAACCAGGACTAAACTAGATCTAAACTAGACCTAAACCTCTGAAAATCATGTTCAAAGTAAACAATAATCTCCTGCCAAATTCTTTACAGAACACGTTCAAAATCTGAAAGAGCCAATACGAGCTCAGAGGCACGGCCATGTGTATCAAAAAGAAAATCAGAACATTATAAAATTGTGTAAATCTGTTAAAGGGGTGGAGCTCTGGAACAACTGTACAGAAAACCTAAAATTGTGCACCAGTCTCTTTAACTTTATAACGAAGTTTAAATGTTTAATTCTGGACAGATACATGAAATATGATACTTAGTTTGTGCTCTGTTGTTCTGTTTCTGATTTGTTTGTTTCCACTTGCTGTATTTATGAAGATGAACTAGTGTCAAGATGACGCTCTGATAAAGGAAGAAAGGGTAAAGGCAGAATAAGCTTAAGCTTCAGCCTGCATCTTTTCGGTCTGTGTATGTTAAATATGTGAATTAATGTCAAAATATACCTGTGACCGAAATAAATAAATAAATAAATAAGTGGAGTGATGACACCCGAGTGGATTCGTGTATGGGGCGCTCTGGATTGTGTGACGCGCAGTCGTTTTTTGATGGGGTTGGAGGATTAAGAGCGCGTCTAATAGCCCGGAGAATACGGTAAGTGAGAAGCTGTGTGTTCTGAGCGTTACCTGTCGCACAGCCAGGGCGTACTTGATCCCCAGCAGGCCTCCGTGTCGCACCTCCCACTGCGCCTCCTTCAGCAGGTTCAGCAGCACCTCCACCGTCATGGACACGCCCCCTTCAGTCATGTGACGCAGAGCCACACCCAGAGTCTGCGCACACGTCTCCCTCACCGGCGCCACCACCTGGAGACGAGGACATACAAGTTTAGGAACTGGTACAGAACAGTAAATAAATAGAAAATAAACAGCCAATTCAAATGCAAATTAAATAGAGTAAAGCCTGCCCAGTTATTTTTTAAATGTAGTGACTTCAGTTTGTAGTAGGGATGGGCTTTCGATGAAATTTTCTTAATCGATCGTCGGAAGAATTAACGATCGAATTATCGATTAATCATTAACATTTTTATATTTAAAATGATCATCATTATTATTACTATCTGCACTACTAATCTGCATAAATAAATTCAACTTTACGACATATAAACCGTAACCACTCTAGAGCCACATCAGCCCGTTTGACATTATGATGTGTTTAATTCAGTTTTGTTCAAGTCTCACAGAAACAAAACTTAAAACTGCATCAATAATTTGCATAAACTAAGCGAAGATAAAACTACAGCTCTTGTGTCGCTGATGTGGTTCAATTTCTGTCAGATTAAAAGACATGACTCAGGTGAATACAGGTTAGTGTGACCAGATTTGCGTTTGTCAAAACCAGGACAGCGTACGGGGGGAGGGAGGTGGGGACTCGTCATCGACATTGAGCGACTCTCACCTGGAAAAACTTTTTCCCACTGGACACTGACAACATATGTGCTGCTTTGTACACTGTGCACATGGACTCACACTTGTCCCGAACGCAACGGAAAGTGTGGAATTTCTTGTACAAATCATCGTTAAATACACATTTGTGCTTCAGTACGTTGCAGACTGACCGACTGTTTGTGTCTCGCTCCTTCTGAGTGCAGAGACACATGTACAGACCTGTTTGGTCACACTACACACAGCAACCTACATTCGGTTTGTCGATTAAAATTAACGTAAACGATGAAATTCTTAATGATCAATTATCGATTAATCGATTAATAATGCCCATCCCTAGTTTGTGGTGTTGTGTTAATATTAATTATGCCTCACTGAAGTGTCCTCGGGTGAAGGATTTATTTGATTTGTGTTGTGTTTAGAGCTGGGTATCATTAAGAAGTTGTAGATAAGATACATATCTCGATACGATAAATATCTCAATACAGTGGACTTTCAATTCGATATTGCAAACCAATTCTATACATTTCGATAAAAAACAAGCACAATCAAAAATAGCAACCTAGTCCCCATGAGGCATCAGTGGAGACAGTTCATCACCACAGAAGCAGCTGATGAGGAGTCCAGCCCATATTACATGATCATTATATCCACAATGTGTGTATCTGTACAGGCCCATGAACATTTGTGTGACACTGGTCACACATGAGAATCTCTGTATTTACTAGTGTGTAACAAAAATGTAACTGTTCATGAGTTGTGTATATGTTAGTTGTGTGACTGTAGATCAGTGTGTCGTCGTGTATCACCAGAAAAAAAAGAAATGGAAATGATTTGTTTCGCTTAATTATTTGTCATTGTAATTAGAATTTTAACGGCTACACTGAAAGAGAAAAGAACTGTTATAATTAGTGATTATCTCGAAAACTATTAATATTTTAATACAAATGCATAGAATTATAAATAGATAATATTTTTTCTGAGATTTTGAGACCAATCCCATTGCTGTAGCTCGATCCTACGTGGAGTTATGACCAAAAACACATATCTGACCTTGGTTACCTTGACCGGTTTCAACCTGTAACATCCAGTGTGCCCCGGTTATGTGTGTGCCAACTTGTGTGATGATTGGGTGAATATTTTAGCCCACAGATGGTTCAGAAATCACTGAAATTCTTTATAATGGCGTGCCCTTTCAACTTGACCCGTGTGACTTCAAATGACCTCGGATCGTCACCAAACTTTTTTTTGCGGCATCGGGCACGGGGGCTTGACCCACGTAGCAAATTTGGTGACAATTGGTCCATAAATGGCGGAATTATTGCGGGTGGACACACACACAGACACACAGGGTGAATACAAAACCTGGTCAACACTTCGGGGACCAGGTAATAATGACTAATATCACGGCTGTGACGCTAAAAGTTCTTATTAACCCACTTCTTGTGCAAAGTTAATATGAAACTTTGCAGATGAAGTCATCAAAGTTTCATCGAAAGAGTGAAAATGTCAAATGAGTCACAAAAACGAGTTTCCTTCCACTAAACAAGCAACAAAACTGTAGCTCTTTAACAAAATAATTTAGTAAAATATACCAAAAAATACTCTTGGTGATATATCGATACAGTAGTCCACGATATCGATACCGTTTCATCACATTAAACGATACGATATATTGATATTTTGATATTTTTACACACCTCTAGTAGTGTTTAACATGTTGTCAGTCACATCCGCTCACAACTGGCCGCCCAAGTCCTTATCTTTAAATATTTACTAGTGTGAGCATGACTTCACAAAAAAACCCAGAGATAAAATTGGACAGGAAGTAGTGACGTCGACAGTGCGGTTGCTGGGTACAATTTGTGTCCTAAAATACTCAGACGCCTAAAATAATATTACTCAGAAGTACAATGTAGAGGTCCAAGAATGAACTCAAGTAACAGATCGTAAGTAATTGAGGGATCTACAAAATGAGTAACTAAGCTGCAATCTGGATGTAAAATCTGATTTATGCACCTGTTTGTTTTGTACTAGACGGACAAAACATTAAATAATAGGTGTGTAGCGATATTCAAGTCTCACGATATGAATCTAACGGTACGATATTTATTGCGATATCGTTGAAAAGCTCACGATTAGGGATGTAACAATATCCAAATCTCTCTGTACGATATTTTCTCGATATACATCTCACAGTATGATATTTAGTGGAGACTAACAAAACTGTTAATATTTCCTCTTAATATGCCTTGACAAGACTTAATCCAGCGAACTAAGACTTAAAAGTGTTAGAACTGTTATTTCTTCTTGTCGTCTGCACTGAAATGGAGCAACGGATCATGGTCTATGTAAATCCGTGTATCATTCGTTCATTTGTTTTTCAATATAAAAACAAAAATAAGAAAACGAAAAAACAACTGTTTTCTTCATTATTTGTCTCCAAAACCAAAAAGAAAAAACAGATAATGATTTGTTTTTTCAGTTGTCATTTTTGTGTTTGAATGAAGAATGGAAAAAACGGATAACGGCCGTTTCCCGTTTACGTGACTTCCGTGATTGCGATGCCGGACTTTTGCACCACATAAGGACTGAACCAGGACTGATCCAGGCCCGGGACCAGAACGGGACCAGAGTGAGACTCCGAGCTTTGACTCTGAGCCTCAGTTTCGCGCTCTGGCCCTGACGTGGGCTCTGAGCCTCCGGTCTGGTCTTGGTCTGGTCTCGGTCTGGTCTCAATCTGGTCCCGGACCTGGATCAGTCCTGGTTCAGTCCGTATGCAGCGCAAAAGTCCGACATCGCAGTCACGGAAGTCACATAAACGGGAAAGGACCGTTATCCATTTTTTCCATTCTTCATTTAAACACAAAATCGAAAACTGAAAAAACGATTCGTTATCCGTTTTTTCATTTTGGTTTTGGAGACAAATAATGAAGAAAACAGTAGTTTTTTCGTTTTCTTATTTTTGGTTTTATATTGAAAAACGAATAAACGAATGATACACAGATTTATGTAGTTCCTGCTGTCTGTTTTTTAGCTGTTGCTGCACCATAACTCTTAATTTAAGCAAAGACACTTGTAATTGGATATATTGTGATGGTCTGACGATATTATTGTGAGAACTTTGACAATACGATATCACGATATTTCGATTATTGTTACATCCCTATTAAATAATGCACAAAATCTGGTGTTTGCAATGGAAGCATAACAAAAATGAGAATATCTGAAGGGATTCCATGCAAAAAAAAATTAGTATTTATGCAGAAAATATACTAGGAAATGTATAAAAAGATAAATTAAACTTGTGAATTATGAGTTTAATCTGACTTTTTACAAATTGTCCTGTATAAATCCTTATAATCTAAATCAAAATTACTAGTCAACTAATACACCACTGACAGATTAATCAACTAAGCGACCTACAGCACGACCCAGAAATACAAAATTATTAAAAAGTTACTCTAGTAAATGTATTGAATGTATCTGAAAACGAACTAATTGCCATTTAGTTTTGATTGTGATTTAATAATAATAATAAATCAGTTTTATAAAGCGCTTTTCTGGACACTCAAAGACGCTTTTACAGAGCATTATTCATTCACTCCACACTCTTATTTATTCTAGCAGCTTCTTGCGCTGATAGACGAGGATGAATTTCATACAATTAATCAACATTTGACATTTTAGAATAACTAAGCCATTAAATAAATACAAGGGAATGATACAGATCTAGTACCGCGTAACACTGAGTCATAGTTGACTTTAGAACTGAAGCGTTGCGCCGTAAAAGGAAGCGGTGCGCACATCACAGGAATACACCATCAACTTGGTTTGTGGCACCTCCTTTAAATAAATATAGTACAAATGAGGAAATAATAAAGCGTGAGAGCGTGAGTAAGCAGTGACGGCTGAAGTTCGAAGAATTTTAAAAAGGCAATGATTCAATTTTAAAAACTCATATTTTTGTACGGGAGATGCTTGCAAAAAATGACTCTATGATACTAAAGTCGATTTGAATTGGTCATTAATGTGAGCGCACGTACGGAAATGGGTTTAAAACATTTGAATAAGTAAAACACACGTCTCACCTCGTCCGACACAAAATCTCCAAACCGATCGAGAGCGAAGACGCACAGCAGCCGAATCACCAGGTCTTCGATCCACTCCTGGTGCTGCCGTAGCATCTGCACGAATAAAACGTTGAAAAAACAAAATTACAGCTCCGACACTCAAGTCAAATCCCACTTTTTTCGTTTGAGGAGTGATTCATGACCTGATCAGCGGTGCTTCCCAAGAGTTTCCCTCCTCCTGCTCCGTGGGACTTGAGTATTTCTCTAAGGCCAGTGCCAGCACCATGACGTACCTATCGAGTCAAAAATAAGAAAAAGAAAAACAAGATATTCAATTATAAACTTCTCTCTGTACAAGTATCAATCAATTAGGCTCAACAAAGTCTTTAAAAACAAGTAACTATAAAAATAAGTAACTATAGATCATAATTTAAACTGGAAATCACCCATAAATAAAATTCAAAATAAATTATCCAAAGTAATTGCAATTATATATAAATATAGCTATATCCCACAGGTGTCAAACATACGGACCGGGGGCCAGATCCGGCCGTCCAAGACCTTTAATCTGGCCCTCGGCTGATTTTCTACAAAAAATATTTTCATTATATTTTCTATTAAAATATTGTTAATTTTCTGTGGTGTTTATCACAGCAGCGTCTCCAGCGTCTCTGTACGTGGCCCCTCCCACCAGAGCAGCACAAATGAAGACTTGTCTCTTTCCAAACGCTCTTAAAGGACGATCGTTTTGACTGTTGACCGTGACACCCTCATCAGAAAAACGTCAAAAGTGAGAAAAGTGGAGCCGAGTGCAGGATTTTCCAAGAAAAATTTACTTATTCCTATTTGCATAACAAGTTCATGTTAAAACATTGTGTTGAAATTGTATTTTTCTTAAAGTTTCAGGTTCTTAATAATAATATAATATTTTGTAAAAGAAAGAGTTCATCGATTTAAAAAGATTTCTGTAATAGATTTGCGTTTTTCTGCACAAATATTTGAACTTTTTTGTTATTTTTGGGGTATATATATGACATGAGTTTTCTGATCCGGCCCCTTTGGAATCAAAGTACGGTAGGTTGGATACGGCCCCCGGACCAAAATGAGATTAACATCCCTGCTATATCCTAAATAAAAAGTCTTTTTTTTTTTTTAAATACAACTCGCTGGTAATGCCCTACCTAACCTACTGTATTGAGATTTGGGGCAATACATATAAGACTAATACAAATCCAATCGTTATCTTGCAAAAACAAAAAAAAGCAATAAGAGCATCACATTATCAACTTAAAATGAACCAGCTAATGCGTTATTTATAAACCTTCTAAACTCTGAAATTTTACGATTTAGTCGACCTTTACACTTTGAAAATCATGTTCAAAGTAAACAACAATCTGTGGTCAAAATTATTACAGAATATGTTCAAAATCCGAAATATGAGCTCAGAAGTACGGCCATGTTTATCAAAAAAATCTGAAAAAAAAAAAAAAAATCTAATATTGTGGACCACTCTCTTCCATTTTAAAAAGATGTTTAAATGTTTAACTCTGGACAGATGCATGAATTATGATGTTTATTTGTGCCTGTAGTACTTTGTTGTACTGTTACTGATTTGTTTGTTTCCTCTTGTTGTATTTATGAATGAACTCGTTTCAACATGATGCTGTGACAAAGGAATAAAAGGCCAACACTTTTCCATCTGTGTGTGTTAAATATGATATAATAATGTCAGAATATATATAAATTAATCAATCAATCTCCCTTTTTATTGAAGAGTGTGTTGCATAAATTATTTTTTATCAGTACCGATTGTGGCAGTTTTCACAGCTTTCAGTGGCCAAACGGAATTTTGCAATCACGGTAAAGTCAACAACAACTAAAGCCTGCAGACGGCACGCAGCATTTTGACCTCAAGAGCTGTGTTCAATGTAGCTGCACTGGGGCAACACGTTTAGCTCAAATACATGGAAAGAAAACAGATACAGGACTATAGGTGTGCAAAAATATCAAAATATTGACATATCGTAATGTTTAATGTGATGATTCAGTATCGATATCAGGGACTGCTGTATCGATATATCTCCAAGTGTGTTTTTTGGTATATTTTACTCAATTATTTTGTTACAGTGCTACAGTTTTGTTGCTTGTTTGGAAGGAGGAAACGTCTTTATGCGATATACTTGACATTTTCACTGTTTTGATGATTAAAATGTTTCCTAATTAAAAAAATAAAAGCTACATCATGGCTGTGATACTAAAAGTCATTAAATGGTCTATTTTTGAACTTTTTTCACAAATAAACCGCGTGGGACTTTAAAGGAAACCCAACAGTTGGACGGGTGAGTGGTTTTGTTTGTTTGTGGTGTTCACGGTGACTCTGGGCTTTGTTCAGTTGTGGCGTGTAGGGAGGGTGCTGTCTGGGACCGCTTTGTCGGTGTGTTCGCAGTGACTCAGTTGTTCAGTCGTGTCTAGAAGTGGCACATTGCGCTCGCTTTTTCGGTTCGTTCCTGGTGTTTTTCGCTGTGCGGTCGCTGTCTGCTTCGTGTGTGTTTGTGTGTTCTGCAGGTGGTGCGGCTTTGCAGTTTACTCAAGTCGTGCTGGGACACCCGAGTGGATTCATGTATAGGGCGCGTGTGTTTTTGGTATATTTTACTCAATTATTTTGTTACAGAGCTACAGTTTTGTTGCTTGTTTGGAGGAAAGAAACTCGTTTATGCGACATATTTGACATTTTCACTGTTTTGATGATTAAAATGTTTGTGTTTCATATGAAATTTGCACAAGAAGTGTTTTAACAAAGACTTTTAGTATCACAGCCATGATTTATGATTTGTTTTTTATTTAACTGTATCAAATCGATTTGAAATATATCGAATCGAAAGTGCACTGTATCGAGATATATATCGCATCGTGGTCTATGTATCAAGGTATGTATCGTATCGCCAACTTCTTAATGATACCCAGCCCAATAAAGGACTAAGGCTGGGTATCATTAAGAAGTTGGCGATACCATACATACCTCGATACATAGACCACGATATCTCGATACTGTGAGCTTTCAATTTTATACAATTCAATATGATACGATTCAATAAAAATAAAGGCTAAATCATGGCTGTGACACAAAGCCTTTGTCAAACCACTTCTTGTGCAACGTTAATATAAAACACACCCATTTTAATCCTCAAAACAGTGTCAAATGTGCTGCATAAACAAGTTCCTTCCCCTAAACAAACAAAAAAACTGTAGCGCTATAACAAAATAATTAAATAAAATATACCAAAAAATACTGTTGGCGATATATAGATACAGCAGTCCCTGATATCGATACTGTATCATTAGATTAAACTATACAATATATCGATATTTTGATATTTTTGCACACTCCTCTACAGGACTGCTAAATTAAATAGTTTGTCAAAGACGACAACTGACCTCCCACGAAGGATTAAACAGGTCATTACACAGCTCCTCACAGAAGCTTTCCAAAGGCCACTCACTGGTCTGAAACACACAAGGAAAAACACGAATCAGATCATTACAGTAACCAAATATTATCAGTTATGTTCCCCCCCGAAAAATCTTGAAAAGATTTGGGCCAGTGTTTGGAACATAAGCTCCATCAGCTCTTCAGTTTGTGGGTTTGCTTCATTTAGAGTTAATTTTCTCCACTTTTCCATCCTCCTTTGGATAATTACTTGTTTAAATGTACAATGAAAATGAAGTTCCGTATTTTTTGGACTATATGTCGCACTTTTTTTCATGGTTTGCGTGTTTCCTGTGACTTATACTGTTATTTGACTTTTATATTTTAAATTTTCACACTGACAGTGGCGAGAGGCTCTAGTCTTATGTGTCAGTATCTGCTGCTCCTGTTCCTCCTGTACCACTGTCACTTCGTCGTCTACTGCGCATGTCTCCTGCAGAAAGAGCCTCTGCTGCAAGTTGTGAAATATGCAGCTGAAAATGGTAATCGAGCAGCAGAAAGAAAGTTTGGAGTGAGTGAGAAACTTGTGAGGAACTGGTGAAAAGTGGGGATGAAGAACACAGCTTCATGGCAACTGGGAGGGTGTGACATGAAACTTTCCTGGAAGTCACTGGATGGATCGACAAAACCTGAACTTCAGTGACACCGAAACCATCCTGTCGGGATTCAGAAAGACCGGAATAATTCTAACTGGAACTGACGCCGAGTCTGACGACAGCGACACAGAAGAGGAAGTGGCGCTCTGTTTACCTCCGGAGATCGTGGAATTGTTCAGAAGTGACACCGAGGATGAAGAATTGAATGGATTTAGTGATTTGGAGTGAGATGGAGAGTTTGGTAAACTTGTTCTGGTCTGTTGTTTATGTTATAATTATCTGAAGAACTGTTCATATGTGACGTTAACAGTCTGTTGTTCTCTGTTCTATTGTTTTTACTAGAACTTGACTTTTAAGATGAAATGTTAGTTCCTGGTCTCTGATTTTATAAAATACATTTCCCCCAAAAAAGTGCAACATATATATGATTTTTTTCTTCTTCATTACGCACTTTTTGGCATTTTTTTAGTCCGAAAAATACGGTAGTCCACTTTTTGACCTGGTTTAACCCTAGATTAGACCCGGAATAGGCTCGATATAGACCTGGTTTAGATCTGATGATATTCTGAAAGTCAAGTCTTTCTTTTTGGAACTCAAACTTCTCACACCAAGTATCATCTGACGTAGGAAGTGAACAGTGTTTCAAATCACTCGCACAAAATATCAAATCAGTATATCTCTAATCTAGCCTAGTCTGAATGGGAAAACTTACTTCTTCTAGGAGACAGGAGTTGTCCGGAACGTTGTCGATTAAAACTTTGTTCTCTGTCGCGGGTTGCTCTATGACAATGTTGGTTGTTTTCCTCCGTTTCTCTTCGGGTTCTCCCTCGAAGCTGTCATTGCTAAATCATTAGAATTGGAAATTAGAAGGGGAAAAGAAAAACATCTGAAGAGAGACTCGTAATGACTATCAGTGGAAGGTATGTGAGGAATGCTGTGAATCATTGGAGACCTCCAGAAACGCAGCACAAGCCTCAAATAAAAACATAAACCTCGACAACTTTCATATTTTTATTTTTATTGCTTTGTGGTTTGGCCTGGTTTGTGTTGGGTGTTTTTAGCGACTACTACAGTGACCAGATAATTTCTCATGGGGTCAATTAAGTAGGTCGAAGTGTAAGGGCGCATTCACACATGGCAGGTTCTGGCTTGAGCTCATTTAAGTTCTTATTTAGTCCTTGTCTAGTCCTGGTCAAGTCTAGAGTCGAGTTTATTCCCAATTTCGATGTGAACCCACCCAAGTTGAAAATGTTTGCGTTTGTCTTTATTATTCTTGTACAGAACACAAAACAGCTCGCTTCTTTTGTCGAGTATAATTGGCCGCACACACCTTTCTCTCCTGTAATTACTGGGAAAGTCAGAGTTAAAAGCAGTAACAAGACGCCGTTGTTTCACCTCTTCTCGTTGGGATCCATGTCTCTAGATCTCTGCTTCGCCACGAAGTTTGGCCATTCGCTTCGCTTTGTTTTTCTGACGACTGCTCATTCCGGGCCTGAACTCCGAGTCGATCAACTCTGCCGCTTGCATTGGCTAAAACAAAAAGAAAAAAAAAACAATATTAGTAGGGGTCTAACGATATGGGCCCGGTCAATCAGACGTAAACAGCAAGGCCAAAAATTCAAGTTAATGCATCTGATATAAAAATGTATTGAACAGATACATATGTACTCTAGTTTATGAAACTGTTTACCTTTTTTCTGTTCCATTTTTGCTTCTAAAGTTCCATACGTTTTAAACAGACCATGTATGAAACATGGAACAAAAATTTTTTCCCAAATTTCAAAGACCTGCAAATCATGTAAATAAATGGATGTATTTCATCATATCTTGTGTTATTCCATCTTTGAACTGTTGATGAAGGGACATGATTTTTCAAAAAAAAATGTTTTAAAATGATAAAAAAAATTTGCTTGGAAGGACTGACATATTTTATAGAAATAGTTTCCTTTCATTTTGAAGTAATATTAAAGTATTCGGAAGAAAAAAGTTGACAAATTATGAAAAATCCTGCACCTTCTACTTGTTTGTACAATTTTCCCTCCGTTACTTTTCCCTCCGTTACCATGACCTTTCTTAATAAAAAATCTCATTACTCAAAAAGTAAGAGGTTTTTCAACCTAATCTTGTACCATATGGTAGAAAACTATATGAAGCAAATATTCAAACCAGTTTGTTAAGGATATGTAAGTGAGAACCAAGAGTTATCACTGTTTGGATTTATTGCCCAAAAAGTGCTGCATATTTCATTCCCAAATCTCTCTGTACAATATTTTCACGAGATATAGATCTCATAGTATGATATTTATTGTGATTTTTGTGCTCCTTTTTCCTCTTAAAATGCCATGACAAGACTTAATCCACAGAACTAAGACTTAAAAGTGTTTAGAACTGTTATTTCTTCTTGTAGTCTGCACTGAAATGGAGCAAAGGGATCATGGTCTATGTAGTTCCTGTCTTTTAGCTGTTGCTGCACCGAAACTCTTAATTTAAGCAAAGACACTTGTAATTCGATATATACAATATTTTGGTTAACATCCCTAAATATTAGTGTCACAAGTAAGGAATAGACTCAAAACTGTTTCCAATTCTTTTATTTATGCAACAGAATGGCATTTAGTATACTTTCTTATATCTGTGATCCTGCAGTGGTCTGGCCTTTGTACACCTGGTCATATATCGTATTTTCCGCATTATAGATTATAAATTAAATGGTCTATTTTCAAACTTTTTTCACAAATAAACCGACCGGATTTAAACGTAACAACAGTTGGATTGAGTGGTTTTGTTTGTTTGTTCGTTCACGGTGATCTGGGCTTTGTTCAGTTGTGGCGTGTAGGGAGGGTGTGTCTGGGACCAACGGATTGTCGGCGTGTTCGCAGTGACTATTGTTCAGTCGTGTCTAGAAGTGGCAGATTGCACTCGCTTTTTTGGTTCGTTCATCCGTTCCGTTCCTCGTTGGCGTGGAGTGATAGTGTGTCTGTGGGTGTTTTTCGCCGTGCGGTCGCTGTCTGCTCCGTGTGTGTTTGTGGCTTTGTAGTTTACTGAAGTCGTTGGGAACCCGAGTGGATTCATGTATAGTGCGCTGTGGATTGTGGTGTGCGGTCCTTTTTTGATGGGGTTGGAGGCTTAAGAAGCGCGTCAATAGCCGGAAAATACTATTTTTAAAGCACATAAACTAGCCAGGTTGAACACTAGTGCCTCCGCTCAATTTAATTTCTCTCCACGAAAAATCAAAACAAAAAAAAAAAGTTTAGACACGCAAGCCAATAGCAGATTTTCATTCAAACTCGTGGCGTCTGTCTGTGTCCCTTTTGTGGAACAGCACAACAGTAAACAAAGTTCGAACAGATGTAACAAGAAGACATTCTGTGTTGTGTTGCTGTCTGGGAATTATCGGCGTTTCGCATGACTCAGTTGTTCATCGTGTCTAGAAGTGGCACATTGCACTGGCTTTTTCGTTCGTTCCTGGTGTTTTTTGCTGTGCGGTCGCTGTCTGCTCCGTGTGTGTTTGCGTGTTCTGCGGGTGGTGCGGCTTGTAGTTTATAAAGTCCTGAGACACCCGTTCGTGTAGGGCGCTCTGGATTGTGGCCGCGCAGTCGTTTTTTGATGGGGCTGGAGGCTTCTACAGTTGTCTATTTATGTCTGGGGTTTTTTAGCTATTGCTGCATAACTCTTAATTTAAGCAAAGACACTTGTAATTCGATATATATTGTGATGGTCCACGATATTATTGTGAGATCTTATGATATTTTAGTTATTGTTACATCCCTAAATATTAGTGAAGTCACAATACTAAAATTTGAAACTAAGGAATAGACTCAAAACCGTTTCCAATACCACAAAAATAACAAAAAAAAACATATTTTATTTACGCAACAGAATGGCATTTCGTAATACTTTCTTATATCTGTGTAATCCCGCAGTTATCCAGGTAGACTCCACAGTGATCTAGTCTCAGATACTCATATGGGCAGGTGTACAAATATAGTTTCATCATCAAGTTTCAACATCAAGTTTCAACATCTAGTTTTAGTATCGATTTGTATCTGATTTTCTTTCTTTTTTGTTTTCTTTTTTTAAGTTGTATGAAAAAGACAAATATAATACAACATGCGGATGTGCCTTTGATGCTTACAAAGGATGAATTAATTTAAAATAAAAATAATAAAAATGAACAATTATTACAGCCAATTGCAAGAAAAACGAAGTGATGCGTCAAACAAAATCTGGTCTTACAGTATTTATATATTCAATCCACCGTTTCCATTTGCTTTAAAGTTTGTCTTGTTGAAGTCTTATACTAAAACTAATTCTCTCCATCTTAAAAATATCATAAACAATCTCAAACCATTCATCCAGTGTTGGTATTTGTGGATTAAGTCATTTCCTGGTTATAGCTTTCCTCGCGGCCGCACTCAAAATCTGGAACAGCATCTGATTTTCTATACTTTCGTCAACCCTAATTTAACATTTAAATCAAAATTTTCTTGAATAAATCTGGCATAAATCAATGTAATATGACAAGTGTGCTTCTTCAGAAATATCAGTAGTTTTCTTCTATAGAAACTGTGATTATACAAAACCACAACAACCTCATTATCTTTAAAAGAAGAATAACAAAAGTATGAGGCAACGAACTGTTAAAAGGCAGGTTTTAGCGTGTTCCTCTTTTCTTTTAAATTCATCATAATATAACCACAGTGGTTCTGGAAATATCATCTCCACTAAATATAAAGCCAATGATGTTCATTTTGTCTTCTTATATACTTAAAAAAGAACCTAAGAAGTTTATCCACTAAATATAGCCTGGAGAATTAACACATTAAAGAACAGAGGCTTATCAGTTTTGAGTAAATTTCTCAATAACACGACATTCAGTAAAAAATATATACAAATATACAGCGTAATGTATTTATTTTTAATAGCTGACACAGTGGATAATCCTGTAAATTAGGGCTGGGCGACATGGAGCAAAAAATATTTCTCGATATCTATAGAGGGAAAATAACTCCCCAAAACTGCAAACTGCAAAAACAAATATGCTAAATTCCACAAGTTTTTTTTTATTTTTTTTTATTCAAGTGCAAAGAGGCAGTTCATGCAGGACATAAAAAAAAAAAAAAATCTGTGTATTCAAAAATAATTTAACTGTAAAAAAAAAAATAAAGAAGAAATGTGTTTAATGTGTTTAATGCAGTTTTGCCACATTTGTTTACATTTTACAGAAACGAAACGTAAAACCGCATGGCTCATTTGCCTAAACTGCGCTGTCGGACCAAAGGACACGACTCAGTGGAATATGAGTGTTGTCGCCTTGTCTGTAAATGGTGGAAAAGGTTCGTGGTGCTAGAAACTTTTGGCGTTCACGACAGTAGAGTCTGTCTGTGGTTCAAAGCAAAGAGTCGGGGACGCGCAGGGGCGAACACAGAGAAGGCAAATAAGCGAAGCGGCGAAATCAAAATTAAATATACAGTAAGCATTATACCGATATATACGCTATGTCAGAATCCATGTCGAGTTTAAAAAATATCTCGATATATTTTAAATATCGAGATATCGCCCAACCCTACTGGATATGTTTATACCGTATTTTCTGGACTATTGAGGGCAATTGAAAAAAAGCAGTCTTGTCTTCATCTCAGTGTCTAAGGCTACGTTCAGACTGCAGGGCTTAACGCTCAATTCCGATTTTTTTTGTGTGAAATCCGATGTTTTTGTGAGGTCGTTCACATTTCCAATTAAATGCGACTTGTATGTGACTCCAATGTGAACTTTAAATGGCCCAAAAGTGTCCCGCATGTGCACTGGAGACACGACGAACGTCAACCGCAGTGAGCGTGCTCTGTGTTTACAGAAGTTGTCCAAACATGGACGCAGCATTGAGCACCTGGAGATTTTAAAGTTCCTCTCGTACCGGAGCCAGAACATGAACAACTTACTTGTTTTAAGGAGGAGACTGAGAAGGAGAAAGACGAGGTTTTTAGCCGTGGCGTTTTGTGGGGCAGTTCGATGAAAGGAATGTGTGGATGTGGAGACGTAGCCAAGAGTGGTGAGTGGCGATGTGCTTCGCTTCAGTGACACTTAACAATTTTCATATGACGAGAAGAACGTTTGTGTACATTTGTGGCTTGTTGATAACGTGTAAGTGGATGAATGCTCCTTGGCCGTTCAGACTGAAGTCACATGTCAAAAGATCGGATATGTATCGGTTTTAGGAGCACATATCCAAGTGTCCTCGGTCGCATTTGAAAAAAATCGGATCTGTGTCGTTCAGACTGTCATTAAAAGATCAGATACAGGAGCATAGGGGCCAAAAAATGGGATTTGGGTCACTTCAGGCTGCAGTCTGACCGTAGCCTTAGAGGATTTCAGCAGATTTCAGACTCTCTCGGGGGCGGGGTTAGTTCTATCAATCAGGTATGAGTGGATGTTCGACTACTGAACTTTGAGATGTTTCTTCTCGTCATTTACACACATAGGTAAGACGCATCTCCCTCACTAACGTTCATTTAGCATCATAACTTATTTTATCACACGGCGATAAACTATTTGAGTGCGCTGACAATATCACGAGCAAACTCTTCACCTTCATGTGAACCCTAGATCCATGTGTTTCCTGCACAGACAGCGGCGTTTTCTGCACTCAGGCTGCTTGAGCATCTGCTGTGTTGGACAACGTGCCAAACAAAGAATCCGTTGATATATTTGCCACATCGTTTTATTAGCCGCAGGATTCAAAGTGTGAGAAAAGACCCACTTTTATTCTCTGGCTTTTAACACCGTGCAAGTTGTGTGCTCCTCTGTGTCTTTTATTTATTTTATTTTTTATGTATTTTATAGGTTTTATTTATTTATTGCTATTCTGTGATTTTGCTCTTATTTTATTTTACGCTTTTATTATTTTAAGACTAGTATGATTAAATCTGAGCGTTTATTTTACCATTTTATATTATTGTTGTTATTATTATTATGTATTTGTGCAGCACTTTGGAAACTGTTTGTGAAATGTACTATAGAAATAAATAGGGCTGGGTATCGATACAATTGCCGATACGATACATATCTCGATACACAGGCCATGATACGATACATATCTCGATACAGTGAGCTTTCAATTCGATATGATACATTTCAAATCGATTCGATACGGTTCAATAAAAAATAAAGGCTAAATCATGTCTGTGATACTAAAAGTCTTTGTTAAACCACTTCTTGTGCAAAGTTCATATGAAACACAAACATTTTAATCATCAAAACAGTTAAAATGTCAAATGTGTCGCATAAATGAGTTTCCTTTCACACCACAAGCAACAAAACTGTAGCTCTGTAACAAAATAATTTAGTAAAACACACCAAAAAATACTCTTGATGATATATCGATACACCAGCCCATGATATCGATACTGTATCATCACATTAAACGATACGATATATCAATATTCCGATATTTTTGCACACCCCTAGAAATAAAGTGGATTGGATTGGAATTTACGGTATCCTCTAAATATATATATCCTGTTTTTATATAAAGCATGGGGACATTTTCACAGTTTTCTTTCCACCCCTATAGACCCAAGTTTAAAATAAAAGCCTGATCTCTCGATGGTAAACACTGGGATCAGTATTGGGACCCACCACATGGTTCCTGGCGCTGCAGCCCGGGGTGCCCCTGCCCTGAGGCCGGGCTCCGCTGTAGTCCAGGTCCTCGTCGTTGAACAGTTCGTCTGTGTCCATCCCGATGGCTGCGCCCATGTCCAGACCCAACTTCTTCTGCAGCAGTTTCCTCTGGCGAGACAAGCGCTCCTTTGGGTCCATCTCAGCTGAAAATGACAACAGGAGAAAGTCAGGACAATGCAAGATGATTATATTTAAAACACGAACACGAAAACCTGATTATTATTCGATTTCTGGACCTGTAAGACATGCAAACTGTGAAATCTGATGTGAGTATTGTATTTTTTCGGACTATAAGCCGCACTTTTTTCATGGTTTGGGTGTTTCCTGCGACTTATACTCCGGTGCGACTTGTGTATTAAAATTTTCAGACCGACAGCCACGAGAGGCTCTAGTCTTGTGCGTCAGTATCTAGTACTACTGTTACCGTATTTTCCGGGCTTTTAGACGCACTCTTAAGCCTCCAACCCCATCAAAAAACAACTGCGTGCCCCACAATCCAGAGCGCCCTACACAGACAGCGACCGCACAGCGAAAAACACCCGCAGACACACTCATCACTCCACGCCGACGAGGAACGGAACGGAGGAACGAACCGAAAAAGCGAGTGCAACGTGCCACTTCTAGACACGACTGAACAACTGAGTCACTACGAACACGCCGACAATCCGTTGGTCCCAGACACACCCTCCCTACACGCCACAACTGAACAAAGCCCAGAGTCACCGTGAACGCCACAAACAAACAAAACCACTCACCCATCACACTGTTGTGTTTCATTTAAAGTCCGGTGCGGTTTATTTGTGAAAAAAGTTCAAAAGTAGACCATTTAATGACAGTGCGTCTTATAATCCAGAGCGTCTAATAGCTCGGAAAATACAGTACTCCTGTACCACTGTCACTCTACTGCGCATGTCTCCTGTAGAAAGAGCCTCTGTCCTGCTGCAAATAGTGAAATATGCAGCCGAAAACTGTAATCGAGCAGCAGAAAGAAAGTTTGGAGTGAGCGAGAAACTGGTGAGGGACTGGAGGAAAGCGGGGGGGCAGAACACAGCTTCACGGTAATTGGGCGGGTGCGAAAATTCAACTTTCCTGGAAGTCACTGGATGAATCGACAAAGCCTTAAATTCAAGGCAAGGCAAGTTTATTTGTACAGCACAATTCGTACACAAAGTAATTCAAAGTGCGTATATATGTAAATAGTTCTGCCATCATGTATCGTATTCTACATGTTAATAGGGTTTGGAAAAGTGTTAAACTTCAGCCTAAACCCCTTCGGTCTACAGAATAATTGTATTTGTTTTGTTTTTTGTTGTTTTGTTAAATCATTGTTATATGATGCATGATTATGTTAACTGACCGAAGAAAACAAACTACTACTAGAACTAAAGTGTTTTACAGAATAAGAAATACATTAAAATCCCAATAAAAACAAATCAAAACATAAATAATCATAATTCAAATTCAAATTAAAAAAGAGTGACATAAATTAGAGAGAAGAGTGTGGAATGAAAACCTTTCAGTCGTACGCACAGTGAAACAGAACAGTTTTGAGTCTGGATTTAAACGGTGTCAAAGAAGAGTCCCGTCTCACATGTTCAGGAAGACTCCCAATTCAATGACAATCGAAACCATCCTGTCGGGATTCAGAAAGGCCGGAATAATTCTAACTGGAACTGATGCGGAGTCTGACGACAGCGACGCAGAAGAGGAAAACAACGCTCTGTTTACCTCATGGATCTACTGTTTATCTCTGGAGGAAGCGCAGAACAAACAAAGAACTGAATGGATTTAGTGATTTGGAGTGAGATCGTGAGTGAGATTGGTAAACTTATGTTCTGTTGTTTATGCTTTAACTCTTTCCCCCATGAAGACGACATTTGACGACCCCCCTGAACCCTTAATGACGACTTTTGACTCCTCCGCTGTATCACTAAAGACGAGATTTGACGACCTTTAGAAATGGCTCGGTTTTTCACATTTAAACAGAGACTGTGATCGGTGGGGGCCACTACAACCCACACTAGACTGACCAATAGGATTCAAGGATATGTTATCGCCGATTTTTTCCGAAGTTAATCGAAATAGTGACGATGGTAGCTTCCGGAAAAAACACAACACGAAACACGTGCAATGGAAAGATCGCGGCGCTGCGGCGCACAGTTTTAGAAATAATGAGGAGCGGACGTATTTTATGGATAAGTTTAGAGAAAGTGACTTTTATAGATTTCAAAGTGATGATGTTGAAGTTGATTATAAAGTGGAAAACAGCGATAGCGACGGACTTTCGGGGAGAAGATGAGAATGCCGCTGATGCGTCTGTGTGGAGTCCTGCGATGTCCCAACAAACTATCTGAGCTTTATACTCGATTATGAACCAAAATTGCCCTGAAATCTGGATGTTGCCCAGGCCAGTCCTTTAAAATATTTCAGTCTTTTTTTCCAAGATGCGATGTATAACAGAATCGCTACAGAAAAAACGCTTATGTGGAGCTCTGCACACGAGAAAATAGCCAAGATGACAAATACTGGACACACACTGACGGGGAAGAGTTTTATTATTATATTATCATATTATAATAAGCTGAAATTAGTGAATGAATAAAAAGCTAAATGAGTTGAATAAGTTAAATGGAAAAAAATTAATTGGGTGCACACAGGTGTACAACAGGTAAAAACAGGTGCACACTTGGCTATACTGTATCTGGTGATATGAAATCTGTTTAAATACTTTGACAAAGTATATTTTTTTATGAATATAGTACTCAGAACATGCAGATATCAGATGCTGAATGTAGTTTTTTGTTTTCGAGTTTGCACCTGACCAGGTAAACTCTCATTTTCAGTGAGCTGTTATACACCTATAAATGAGTTGAATCACATTTAAACATCCATAAATGAATAGTTCAGAGTCTAAGGTTTCCAGAGATACAAATATGTCTGTGTTACAATTAAGTTCATGAGTGTAAAAATCATTTATAATCACTCGTGGAAGTCTGTTTTCTTTTATGCACTTATGCTCTATGGGTGTAGCCCTAGTAACATATGTATGGGTTGTTCCTAGTAGGCGTCCAGGGGGGAAAGAGTTAATTATCTGAATACTGTTACGTCAACATATTAACGCTTTTTCAGTCTGTTGTTATTACTAGAACTTGTCTTTTAAGATGAAATGTCAGTTCCTGGTCTCTGATTTTACAAAATACATTTCCCCAAAAAGTGCGACTTACATTTTTTTCTTCTTCATTGCGCATTTTTTGGCTGGTGCGACTTACACCCCGGAGCGACTTATAATCCGGAAAATATGTTAATCAGATGGATGGAAATTAGATCACTTTGCTGTTTACATTTCATTTTAATCTTCAAAACATCATCTGTTAATCAGATTTGGACTGTGCAAGAAACCACAAAACCTCTAACACATAAACCAAAACAGAAGCTACAGCTGTCAAAGTGTTCAGTGATTTTTAGATTTCGAGTCAAATGCGAATAACTGTTGATTTAAAAACTTGAAAATAGTGGTCTGCGTCCATTTTTTTAAACAAATGTGTAAAATATACTAATAAACTTTAACAGGAGAGAACGACACTGGTTTATTCATGCTGATTTTATTTATAATTTCACTTAGTTTTCCGAATATGAGGGAACAGAGCGAGTGGCTGGTGATATAAAACAGTTTGCTGCTGCTGTCGTCGTCACAAATACACAGTGTTGCAGATAGTATTCAAAGTCACCTCCAAAACCATAGAGTTATATTTAGACGTTCGGTGTGAGGCCTGGCACAGAGACGCAGCAGTGGAAATATGGAAAACAGGTTTCGGGCCGTTTCTCCTCAGCGACTATTCAAATTAGAGTCAAATATATTGTTATTTGCTAGGATTTTTATGACTAAAATGTATTGTGTATCATAATAAAGGAGAAATGGTCACTACCGGGTCTAAACCAGGTCTAAACCAGGACTAAAACCAGGACTAAAACTAGGACTAAAACCAGGTCTAAACCAGATCTAAACCCAGGACTACATCAGGATTAAACAGGACTAAACCAGGATTAAACAGGACTAAACCAGAACCAAAACCAGGACTAAAAGCAGGACTAAACCAAGTCTAAAACCAAGACTAAACCAAGTCTAAAACCAAGACTAAACCAAGTCTAAAACCAAGACTAAACCAAGTCTAAAACCAAGACTAAACCAAGTCTAAAACTAGGACTAAACCAAGTCTAAAACTAAGACTAAACCATGTCTAAAACCAGGACTAAACCATGTCTAAAACCAGAACTTAACCCACATCTTAAACCAGGACTAAAACCATGTCTAAAACCAGGACTAAACCATGTCTAAAACTAGGACTAAACCATGTCTAAACCATGTCTAAACCAGGTCTAAACCATGTCTAAACCAGGTCTAAACCATGTCTAAACCATGTCTAAACCAAGTCTAAACCAGGTCTAAACCAGGTCTAAACCATGTCTAAACCATCTAAACCAGGTCTAAACCAGTCTAAAACCAGAACTTAACCCACATCTTAAACCAGGACTAAAACCATGTCTAAAACCAGGACTAAACCATGTCTAAACTAGACAAACCATGTCTAAACCATGTCTAAACCAGGTCTAAACCATGTCTAAACCAGGTCTAAACCATGTCTAAACCATGTCTAAACCATGTCTAAACCAGGTCTAAACCAGGTCTAAACCAGGTCTAAACCAGGTCTAAACCAGGTCTAAACCACATCGCTGCAGTTCCCAGTCCTTGAAATACTGTCCGACATAAAACCGTTCCGTGAAGCTAAAAAAGTTTGAGGATCACTGGTCTTGTCAATAATAGTAATGATCAGGTTTAACATTTGTTTGAAGAGTTTAATGCCATACTGCGGAACTTTCCAGGCAAAGCATAACATCTGACATAAGTGTCAGTATCTGCTGCTCCTGTTCCTCCTGTACCACTGCCACTTTGTCTCCTGCAGAAAGAGCCTCTGTTCTGTCTGTATCATGTCAGTCGATCGCAACATTACTTCTGTACCACTGAAAATGTTAAATTTAAACAAACATACAGACAACTGAAACCATCCTGTCGGGATTCAGAAAGGCCGGAATAATTCTAACTGGAACTGATGCTGAGTCTGACGACAGATACACAGAAGAGGAAGCGACGCTCTGTTTACCTCTAGAGGTCATGGAGTTGCTCAGAAGTGACACCGAGGATGAAGAATTGAATGGATTTAGTGATTTGGAGTGAGATGGAGAGTTTGTTAAACTATAACATAAACAACAGAACAGAACAAGTTTATCTGAAGAACTGTTCATATGTGACGTTAACAGTCTGTTGTTCTCTGTTCTGTTGTTATTACTAGAACTTGACTTTCAAGATGAAATGTCGGTTCCTGGTCTCTGATTTTATAAAATAAATTTCCCTCCAAAAGTGCAACTTATAGTCCGAAAAATACGGTATACGGTTACTTTTCTAGACGAGGTCTGACTCCTGTATGGAAGATAATTTGTTCCACTGCACTTTTAATTTTAAATACAGCTGAATTTCTCGCTTTGGATTTTCTAACTCTTAAAAATTTCAACAACTAAAACTCATAATAAAAATAATTCAAAATCCCTTTTTCAGTTTACATTTTCAATATGTTTCAAATTCAGAATAAAAATATTCAGTACATATATTTTCAAGCTCTTAAGATTCAACAGTCAAAATTCAGAGTGTGGTATTCGCAGTGAAAAATTTCGCAAAACAAAGATCCAAGACACTTAAAAGAAATGAAACAGATGAGGTTTTGATGAGGTTAATTCTGACTAATCAAATAGCTTCACTGCATCATTTCCTGTTTCTTACCAGGTCAGATCGGATCACTTTAGATTGATGAGTTATGACTTTGGCATCTTGAATCTTTCCTGCGAATTCTTTTCACTGCAAATTTTACACTCTGAATTTTGACTGTTGAATTTGAGGGCATGAAAATGTTTATGCTGAATATTTAAAAGGTGATTTCTTTATATATATTATTAAATTTGAAACACTTTGACGTTATTGAATGTATGCTTAAAATTTCAGCAACTCACCCTACTGTCTTCTTTTCTCTCTCTCTCTTCCTCTCTCTTTTTACTCTTTTTTATTAATTTTATTTTATTTATTTATTTATTTATTATTATTATTATTATTTTTTATTTTTTTCACCATCATAATTATTATTATCTTTTGATTGTTTGCCTTTGCTTCATTTTTGATAATATTTGGATTTGGTATTTATTAGTAAGATGGTGTTTTCCCTTTGAAAATAAGAAAAATATAAAAGGAAAAATAATTGTGATTTGTAAATCTTGTATGAGTATATTGTGATTCCTTAATAAAAATATTTATAAAAAAAAAAAAAATTCAGCAACTAAAATTTAGATTAAAAAGAATTCAAACATGTTTTTTCAGAGTAAAAAATTTGAGAAATTCACAGGCATTTAAAATTCAAAATGTGATGGAACAGATTATCTTCCGTACAGCTGCTTGCCTTCATGGAGATGAAATCATAACACTGAATTTATTGTGCTTGGGTCTCGGGGAAAACAGACCTTCAACTCGAGAAAGTCCAATGGAACGTCCAATCAAATCCAAGTCCCGAAACACAAACTCTGGTAGTTCGGAGCAGATCGAGTAGGTTGGATTTACGTCACAGTGCACACAGAGAATTGTCTTTTCATCATTTTGATTAAATTATGTTAAGTTGCGTATGTGCAGAGTGTCTTCTGAAAACTTTGTAGTGACATTTAGACTTTCTTTCACATCATCTGACAGTAGATTTTTTTTTTTCTGAACATGTAAAAGTCAAATTGCCATAACTGAGTCGCCGACAGCAAACGTTAATTAACAGACTCTGAGGCTACGTTCAGACTGCAGGGCTTAACGCTCAATTCCGATTTTTTTGTAAAATCTGATGTTTTGCGAGGTCGTTCACATTTCCAATTAAATGCGACTTGTATGCGATCCCCTGTGTGAACGTTAAATGGCCCGAAAGTGTCCCACATGTGCACTGGAGACACGACGACGTCAACCGCAGCGAGCGTCTCTGTGTTTACGGAAGTTGTCCAAACATGGACGTGAGCATCGAGCACCTGGAGATTTTAAAGTTCCTCTCGTACCGGAGCCAGAACATGAACAACTTACTTATTTTAAGGAGGAGATTGAGAAGGAGAAGGATGAGGTTTTTGGCCATAGTGTTTTGTGGGGCAGCGGCAGCGACGTCTGTTGAAAGGAACGTGTGGATATGGAGACGGAGCCAAGAGTGGTGAGTGGCATTGTGCTTCGCTTCAGTCACACGGAGTTCATTAACAATTTTCGCCTACTTCAGCGCAGAATAGTGACGTTTGTGGCTTGTTGATAACGTGTAGGTCGGGTAAATGCGCTTTGGCCAGATCAGATTTGTATCAGTTTCAGGAGCACATATCCAAGTGTCCTGGGTCACATTTGAAAAAAATCGGATCTGTGTTGTTCAGACTGTCATTAAAAGATCAGATACAGGTCACACAGAAGCCAAAAAATCGTATTTGGGTCACTTCAGGCTGCAGTCTGAACGCAGCCTAAGACGTGAACTACCTCAGGGTTCAGTCAGAGCGTTGAGTTCTTAAAGATTTGGATGAAGCCCTAGTGAGTTATTCGTCGTCTGTCCCAAATGTCCTTCTACAGACTGTAAATGGGATTCATAGGCATCCTTATTTTCCCCAACTGTTGCTATGGAATGTATTTACAACGAATGTCGGGAGAACTGACTCGGATTTATCGACTACGGACGTTCAATAGAGCGCAGCAACAGGCCAATAATGTTTAATACAAAACAGACAGGGGCAGATAAATTTAATCATGTTTAAATGTAGATTTGTGTTGTAATATGGGGAGTTCTTCGGTCTAGGATCTAGTTAAACCAGGTTTCAACCAGGTCTAAAACAGATCTAAAAACAGAATTAAAACCAGGTCTAAAACCACGTCAAAAACCAGGTCTAAACCAGGCCTAAACCAGAACTAAAAGCAGGTCTAAAAACAGGACTAACACAGGTTTAACTAAACCAGAACTAAAACTAGGACTAAAACCAGGTCTAAACCAGATCTAAACCAGGGCTAAACCTGGACTAAAACTAGGACTAAAAAGAGGATATAATCATTAAACAGGTCTAAACCAGGACTAAACCATGATTTAATCGGGACTAAACTAGGACTAATTCAGAACTAAAATCAGGTCTAAACCAGGTCTAAACCAGGACTAAAACCAGGATTTAATCAGGACTAAATACAGGTCTAAAAAACAGGACTAACACAGGTTTAACCAAGACTAAACCAGAACTAAAACTAGGACTAAAACCAGGTCTAAACCAGATCTAAACCAGGTCTAAACCGGACTAAACCAGGGCTAAACCTGGACTAAAACTAGGACTAAAAAGAGGATATAATCATTAAACAGGTCTAAACCAGGACTAAACCATGATTTAATCGGGACTAAACTAGGACTAATTCAGAACTAAAATCAGGTCTAAACCAGGTCTAAACCAGGACTAAAACCAGGATTTAATCAGGACTAAATACAGGTCTAAACGCAGGTCTAAAACCAGGACTAAATAATGAATAAAACAGGACTAAACCAGGACTAAAACCAGGTCTAAACCAGGATTTAATCAGGACTAAACGCAGGTCTAAACGCAGGTCTAAAACCAGGACTAAAACCAGGATTAAAACCAGGACTAAAACCAGGTCTAAAACCAGGACTAAATAATGAATAAAACAGGACTAAACCAGGACTAAACCAGGACTAAAACCAGAACTAAAACCAGATTTAATCAGGACTAAACCAGGACTAAACCATGTCGCACCGCCACAGCCCCAAATCCCCCAGTCCTCGAAATATTGTCTTATTATTGTATTATTGTTGAGCTAAAAAGGTTGAGGTTCACTGGTCGAGTCAGTAACAGTAATGATCAGGTTTAACATTTGTTTGAAGAGTTTAATGCCATACAGCGGAACTTTCCAGGCAAAGCACAGCATCCTCGATGGAGACAAGCAGGTGGCAAAATCATAAAAATGCATCTTGTATCTATTTTAAGTCCCATCAGAGCAGTGGATTCTGATCACTTTCATCATGTTGCATCATCTTAGTGTAAAAAAAAAAAAACATCTTAATACAGCTTCATATTTACTGCAAAATTTGGATGAATAAGACACTTTTGCTACAACATTTTCATTTTAAAGTGAAATGTTTTAAATTATGCAGGATACATGTCTGTGCAGAGAGCTGTGTACAAACCAGTTTTGTCGTCCTGCAGCTCAAACTCGGCTCCGGCGGATCCCAGCAGCGACGCTCCATGTTTGAGGAGCCTGGAGATGTCGAAGTGAAGGAAGCTCAGACGATCACAGGACGCCTCCTCTGGGGACAGGTCCTCACACGACTCTGGAGGGAGGCAAACACAAGGGAGAAGAGCAATTATTACCAAAATCAGGCAGGAATCCCAATAAGGAAAAATAAGGCATGGTTAAGGACGCCAAACACTACAAGCTTTTTGGGTTTTAAACGATTTTTCAATGTCAGTCTTTCCTGCAGCACTTTATAGTTAAGTTCTTGACAACAACTGGCCCCGCTCCTCACTTTTTCTCCATGCACGGAATCACCGCACATCCCGCTCCTCACTTCTTCTGCGTGCACGGAATCGCCGCACATCTCGCTCCTCACTTTTTCTCTGTGCACAGAATCGCCGCACATCCCGCTCCTCACTTTTTCTCCACGTACGGAACCTACGCACATCCCGCTCCTCACTTTTTCTCCACGTACGGAACCTACGCACATCCCGCTCCTCACTTTTTCTCCATGCACGGAATCTCCGCACATCCCGCTCCTCACCTTTTCTCCGTGTACAGAACCTACGCACACCTCCGCTCCTCACTTTTTCTCCATGCACGGAATCACCGCACATCTCGCTCCTCACTTTTTCTCTGTGCACAGAATCTCCACACACCTCCACTCCTCACTTTTTCTCCAACATGCACAGAATCTCCGCACATCCCGCTCCTCACCTTTTCTCCGCGTACGGAACCTACGCACATCTCCGCTCCTCACTTTTTCTCTGTGCACGGAATCTCTGCACATCCCGCTCCTCACTTTTTCTCCATGCACGGAATCTCCGCACATCCCGCTCCTCACTTTTTCTCCATGCACGGAATCTCCGCACATCCCGCTCCTCACTTTTTCTCCATGCACGGAATCGCCGCACATCCCGCTCCTCACTTCTTCTCTGTGCACGAAATCTTCGCACACCCCCCTCTTCACTTTTTCGGCAGCACCACTTTGCCTAACCAATTTTCTGTGGGAAACACTGAATATGCGACCAAAAGCGCACACCACAGACACGAGGAGAATCTTATGAGACTGAGATTGCCGATCGCAAAGACTCCTGGGGGATATGTCTGCGGACCACAGGTTACACAGTTGTGAGCGCGATCGCGTCATCTGTTTCCTGTCAACAGTAAAACCACTCGCTTTGAGACTCGTAAGTGTTCAAAAGATCAGAGCACTGCACTTCTAGTTTAGATACAAGACAAAACTCTTATTATTATTATTTGTGAAATGTGGTGCAAAACTTCATGTATTCATTCATATTCATGTATATAATGACGGACTGAACAGAAGATGCAAAAGTAGCGTCATGTTTTCACTTTTTATTCCGGGTTTAGATGAGTGTTTTCGGGAGCAAATGCAAAAGTCTGTGGAATTCGACTGGGTATGCATGCCAGGTGACTAGGTGGTGATGTATGTAAAGTAAATGCGTACGTGACCTGAAAAGATCTGACCAGAGTTTTGCATCTTGGGCAGTGTACGCTACGGTGGAGCGTATTCAACTTTTCCACTCTGGAGGGTGGTTTTAGATTTTTGCATTTTTAAGCTCCAAAAACATCGTCACCGTCTAAACGAACGGCACTTCAGATAAAATATTTTGTTTTTACCTGCAAATGTTCTCGTGTAAATAGGCCCTAAATCATAAAAGATTTGAGACAATGTACACAGGAAGTGGAGTCAGTATAGTTAATCTGCAGCTTCACCTCGATCCGTGTGTTGTGTGGATGTAAATAGACACACGTGAGGAACTACTCTTGCCTTTTTACTTTTAACGAACACCTCAAACTGGAACAACTTCAAGTGAGGTGAGTAAAGTCGTCTCATTATTTTCGCCATTTCCTGAGTTTGTATCTTACGCCTCTGTGTCTGTCACTCAGTCTGCGTCTGATGCTGTTTTATTGTCTGTTACCGCAGCGTTGTTGATGTTTGGTGGTTACGATCTGACACAGCAGCTCAGAACCAAAATCGGGCAAATTCTCCTGTTGTGTGTGGCGGCCTTTAGACAGGGATGGGTCGAATCGTGATCTCTTCCGTGTGACAATATGCTTTTTTGGTAAAATCTCATGTCATTATTCACAAATTTTCCCTTGCATGTGGCACTATGCTCAAATACAGCCACTTTTTCCAACCCACTTTTCCAACTGGATAATATAATACTAAGTTTACAAGAATCATGATCTGGCTTCAAGATATTTGTGATATTCACTTTTATAATGTTATATGAAGAGTTAATTAGCAAAAACAAATAAGTGTGATTTTAAAATGTCATCTTAGCCTTATAGTTTAGTCTTTGTATAGAAATGTTTTCAAAATCCAAATGTATTTTACAGAAATCTCAATAATATTCCATCCCTCCTTGATAAAATCCACTGTAAATTATTATCATTGTTGACAATATATGCAACAAAAAGAGACATACTTTTTTGCCAATTTTTCAGATTAATTGAAATCTTCACACAGTAAAAGGAGCACTGTGTAACATTTCCGATGGTTCACCTGTTTGTCATATTTCTAAAAAACAGGAGTGTTTGTCTCTCCACACATTTGACCTGTAACTTTGCCAATCATTAATCAGAGCGAGCGCAGGCCAGGGTCTCGGTGAATTTTGTTGAAAAACATGTGTGTCTTCCATTTGCAGATTTAGGTATACATTAAAAGTGCAGGCTACATACAGTTACTTAAAAAAATAAAATTAAATAAAAAAGGCTTTCAACATTTATCTCCTGAACTTGAACAAAACTTCTAATCATCCTAATTTCCTCCGTCCCTGCATGAACTCCAGTGCGGATGTGGAACGGTTTATTTAACGGATTCGGATGGAGCTCTGATGTTAAACCAAAACAGAGAAACAACTATTATAAGTAAAGTACAGGCCCTTTAAAAAGTCTTGACCCAGTTCATGACACACTGCATTTTTCCATTTCTATTCATATCCCGCTGAAAGTAGGGCTTTGCTGTTAAATATGCTTTAATGGTGGTTTGGTCATTTCTAAAACCCTGTGACTGTTTGAGAAGTTTGGGGAAGAGTTTAGCCTTCAGGGAGAAATCTGAACTTCTGAAAATTTGACTTTGTTTCACGTGGTAATCATTAAAACTGGAAATGCGTGGTTAGCATGCTACCTGCTGAGCCACACGGTCCACAGCCTGAGGAGAATGCAGCGTTCCGAGGTGCAGAACCTTTTTTGGTCACTCATCATTCTCCTCTAGAGCCATAAAGACCTATTCATACTTCATAAGAACATGAAACCAGGGTTGACTGAACAAAATAATGTTCAGCCAGCTCCTGTTCGACAGTTCTCGGCTTGTTCTCGACGCCGCAGCTGAGCAGAACTTTATGTAGAACATCGTCAACGCTGTCCGACATCTTCGCTCCGATTGGTTATTTATGTGGCCGTGGTTTATCTGCTTCCTTGCCGGGCGGAGCAAGAAAAAAATGGATGGTTTTGAGTTAGGGATGTACATTCGATGAAATTTTATGAATCGATCGTTGGGAGAATTAACATCTGATTTTCGATTAGTCATTAACTTTTTATATAATAAGTATCATCATTATTATTACTATTACTAATCTGCATAAATAAACTCAACTTTACGACATATAAACCGTAACGACTCTAGAGCCACATCAGCCCGTTTGACATTATAATGTGTTTAATTCAGCTTTGTGCAAGTAGAAACAAAACTAAAAACCGCATGGCTAATTTGCATAAACTAAGCGGAGAGAAAAAAAAAAAATGCTCTTGTGCGCTGATGCGGTTCAGCTTTTGTTGGACTAAGGCTGCGTTCAGACTGCAGCCTGAAGAGACCCAAATCCGATTTTTGACAGTCTGAACGACAGAGATCCGATTTTTTCAAATGTGACCCAGGACACTTGGATATGTGGTCCTGAAACCGATACATATCTGATCTTTTGACATGCGACTTCAGTCTGAACAGCCACCTACACATTATCAACAAGCCACAAACGTCACTATTCTGCGCTGAAGTAGGTGAAAATTGTTAATGAACTCCGTGTCACTGAAGCGAAACACATCACCACTCACCACTCTTGGCTACGTCTCCACATCCACACGTTCCTTTCAACGGACGTCGCTGCCGCTGTCCCACAAAACACCACGGCCAAAAACCTCGTCTTTCTCCTTCTCAATCTCCTCCTTAAAACAAGTAAGTTGTTCATGTTCTGGCTCCGGTACGAGAGGAAATTTAAAATCTCCAGGTGCTCAATGCTCGTTTGGACAACTTCCGTAAACACAGAGCACGCTCGCTGAGGTGGACGTCATCGCGTCTCCAGTGCACATGTGGGACACTTTTGGGCCGTTTAACGTTCACACAGGGGATCACATACAAGTCACATTTAATTGGAAATGTGAACGACCTCGCAAAAACATCGGATTTCACAAAAAAATTGGAATTGAGCGTTAAGCCCTGCAGTCTGAACATAGCCTAAAGGACACAACTCAGTGGAATATGTTCTTTCTGTGACAGGGGGATGTTGATGCTGAAGGTGAGCCTGTTCTGTGCGTCACGAATGTTTTCAAAGATCGTACGTGTGCAGGTTTAGCGCAGCTCTTTATGTTGCAGTAAGCGGGATACTGCGTAAACATGCACCATGACAAAACCAAGACACTGATGTGCATGTAAACACACTCACTGAGAGGTACAGTGATCTCCAAGGAGGTACCACAGCCCAAACGTGGGACTGTGAGGCTGCAACTCCAGTGTTTGCTCTGTCACACACAGCTTCATATCTACACCCAGAAACCTACATTCAGTTTGTCGATTAGAAATGAACGTAATCGATGAAATTCTTAATGATCAATTATCGATTAGTCGACTGATCATGCCCATCCCTATTCTGAGTCACAGCTGACGAAAATGGTGAGAAATACAAACATGTATACGACACGACGCCCAATGACTATAAAGACGCCAAATGGGAAGAAATTCATGAAGGGAGATCGCAGATATTTTAGGCTCGGACGAAAAAGTCTGGCGTAATCTCTGTGACAAGTTTGCAAACGCCAAAAGGCAGGTCACCAAAAAAAAAAAAAAAGAGAGTG